GGTTGCTTGACATTTGTTGCAACATAGTGGGGTCATTCATAGCATTTGTTGTTGCAACTGTTGTTGTGGTGTCAGTTTTACTATTGGATGTTTTCAATGCTCTCTTCCTCTTACGTATATTCTTACGTAGCTTACGTGGCATTTTAAGTGAAGTTAAAAAGCGGTTTTTTGACAGATGTTTTATGTGACTTCTTCGTAAAGACTTTGTTGAGATTTCTTCGTAAATGAGTGTAAATGACCCAAAAATATATTTTAGGGTAGAAGGGTATATCTACCCCGTTTTCTACCCTCTTTTCTACCCTCTTGAATTTTCATGAATTTCTTCGTAAAGACTTTGTCAAGACTTCTTCATAAAGACTTTGTTAAGACTTCTTCGTAAAGACTTGTGAGACTTCTTCGTAAAGACTTTGTTAAGACTTCTTCGTAAAGACTTTGTTGAGACTTCTTTCGTAAAGACTTTGTTGAGATTTCTTCGTAAAGACTTTGTCAAGACTTCATCGTAAAGACTTTGTCAAGACTTCATCGTAAAGACTTTGTTGAGATTTCTTCGTAAATGACCCTAGTAGTATATTTTTGGTGTAAATTTTCATGAAAATTCAAGAGGGTAGAAAAGAGGGTAGAAAACGGGTAGATATACCCTTCTACCCTAAAATATATTTTTGGGTCATTTACACTCATGAACTTTCTTGTCTATGTTTTGTTAAGACTTCTTCGTAAAGACTTTGTTGAGACTTTCTTCGTAAAGACTTTGTGAGATTTCTTCGTAAAGACTTTGTCAAGACTTCATCGTAAAGACTTTGTTGAGATTTCTTCGTAAATGACCCTAGTAGATATTTTTGGTGTAAATTTCATGAAAATTCAAGAGGGTAGAAAGAGGGTAGAAAACGGGGTAGATATACCCTTCTACCCTAAAATATATTTTTGGGTCATTTACACTCATGAACTTTCTTGTCTATGTTTTGTTAAGACTTCTTCGTAAAGACTTTGTTGAGACTTCTTCGTAAAGACTTTGTTGAGATTTCTTCGTAAAGACTTTGTTGAGATTTCTTCATAAAGACTTTGTCAAGACTTCATCGTAAATATTTTGTCAAGACTTCTTCGTAAAGACTTTGTCAAGACTTCTTCGTAAAGACTTTGTCAAGACTTCTTCGTAAAGACTTTGTTGAGATTTCTTCGTAAATGTTTTGTCAAGACTTCTTCGTAAATGTTTTGTCAAGACTTCTTCGTAAAGACTTTGTTGAGATTTCTTCGTAAATGTTTTGTCAAGACTTCATTATACTCATTCATCCTCAGGGCTAGAAGGCACGAAGTGCCTGGAAGCCCCACTACCTTTTTTTTTTTTTTTTTTTTTTTTTTTACTTTCTACATAATCATCGAAATAAACATCTACTTGTTTAACATTTTCAAGAATTGGTGAAAGAACATCCATTAATTGATTGACGGTTACGAATCTTGATCCACTCATTTTCTTACGAATTAAAAAAATAAATTATTCAAAAAATGTAAGACATGAATTTTTAAAGTTTATTTTTTTATTTTTTTTATTTTTTTTTTATTTCATTATGTATGGGTTTAGTGAAAATTTCTTACGATTCTGAAAATTTTTAAATCTTGATTTATTCAAAAACGTAAGAATAAAAACCGTAAAAATCATACATTTTTTACTTCATATGTAAAAAAAAATGATACAAAATCGCTCAAAAATGTATGAATTCTTACGTTTACAAAAAAAGTCACAAAACCCTTCAACATATACTACTAACATCTGGATTTGGAGAATTTCCGTAAAAGCGTTTCCAAATATCATCTGAAGCTTGATCAGAGTGTAAATTCTTTATATTTGAAAAGGGATTTGGTTCTATTGTATGTAAATTCTTTACAAAGTGGGGAACAAAAGTACCCATGTCACGAGAATGTAAATTAGTCACTTTTTTAATGGATTAAACTTGTTTCGATCCAACATACAATATCATAGTTATACTGAAGCAACAACATGTCCTCACATAAACAAATAATTCCTTCACTCATAATTACTGATTTTAAATCTTATTTTAAGTTCAAATTTCAAAACGTACTATTTACTTACAGTATCATAGTTATACTGAAGCAACAACATGTCCTCACATAAACAAATAATTCCTTCACTCATAATTACTGATTTTAAATCTTATTTTAAGTTCAAATTTCAAAACGTACTATTTACTTACAGTATCATAGTTATACTGAAGCAATGAAGTATTGCGCGAAATGTTGATAAGTTTCAAAAACAATTTGAGTTTAATAATATGTGATAACATCGACTGCAAACAATCGATATCAATATTTAAAATTTTCGAGGTTTTTTTGACTGATAGCAATTGCTTTGGACACCTAGAATGAAGTTCTCCTTGGTAAGTTTCTCCAAATTTTTTCCATTTTAGAAAAGGCCTATGCAATTTTCTAGAAAACGATAACTTTTTTTTTCCAATTCTCGATTTTTTTTTTGGAAAAATGAGGTTAATTTTTTTTGAAAATTTATAATTTAGAGAGAAATAAACCATTTTCATTGTCTTACAAATCGATAAAACCTTTTTATTTTTGTTATTATATAATATTTCTACTAAAATATTTACCATCCTACCCTTGGCTTTTAAAGTCCCAATATTTTGCCCAAAATAAGTTATCTTGGAAAAAATTACCCACTCCTTAAAAAAAAAAAACAAGCATGTCATGAAGCTTTTTGTCAGAATGAATTAAATAAAGTGTAATAATCTGTAGGGTGAATGTATAAACTCACAATTATACAAATAAATTTAATTGTGAGTGATTAATATTATATTTTAAAGATTATTATGTAAAATATAAGATAGACTTTTAGCTAAATCGAAGTAATTTAGAGAACAATTTGAGATTTTAGAGATTTTTCAAATGAAATATTTAAAGCAAAGAATTTATTAAGAATTTGTTGTGAAATGAATACACTTCGGTAAGGCATTAGATTGGCGTGATAATTGACAAAATTGGAGCTGAAGTTTGGTTCACAAATGAAGAATAGGTCTAAGCTATAACAAAAAATTGTAATATATTTGAAAATCTAATAGTTTTATTTAGTAATTTGATATCGATGCGATCATAGATATTGATTTGAGTATTAAATTCGAAATTTTGTAATTTATAATGATATTTAGGAGCTGTAAAGCTAAAGACTAATTAAGTATATGATGACAAAGAACTTGCTAGAGATTAAAATCTAAAATTTTAGAATTTTTAAAATTAAATTGAAACTACATGAACATATTAAGAATCTTTTAAAATAGACTGGCACTCCAATAAGTCATTAGTTCAATGTGATGCATTAGAAGTTTGATTGAAAAGTCTGGTTAAGAAATGATGAAAATGTGAAATGAAAATAAAGCATTTCTCTCAATTTTTCAGACACTTTTGTCTATCGTTTTCGAAGTGGCGCTTCGCGCCGCTAATAAAATTTTGAGAACAACTTTAGTTGTTTGTTCGGCAAAATTATTTTAACGAATTACGATTCATAATATGTTGTAATATAATAATCTCTAATTTATTTTTGACTTTTGATAATAAATTATTAATAAATATTTTAAAAAGTCATTTTCTTCGCTATTTGATTGGCGCTTTGCGCCAATCAAATAGCTCAGATTAAGAATATGATATTATTTCAAATATGATGAAAATTTTTGAGTGAAAACTATCAAAAATAAGTCTTAAAAAATACATTTTTAGAAATGGTTTTTGATTCTTAATCATTTTATGTTTCAGCAACAGACAATCACTATATATATATATCATCTAGCGGCGCTACGTGCCGATAGATGAAGGACAAGGCTGTCATGCACCAGTGTGTTATAACAGATCGATTTTATTTGAAATTTCATAAATTAATAATTATAATAAATTTGATATTCAGAGACGGCGCTACGCGCCTTTTAGCATTCTGGGCACTTACGTGCCCAGAATGCAAGATTGAGAAATTTGAAACTTCGTTTCAAATTTCTGCCTTGCTGTTATGCAAAAAGAAAGTCAGTACAAAAAAATTTTTGAAATTGAGAATAAAAATAATATTGTGATTTTTTGTGATATATGGATTTTTTAGAAGATTTTAGATATTGAAGTCTCAATTTATAAAAAATTTTAAATTGAGAGGAATTTTAATGATATTATTTTATTGGATATTTGGATTTTTTAGATGATTTTAGAGATGTAAGTCTCAATTTATAAAAATTTTTAAATTGAGAGGAATTTTAATGATATTATTTTATTGGATATTTGGATTTTTTAGATGATTTTAGAGATGTAAGTCTCAATGTAAAAAAATTTACAAAAAATGATCGTAAAATAATCGTTTTTGTTCAAATCCTTTTCATTTCTGGAAATTGAAGTTAAATAACATAGAGATGGTCTGTGCATATGTTAAATAAAATCATTAAAAGGTGTTTTGATGACTTTTTCTAACCGCAAATTGTCACTTTTTGATGTTTTAAAATTATTATATATCCTATATGCATATAAGATACAAATTAATATTAAAACTCCAAAATCGATTTTTGAGAGAATCAAATTTATCACATCTCATCGTTGTTCCGAATTAATATTTTATTTGTAATGTATATTTGATCACAATTATATTTATCATATTAAAATTCAAAAAAAATTTTGAGTTTCAGATCTCCCTAATTTCCCATATAAATATATGTTTATTTTATTAAAAATAGAATGTCCAATTATTGATAAAAATCGATCCGCTTTTCTACCGGTCAAGCTGTATATATATAGAACCCATCCATGTAAACCTCGATGTCACTTTTGCGGTTTACATGATGGAAAAATGCAGCAAAATGTAATATATGATTCATAGTTTTATTTTATTGTATAAATACTATATTATTTTGGAACCTCGCATGGCTATTATGAATCTCACCATAGATGAATATAATTTTATCGGCGTGAATCACTGATATTATGAGAAAAAGTGACTGAAAACGTTAAAAAAAATGGAGAACGAAGAACAAAACTTCCCAGATAGAAAGCAGGATCTTGATCACAGAGCACTTGATAAATACATGCAAGAGCATGAAATCAGAAAAATATTTACAGAAATGCTAGCTTATTTGGTCGAAAAAAGATCAGAAGATACCCTTCAAGGATGCCTTGATTTCCTTCAAGGATACAAGAAATAAGTACTTATAAAACTGTTTATTTTTAAAAATAAAATTTTTATAAACTACAAATATTAAAATAACAAACTTCAATTTTATCAAAATCAGCCGCAACTGATCATGATTGCTGTATTCATTGAGTTTGAATTAACAACATTTAGTTAATTACTTCGATTAAAAAAAAAATTGAAATAATATCAAAAACAAGAAGAATTTACTCGAATTTTTTAGCTCTAACACGGAAAATGAATGAATCTATAAATCCGCCAAGTGTGAAGCCACCTCCTAAGATGGCGCAAAGCTGAGTTAAGAAAGAAGACAAAGATTGCTTCTCAACGATGAATCTGGCAGCGACTGGTGCTGTATCGAAATCAAATGTAATTCCTGGATGCTTCTTTGTAATCATTTTCGTAATTTCCTTCGATGATGAAGAAGCTGAGTATTGATGAGCCGGAATCTGATTTTCTACATCGTTTGTAATTGTTGGAACTAAGTCAATCTTATAGTTGTACATGAATTGGCTCTTCTTAAGCTGGTTATTCGTATAATTATCTAATGGATTCTTTAAACCTTCGAAATCGCGGCCAAAGCGGAGAGTATGAATTGTATGTGTTAAGTTAACGTTATCTCCGAAATGTGAAAGATCGAACTTGTAGTTAACAGGAGTTGGAACAATTCCACCGGCCATAATTGTTAATTTGCCTTTAGTAAAGTGGGTGTTCAACTTGGCAACGATTCTGCATGTCTCTTTATCTTCAATTGCCTTCTTATCGCGATTGCATTGTTCAACATTTTGAAGATTTGGAATAAACTCTTCCATTTGACGGAAAGAGTTTGCAATATCTGTGCATGTCAAGCAGCATTTGGAAACATTGGCACCTAAACAGTTGCCACAAGTTTGGAAAACAGATTTTGGATCTGAATCCGAAATCAATTGCTCTAATGGCTTGAAATGAACATCAAGTCTTTGGCGTGAGATATCTTGGCGTGCATTTGGTTGTGGATTTCCAGAAGCATCGATTACATTTAATTGAAGCATATGGCAAGGATAAGCAACAGTAATATCCATGAAGATTTCAATCTCATTAGATTCTTTGATATATTGGCTCTGAACAACAGCATGTTGCTTGATTTCAACGCGATGAAAACTTGATCCTTCCTTAATTGCAACAATAATCATAAAAAGAAATGTAATAATTGTAACAACTCCTCCAGACACTGTTCTAATGTTGAAGGAATCATCTTGTACTTTAGGATAAATATCAAATTTACGCATCTAATTTTTAACGTGACCAAATATTTTCGTCACTTTTATTCAAATTCATCTCAAATATTTCCCTGTTTTGAGACGAAAATATGACTTAATGCATAAAATAATTATGAATTTTAGCATATCAGTGACAAATATTTACGTTTTTATGTCAATTACTCGAATTGGCAAAGGCAGATATCAAAATTGTCTTCCGGAGGGTTTAGTATTGAGAATGAAACATTTAGCAAAGTTGAATCCATTGATCATTTACTATTTATATGTTTTTTTGAATATTTCAAATAATATGAGTTGAACTTATATCAATTTACACAGTGTACTTTTGTTACCTACTCGAGTAAAATTATGGCATTTTGGTTTAATACTAATTTTTTAGTTTAAATTTGTAAATTAGATACTTCTTCAGGTTCTTCAATGTTGCCATAAAGAAATTCTTAATTAATTTTTGGCTCCTTTTGAAATAAGGAGTTCTTCCATTTCTTTGTATTCATTACTTTTTGCCTTCTGAAGAGGTGTTTCACCGACATCATTTTTGGCATTTAGATCAGCACCGTGTGAAATAAGAAGTTCTGCAATTTCTCTATTATTAAAACTGACTGCTTTATGAAGAGGTGTTTCTTCATCATAATATTTAGCATTGATATCTGCACCATTCAAAATGAGAAGTTCTGCGATTTCTTTTTTATTAAACCATGTTGCGCTATGAAGAACAGTTCTTCCATTTTGATCTTTAGCATTGACATCTGCACCATGTGAAATCAAATATTGGCAAAGTTTAACATTGTTGAACAATGGTGAATAAGCCAATCCATTGTCGATGTTATGGGTTTGATCGAGATAAACCAATAAAGCATGGGGATTATAGTACTCTCCACAACAAAACAAGTCAATTTCCATCTTGTATTCATACATTAAGAATGTAACGAAATCGATGTTATGAGACATAATAGCATTTTTCATGCATAATATATCTGGAGTTTGGAATTTCAAACATTCACTCATGATTTCCTTTTTTCCACTTAGAAATGAAAGTTGAAGACATTTCTGAGTGATTAATGATTGGAATTTTGATATCAAAAGTTTGAAGCAATTAACTGATCCATGATAACAACAAAGTTCTAGTAATGAGTATCCATCACGAAAATACGCGTATAAATCACTTATCAGTCTTTGGGATTCATCAAAATCGTCTCTTTCTGTGGAGAATATAAATGATTCTAAATTATCTTCCATAATGGCTCTGTACATTGTATTTTCTTCATGAATATTTGATGTATAATTTTTTTCATCAAAATATGAGAATTCATCTTTATTATTTTCGTCTAAGACTATTCCCTATTCTTTGAAAAATAGATAGTCAAATATGATTTGAATGCCAATGATGCTTGCTGGATGATAATCATCATATATTTGTTTGGCTAATTTCAAGTATGACTTCATGGAGCGGTTGTTATATGTTGAAATTATTGATATACTTTTTATGATGGATTGTGGAAGGCATTTCTTTGATTGGAGTAACTTTGTTTTGATACCTTTGTAAATTGAATTTAATTCTTCATCACTGTTAGCTTTTAACTGATATAATGCATCAGATATTTCGATATCATCCTTAAGGATATCCATCAATTCATTGAACTGAATTGGAACAGCACTGTGGTTGGACATTAAAAAATGTCAAATTTTCTTTCAATTTTTTTTCCAGATACATATATCAACTTATTTTTCACATACACAAAGAGTCCAATCAATTTCTTTAGTTTCACAAAATTATCCATCAAAATTTTTTCAGTTCACAGAATTCTCCATCAAATGTAGATTGATCAAAATTGAGTTACCAGGTTACCAATATTGAAAATTTCAAAAGTAAGTAAGAAGAGGTCATGACATTTTCTATTCAGACCTCTGCTAATGAAAGATACAAAGTCAATCTTCGTGTCAAAATTCTCTCATGAAAAACATTGGCAGTTTCGTGACTCCTCTGTTTTTTCTTCCAGATGCAACTTTCTACAATTGCATCAACTGATTCAAGAATTATTAGTGGAATGAATTGTAGAAAGTTGCATCTGGAAGAAAAAGCAGAAGAGTCACCACTTGGTTTACATTGTCAAAAAAAATTGACGGTTTACAAAAATTTACAAAGCGTCCTTTTGCTTCTTATTCCGGATTTTTGTTTGAAAAATCAATTGGTGTTGTTGATTCTACTATAGCAACAAAAATTGTTGATCGGATTTCGAAGCTAATACCCATCATTCGAAATAATTTCGCGTGTTCAATAAAACAAGAATTGCGAGAAATAAATCGATTGTAGTGCATGCATATGAAATAAAAGAATAGAACAAATTTCAAATACGACCAAATTATAAAATTCTTCATCTTGTTTTGAATAAAAATGCACCAAACGAAAAATTTTTAAGGTATCAATCGGCTATGTATTAAAAATAATATCGGTTTTAATTTCCACAAACGCACCGATTACGATATATTTTGAATTGATAATCTTTTGAATACTTCAATCAAAAGATATTTACATCAAATGCTGAAATCAAAGAATTAGCATAATAAGACTAATATATAATAAGGATGTTTTTACTTTTCCCAAGTAAATTCAAATTTCAAATTTTTGAATGGATCGAGTTTAGAAATGAATTCTTCTTTTCAAAAATTAAATTTCAGAATTACAGTCATTGCATGTCCCCAATTTGAACATTAAACATGAACAACAGATTCGAAATGCAGGTGTTATTTAAATCAAAGTTTTGGTGCATTTCAACAATTTCAATATTTTTCCTTGGGCAGAAATGCATTCAGGTATTAGAAAAAATAAAATATGATTTGTAATTATTACATGGGCAAATACATGTTTAATATTCATGATATAATAAAATTAAAACCACTGCATTCTTGCAACATCAACATCTCTGCAAGATTGGAAGTGGGTAAGCTGTCTTGGCATAGCCGCATTTAACGGAGATCTAACCTCGGAATGGAAGTAAGAAGATGGCATAACTTGATGAGATCTTGAGTGAATAAGCATTCTTTGATCTGGCTGAGCACTTTCTGACTCAAGTTCAGCTTTGATTTCCTTAGATTCGCAGGAATTCTCTGCCCAAGAAATGCATTCATCAATTCGGCCGTCTTTTATAAAATTACAGTATTTTTTCACCATTGCTCCGTTCCAATGATGATACAATGAGGAATCGCTTCTCTGAGATCCTGTAAATTTGCGATAAAACTGCCAAAAAGACCAAGGAATTTTGAGGCTAACGTTTTTTCCGAGATAAAGACGCATAGCCTTCAATATTGCAATATCTTCTAAGACTGTAAAATTCATTGGCCTTCTCTTGGAGTTGTTCGAACACAATTGATAACTCATATAGGAAGATGGAACCTGTTGAGGATAAATCGATTCAGGCTGGTATTCTGGCATTGCATACTGTGGTTCTGCTACAATCTGAGGGGCTAGACTTGAAATGGGTGGTAGGAGGATTTTCTCTTGCATGGTATCTGAAAAAACAATGAGAATCTATGTGATTTAAAAAAATCAATATGCCGCAGAAAAAAATTTTGCAAAGAGAAAATGTTTGGTTTAATATATAAAGCACATTAGATATCTCAACAAATTTAAGATTGAATTGCATTCAGAAAAGTTAAATTAAAACTGACGATTTTGAAATAGAATGTTAAACGAGATAAAGAAGAGAATATCTTATTTTTATGTTGGCCAACAAATGTAACTCAAAAGTACGTTCATGTTTAAGACCAGTCAATTTTTTGTGTAACCTATTTAGAAAAAAAATTCAACATCAATAGAATGTAACAATGTAATAGCTGGTGTGAAATAGGAATCAAGGATTTATCAATGCTCTGAAAATGAGTAAATGTGCATTCTCAAAATTTAGATCGATCACAATTTTTTGAAAGTAAAATTTATTTTTTGAATACTTAAGTTAATCTTGTCTCATGAATGTAAAACTTATATGTTCATTCAATGAAATAAGCATGCAATTTTGCAGGGGATATTCATACTTTTGAATATTGGAAATTTTAAGAAGTAGCGGCGCACAATTTAATAATTTTAGTCTAACCTATGTTACTATACTCAAATTTACTTTACATGCAAAATCATAAACGTTACCAGTTTGATACATAAATTTTAATTTTCCTAGATTTCAAAATCATAAATAATATCAATAGCATTTGCTCATAACCAAAATCTAATTTTTCAGAGATTTGAGAATTTAATTTTTATTAGTAAACAAATCTTTAATTCAAATTTTATTAATTTCATTAACTTTCTCATTTCAAATCAAATTCTTTCTGATTAATGAAAAGTCATTATTAATTTTGTAAATATTTCTTTCAATTGTTTCTATAATATATTCAATCAGCGTACAGTATATTATTTTTTATACTTTTAAAATTAATCCTCTCTATTGTTTAATGCTATATTTATCTTGCAGCTTTTTATCCGTGCAATCTTTTATTTTTTCCTTTAATCATCCTGATTACATATATCTCCATTGTATTATCTATATAATTTTCCATTTTATGTATTTCAATTCCTCCATTCAATTCAATAAATTAATTTCAATTTTGCCAATTGTATCCTTTCTCTAGGGTTGTTAGATTCCCGACGATAGGTGTCTTGGAAGATTTGCCTGGTGTCATCATAGTGTCTTTAAATCAAAAATTTTATTTTGGAGTTAGTTTTATTGATTTTTCAATAAAAAACATTTCTAAAACAAGAAAATAAAACGATAAAATATTTATATTTTATATAAGGATCTTATATATTTAAAATAAATATCATTTTATTTTTTTCATTGGTGTCTGTCAAACCATAATACACTATTCAAAAATTCAATGTGTCTTGCGGTTTCAAAAGACACCTTCAAATTGAACGATAGCACAGACACTATTGAATTTTACCCATTGTATTTAGTTTTTACCCTTTTTATTTTTAAGAATTAATGACTGAAACAGCTGTTTTGCTATGACCTCAATCACTTTTATTTATTATTTTAAATATTATTTAATTTTATTATTTGAATAGGCCAACTTATATTTGAGAAGCTCAATTTGAGACCACTTAATACATTGAAATATCATAAATATTGAAATATTAAAAAGTGTATTTCAAAATATTGAAATTATAAAAATTTATAATACTGAAATTGAGACAAATTAATAAATTCAATGTGTTTTTTTTTTGAAATAACTCTCAAATATTATTTTTTTGTTTATTTAATGATGAATAAATATGATAGCTTTAGTCAATCATAAAAACTAATTTAAGTTTAAAATAAAGAAAGGATAATTTGATCGTTTTTTAAAATACAATTATTTTTGATGATTTGCAAGAATCTTTGAAAAGAATATAATATAGGTTCTATTTTTGTAAAATTTATCCAAATCATGTATTACATAAATTACGATTAAAACGATGAAAGAACCAAAAAGTGTGTTTTGTGTTTTGTTGTTGCGTGTTGGATGCGGAATCCTGTTATTTCCGAAATCGACAAAAAATTTGGAAATTTAATTTCCGAAATCGAAATTATATTAATGTTTTTAATATTCTTATATCAAAAGGATTAAAGTTCATTAAGAGAAAAACAATTCTTCTTCTTCAATCTATTGGCGCATTTATTTCTACACGCCAATAAGGAAGGGAAAATTATAAGACACCATGGTGTCTTCAAAACGCTAATTTTTGATATTTTTAACAACCCTACCTTTCTCTCATCTTCCTTCGATTTTCGGCTATCATTTGTAAAATCCCTATCATTAAATAAACTAAAATATCATTCTCTTTTATATACTTATAATCCAATTTCTTCCCAAATTTTCAAGAGTATTTTCTTTCTGTTTTCTTTAATATCAAAGGTGACCAAACTATTTTTTCAAAGTCCGCCATAACTTTAATGGTACTATTTCAGCGTGTACAATGAATACAAAAATTCTAAGAGTGCCACATAAAATAGTACTTTAGACTTGAGTTAATGCTACCAAGAAAATGTTAAAAAGATAACTTTAGTGTTTTGATAATCAAAGATTAAAATCATTATTGTCTAAATCAATAATCATAACGACAGAAGTTAATGTTTTTTCATAAGTGCTTTAAATCCACTTTTAAAAGTATACCTCAAAAATCAAAATATCAAAAAAAAATTGGCCGATAGGTTTGGCTTTAATTTTTGTCTGCTTTTATGATTTGATATGGATGTTATAATTTTAAAAGTTGAGCCAAATTCACCAATAGATTTTTGAGATTTGCAAATACTCAATAATTTTCAGCGTGTTATCTTTTATTAAAAGAACTATTTGGTTTCAGTATCATATAAATTGATATTTACTTTCTATTTGAACCTTCATTTAGCTAATGATTTAATAATACAGATTTCATCTAGTCCTTATAAGAGAATTTTGAATTTGTTATAATAAAAAAACAAACAGATATAGCTTACACTTCTATAATAAAGATACCTTTTATAGAAATCAGTATGAAATGTGTTTTGGCTTATTGGAAGCATATCAGACATAATCGCCATAATCAAAAAATCTATATACCCAATAAGTAATAAATTTGTCGATATAGATTTTCCATAAAATTAGTTTTTAGTCTGATCTTAAAATAAATTTAATTTTTTATAAAAAAAATCACATTTAAAAGTACCTTTTTAGTAGCTCGAAATCCTGTTGGTGGATTTGGGGCGTACTTCAAAATTAGCTTTTCTTCTACATATGCAAGCTATATTTTAAATATGGAGCAAATCGGATCGGCGAAAGGAGTTTAGTTACCTTTTTAATATCTGATTTTTATAGATCTTATATTTTATTTTTCTCAAATAAATTCCTTTATACATCTCTTTCCCATCAAAAGTCTTTTCCTCATCTAACCAACTCCTTCATATTTTTAAGTTTCAGTTATAATATCAATGATTATATCATCAATAAATAAATATTATGCCTATCATTATTCAAGATTTCGAAGATGTTATCTTGTGCAATATGAAAATTTAAATGGAATTATAAAATATCAATTTTCCTAGATACCTTGCAAAGATGTATATAACCCTGTGCCCATTCATTAAAAATCCTTTCTCTAAATTAAAAAAAAATCATATCTTTATTGTTTTGTCATTTATAATTAAATTAAATATCCAGATATTAAATACCAATACTTTATTCAAATAAATCTCTATTTTAAAAAAAAATTATTTTTATGGGATATCATATTCAGTCATTCTGCTACCATTGATTATAGGGAATGATGTATAAAAGGTGAACATTCCTATATCTGATCTGTAGTTCAAGAAATTCAAATGGTGTGTCTGGCAGTAGCGTTTTAACAAATCTTCATAAGAATTATCAAAAAGAGATGGCATTCTTACACCATTTTTGTCCTTTGGCCATGCTCCGTAAAATGTAATTAATGCATATGGTTGTTCGCACTTTGGATTAATATCTGAGCCAAAATCAACAAAACAGTTGCTAATATATGTCTGGGATCTCGTAAATGAGTCAAAGCTGAGACCACTCTGAACAAGAGTTATGGAGGCTATTCCTTCTTTGAAAAAGTTAATTACTTCTGCTTTTACAGAGATTTTTGTAGGATTAACGTGGCTATCATTACTAAGAAATGGTTGGGAATTAGTTGGGAAGGCAGAAGATGGAATAACAATAGCTTCTGAACGAGATGATTCAATTGGAATTTCTGTTGCTGGAATTTTCTTCTCAAACAATGTAGAATTATCGTTTAAATCTGTAGATTCTTGATATAGTTGTCCCATTTCTAAATCTGCCGTATTAGATTCGGTTTTATTTGCATATTGATGATATGATGGAATAAAGTACTTTGAAGAGACTTCTGGAACTACAGACTCAGCCTTTGGTAAGAAATCTTTGGGAAACGTAACTTGTTTTTGTTGACTTGCAGCTGAAAAAGCTGAAGTTTGCATAGTTGTTGTTGTACCTGGTTTAGCTCCAAAACCAGTTGTTTTCATCACCTTATGAGAAACTAATTCATCTGCATATTGGAACTTTGAATCAATATTAATTGCTTTATTTGCAATGTAATCTAAAAGTCTGAGTTCTTCGAGTGTTACATCTTGATATCCATCAACAAGATAAACTAATTTTTGATCTTCTTTAGTTCCTTCTGGAAATTGAAGATCAAGAGAAGTAATTGCGATTTCTCCTTGAGAAGGATCTCCTGAAGCTTTCTCAATTGTAGTTTCACCTTTTTTAGCTGCATTGAAATATCTTATCCATGAAAGTTTTTCATCTGTCACTTCTTTTTCTTCTACTTTATTTGAAGCTGCCGCACCAACACCAAAACTTGTAGTCGCTGGCTTTGCACCAAAAGCTGATCCTGTTTTTGCTTGACCAAAAGCGCTATTTCCAGCAAATGCACACATGCTCTATTAAATTTCCAAAATTCTTTCCGGTATATAGAGAATTTTTAATTCAATTTTTATGCTAAAACGGAAACATTTTTAATTGAAGAGACATATACTTCTATCAACCAAAAATCGTACCTTTAAACATAATTGTTTATAAGGAATTGAAAAATGAAAATGTTATCGAAAAAGATTCATAAATTCTTATGGAAATAATTTTATCTGGTTTTTATGAGTATTATATGACAGTAATGATATAACCATTAGGCCTCATTGTAATGCACTTAGTACAAAAACTTAAATTAGTGAAGTATGAAAATGAATAATAAATTAAAAGATTTCATTATGTTTTATATTAATCATATTTTTACTACAATATATAGTACTAGTAAGTAACAAGGGATAAATGTTTTTAAGGAAGTGTTTCGTTTTTACCGAAGGATTTTGGTAAAATCATTGAAAGAACTGGAACTCTGCTTAACAAAGCAAGAAGAGCTGGTAAAAATCCGCCAAATAGCCAGTATGTACCTACTAATTCCGCGATAATTCCAAAAACTGGGTGCTTTAAGAATACCAAAGCAATTCCAGCAAAGAATGCAATAGTTCCCTTTAACTTATCCTTCTGAATTAAAAATGTGAAAAATTGTTTGACATGCATGTAAAGATTCAAACCAAGAAGAATTAAAATGTTTGCTGTAATTAAAAACTCGGTGCTCATTGAAAAAATGCCTAGTAAGAAGAATATAACACCGCCAAATATTACACCTCCGCCAATAACTTCAAGATCATTCATTTTTTTCTTTAGATAATTTTCTATCGTCTTGTATAAAATCTTCTTGAAGGAATCAAATATTTAGACTCCAAAAAGATTAACACTCTATATGAAGACAAAATTTTCATTTTATTTCATTTGAGAATGGATAGCTCATTGGACTTCCTTCTCAATGATGTAAAAATACCAAAATTCGATGATAGTTATGATCTTTTGAACCCACCATTTCAAGCAGGCCCTCTAAACTATGTAAATTTCGGCTCTCAATTACCAAAAATTCAAGATTACGAACCTGATGTACTTAGATTCGAAATAACACCACCAACAATGATGATGGAACCAGTGAGAGATGTTATTACTGGTGAAATCGAATCTTATCATGATACACCAATTGCATCAGTTGCAGCTGATGATTCTTCAATCAATAGACCAATCAGCAGTATAGACGATTACCACCGTGGTGCAGCAACCGGTGTAGCGTTTACTCCAGGTGGATTTGCACAAAAAGCCATAGCCGATCCAGCAGAACTCCCACAATTCTTACTCGCACTCGAAACAGGTACGAATTTATTATCAACACCACTTTCTGAAGAAACTTTGCAAGCACAAGATGGATCATTACCAGATTTACCAGATCTTCCTACAATTAACCCAACAGCCGCACCTCAAGCATCAAAACAACAAATAACAGATCAAATTAAGTCATATGCGATCAAAGATGACTGGGATCATAAAAAATTTGCAACAGAAGTTCCAAATCCATCTCTTACTTTTCCATTTCCTTTGGATCCATTTCAAATTCGCTCAATGTATCGCCTTGAACAAGGTCAAACAGTATTTGTCGCCGCTCCAACATCAGCAGGAAAAACAACTGTCGCTCAATATGCAATTGCATTAGCAAGATCTCATAAAATGAAAACATTATATACATCACCGATCAAAGCTTTGTCAAACCAAAAGTTCCGCGATTTACAAAAACAGTTTGATGACGTTGGAATTCTTACAGGAGATGTTTCTATAAATAGGGATGCAAGCTGCTTAATTATGACAACGGAAATCTTACGTTCTATGTTATACCATGGTGCAGATATCCTAAGAGATGTAGAATGTGTCATATTTGATGAATGTCATTATATATCTAATGACGAAAGAGGTGTTGTATGGGAAGAGTCAATTATTTTATTACCATTCCATATAAACATGGTCTTTCTCTCTGCAACTGTTCCAAATGCCATGGAAATTGCGGATTGGATTGGAAGAACTAAGCAAAGAATGGTTTACGTTGAAGAACAAAGGTTCAGACCAGTTCCTCTTGAGCATCTACTATATACGGGAGGTTATGAATTATATCCTGTATCGAAACCAGGTTGTGGAGTTGATCAATTGGAATATCTTTATGCCTGCAACTCTTTAACACATGAAGAAAATCCATTTGGCCAATATAATCCATTCTTCTGGAATGATTTCATTGAAACAATTAAAAAAGCAAATTTAATGCCGATTTTAATTTTCTGTTTCAAACAGAAAATGTGCGAAGACTTGGCCGATATTGTCAAACACGAATGCTTCTTAACGAAACAAGAGCAATATCACGTAAAAGGCTTTTGTAGAAGAGCATTATCCAGATTAAACAAAGAAGATAGGGATTTGCCACAAATCCAAAAGACATTCGAACTCCTTGAGAACGGAATTGGTATCCACCATGGCGGAATTTTACCGATTTTAAAGGAAATTGTTGAAATTTTGTTGGCTGATGGTTATATCAAGATTCTGTTCTGTACATCTACATTTGCTATGGGTATTAATGTACCTGCAAGAAGCTGTGCCTTCGTTTCCCTTGAAAAATACAATGGAAAAGAAGTTGCAAGTTTAACTTCAACTGAATACGTCCAAATGAGTGGTCGTGCAGGTAGAAGAGGCCTGGATTCGGTCGGAACCTCCGTTATTTTGTGTTTCGACCAAGTTCCAGATTTCCAATATCTCACATCTTTATTCCAAGGCAAAACTGAAGCTCTTCAGTCACAGTTCAAGCTCAAATTCAACACAATACTTAACCTTTTGAGGGTTAGAGATATCCAAATGGTTGATTTGTTGAGGAGATCGTTAAGTGCGAATTTAATTCAATCAATGATGCCACAATTGGTCCAACAACTGAATGATACCAAACAGGAATTATCCAACCTTCCTCCAATCGAATGTATGATCCAAGATATTGAAGATATGACGAATTTCGGATATAACATTGACGAAATGAAGAATATCAACCAATGGTTGTTAGATCAGGTTGACAATCGTTCCATATTAAAGCAAATGACAAAAGGAAGAGTTGTTTTCTTATTAAATGAAAAACCTCAATTAGTTTGCGTTAGAGAGGTCATAAACGATGAGAAAATAGCAGGTATTGATAAGACTGGCGAGAGAATCATATTCTCAACGAATGAGATCGGTGCAATCTTCGCAAAACCAACAAAATCTCAAGAAAGAAAGAATGAAGAAGATATCAAAAGAATGTTGATTAATTTCAACGAGCCACCTCTCATTTGGACAAAAGTCATTGCAACAAGTGATTTTGACTTCGCTCAGGCTTCAAATGAATTAATTAAATATTATGACGCGGTCAGATCCTCTCCATGCGCTAATTGTTCACTCCTTAAGTCACATTTGTGCACATACAATAAGCAGCAAGAGCTTTTGGATAGAAAAGAAGAGTTAGAACACCAAATGCATGATGAAAGCTTGGCATTCAAGCCATTACTTGATGCCCATATTGATGTTCTCAGAGAATTGGAATACATCAATAACGAAAACATTCTTTTGTTAAAAGGAAGAGTTTCAATCGAAATTACAACAGTTCACGAGATTTTAGCCACTGAAATATTATTTAGCGGCGTTTTCGAGAACCTTCCGCCAGAAGAATGCGCTGCTTTATGCTCTTGTTTGTGCTGTGAAGGAGTTTATTCATATGAGGAACAGAGAATCCTTCCTCCGAACATTCCGGATGCATTAGATACTTGCTATAATATTGCTGATGACTTACAAAAGAAGCAAGCTATGTTTGGAGTTTTAGATTTTCAAGATGATTTCTCTGAGAAAAACGTTAACCCTGTTTTATGCCATGTGGTCTATGAATGGGCTCTAGGAAGCTCATTCTCACAGATTACAGATTATACAGATGTCGCCGAAGGAATTATCGTCAGAACAATCAACAGAGTGAATGAATGCCTTAGAGATTTCTCAAATGCAGCAAAACTTATGGGACATATGGCCTTATCCGAAAAATTCTCATTGGCAACTGAATTGGTCAAAAGAGATATTATTTTTGCTTCTTCTCTTTATTTCGAATAAATATTGGTATTTATAAGCATGAATAATGACTTTAATATAAAGAGCGAACTTTATCAATGCCCTTTGTTGAACAAAACTGTTATTATTAAGTTGAGTTTTGTTTTTTTATTAAGATTTTAGAACTATGGAACCAGGTATTGCAAGTTATAATAACAACTCATTAAATTGATGAGTTAATTGATGGCAAGTTTTAAGATAATTTAATGAAGAGGAATTGGATCATGCAACTGTTGTTTCTGGCCGTTCATTCTTCGATGACGGCCTAAGACATCAAGAAGAAAACTGAATTAACTGCTCAGGCTAAGATGGTTGATATTAATGAAGATACAGATTGATTACACTCAGTTGAAGAATCATCCATTATACCAATTCGCAAGTAATTATGTTATAATTGTTTTACTGTAAAGATATTTATCATTACGTATAAAAAATATCTAAAAAATACATTCAAAAATATAATAAAATTTATTTAAACACTGGCTTTTTGATTGTTGGACCGTTAGCCGCAGCCTGCTTAGCAGCAAACATCTTAACTTGCTGTCTTGTGAGAACTCTTGAAGTTTCTTCATTCTTAACTTCCTTGTTTCTCTTATATCCTTCGATAATCTTCTTAGGAATTCTCTGAGAGCTATCGACATATGCCAAGTCAATAGATTGATTCTGTCTAGATTCAGCAAGAACTTGTTTGTTGATATATGGCGTAAGATTGCCATCTTCAGGCTTGCCTGTATCCAAAATCTTCTTGACTTTCTTGTAACGGTTTGTACAGTATTTAAGAACTTCAACTGGATCTGTTGGTGGATTTTCTTCAGTTGGAATGACTAACTGCATGACATCAAGAAGGTGTAAGCAGCCGGCATTAACTGCTGATTGATGTTCTTGGAAAGCTTCAATTGTTCTCTTTAATTCCTGAAGCTCTTTAACTTTCTTGTCATGAAGTTTTGTACCTTCAACAAGTAATCTGTTTCCGCCAACGCCGTGACTTTGTGTGAACTCCTTCTGCTCAACAAGCATCTGTAAGTTATCACGGTTATCCTTAAGATTTTCGATATCTGTGTTCAAGTCTTCTATCTGTTGCTTAAGACTCTTTTGTTTGCTCTCTCTATCATCCATCATCTTCTTGATATCATCTGGATCAGTTGTGCCGAACTTCTCATTGATGCGATCAAGTTGGTTCTGCCAATATCTGATCTTTTCCTCTTTCTTCTCTTTGTTTGCCTTGCTTTGTTTTGTTCTCATCAAAGATTTTTCTGAAGAAATTGTTTGATGCTGACGAACTCTGCGTGAATCCTCTGATTGAAGACCTTCATGAAGATACAATGATTCCTTTTTAATAGCTTCCTTCTTTTGATTGATATCATTCTTACGTTGAGTACGATTCCTTTCGATTTCTTCATAAGTTCTCTTGTATTCTGTTGCTGCAGCATTCTTACTGTATTGTGACTCTGCCTTAATAAGATTAAGTTCGGAGATGTCGCGATTCTGCTTATCAATTTCCTTTTGCTTATCATGGATCAATGTATTCCAGCTGAACTTTTGCTCTTCGAATTGAGTGATAATTCTGTCGTAAAGTTTCATAAGATGCTTTGTTTCGGATATCTTTATGTTTGCCTTCTCGAGTTTGTTTTTAAGTGTTGTGATTTGATTTGCATCAGGGTTGTTATATTTTTCACCGTTCTCGAAACTGCTCAAAATGACTTGTAATTCCTTTTGGCGATTGATTGCTGCTTCCTTATCATGCTTAACGTTATCAATTTGCCTCTGAAGATTGTTAACGGATTTTTGCATCTTGTGGATATCACCTGAAAGGTCTGAAGTTCTTCCTTGCTTTCTCTTAGCCTCAACAAGCTCGCTGAGTCTCGTTCTTAAAGAAGAATGTTCAGCTCTTAATTCAGCTAATACTTTTACGTTATTTTCAATTCTTTCGACAATGGAATTGTAAAAGTTACGATTTGTTTTTCCTTTGATATCTTTGCCATTTTCTTTGATTTGAGCTAATTCAGCTTCAAATGTTGGGGCAACGGAAGGTTCTTCTGTTGTTTCCTTTTTACGTACTTGGTCTGGTGAGCTTTCCATCTCATTGTATGTTGATGGTTTTCTACGTGCGCTCTGAGGAGTAGTACTCTGCCGGCGCATTTTGAATTCCTAAACGTATTTTTTTCTTCCCCTTTGTATATCGAACCCTGCTACGGAAATCTAGATTTGGTAGTTGCATTTAAAGTTTTATTGTGTTCGAACATTTATGCTGATTACTAATCGATTTTGGACTACATTTGATTCATTGATAACCTTATCTTGTGATTTTCATTTCGTGAAAGTTGTTATTGAGCATCTACACTATATGTGCTCTAATAAGTATGAAAATGATATATGTTTATCAGCTTGAAATATCGAGTTTTAATTTTGAGTGATTACAGCATTAATCGACTTGAGATCGCTTTAGAGGGAAGTTGTTACGATGAAGTGTGAACGTTCATAGTATAATAATGGAATATTTTTTGAAATGAGTTCGAAATTTCGGATTTAATTGAAATATTGGTATTTTATCTTGGGATTTTGAAAATAGTATTAATTTTAATTTGTTTTATAATGAAATCAAAGACTATGGAAGTGATGTCAAATTGACAAAAATAGAACGATTATTTTGTAAATTATTTAATAAATGGTTGATTTTCAAGGCCAAAGCTTTATTTTCTGGACATCAGCAGCACTGTTAACACTTAGTGTTCCAATTGCAATTATTTATGCGTTCATCGTTGATAATTACTTAAAAGGCTTGATGGTCATTGTTTATCTAAGTGCAGGGTTATTCATAGCGTTTGTACCAAATTGGCCATGGCTTAACAGGAACAAGCCAAACTGGCAACCAGATACCGCATATAAAGACCCAGCACAAGAAAATAAAAAGAAAGATCTAAATAAAAGAAGAAAAAATTAATATAATGTAGCAGTTGGATCTTTACGCTACTATTGTTATTAATTATCCTATTTACAGTAAACTTTTACACATATAATAATGAAGCAAAATATGAATCTGACACAGCTGTCAGAATTTTTTGTAAAGTGTCAAATTTGTGGCGAGGAATTGTTACTTATGAAGTGCTGGATAAGGTTCGGCACTTCGCAGGTAACAAATCTAATAAGAAATGGGAGAATCGTTGTCCGAATAAGTTATCATTCGGACAAAGTTTCTCATATTTTAAGAAGGGATTGAGATGTAAGGAACTACAATATTTTAAACGAAAAAGATGGCTCAAGAAAAGCAAAATTCGAAATTAAGAAAGAAATTGTTTATTGATTAGGCTGCTTTCAGGTATTTTTTTGAATTAACACTTTTTTGTTTTTCTTCATGCATCTGCATATAAAAAATGCACAAATAATGATTTGTAATTCAAAATATTTTAGAATTGAGTACATAAATGGTTAGATCTAGATTGTATTAATCATCTCTTAGTACGGTGATATTGCGGTAACAATGTCTGTGTCTGATAGTATTGTTTAAATGTGCGAAATTTTGATACGTTTCAAAAACCATTTATTGTATGTTGAAATATATTACAATTCAATAACATGCAATGGCATTAACTGAAAGCAATAGATGTTAAGTAATTGATGAAAATCGATATGAAAAATTAAGAATTTTCGAGACTTTTTTGACTGAAAACAATTGCTTTCGACACCTGAAATGATATTCTCCTTGGTGTATTTCTCCAAATTTTTTTCATTTTCGAAAATATCTAAGCAATTTTCACTAAAATGAAAATAATTTTTACATTTTTCAATTTTTTTTGGAAAAATGAGGTTAAAATTATAAAAGATTCAAAATTAATATAGAAACAAAGCAATTTTATTGTATTCTAAATATGCAAATGTTTTTAATTTTTGTTATTCTATAATTTTCCCCTAAAATATATCAATTATATATCAGAATCAAATAATTTTTTTGAATTGATATTTAAAAGAAGCTAATTTTCCAAAATTTTAAATCAATCATTGTTTTTCATCAATTACAATATATATTTCTTGATAGAGCATTAAATACAACATTCGTTTAAAAAATATTCCGAGTGTTTACAAAATTTTGAATTAATTTGAGATATTTACACGTAATGATTTTGAGACAAAAGGCGAGGAAGTTCCCCGTCAGATGACTCAGCCTCATGCGGGAATTATATATAATCAAGCGAAAGCAGGGCTTACATCAAATTCGAATGACATAGCATCGAAGGTTTATGATGCGTCTAAAGACACAAGATATTTCCAATTACAAAAAGAAAGATCAAAAAATTGTGATGCAACCGTTAGCAAGATTAAAGAGAAATTACGTTCTACTGGAGCAGCAGAAATGGACTTTGCAGCTTACCAAGTCGAAGCTTTTATAAAATCTATCGAATCTAAAAGATCTTACGAAACAACTTACATGCATTGCGATTTAGATTCATTTTTCGCATCAGTTGAAGCATTACTTGATCCATCACTCAAAGGAACAGCTTTTGCAGTCGGCGGATCCGTCAAAAGAGGAATTATTTCTACATCTTCTTACGAAGCACGAAAATATGGCGTTAGATCAGGTATGGCAGTTTTCGTTGCTATGAAACTTTGTCCTCATCTAAATGTTGTTCATTACAACCATGGCGACAAATATATGAATTTTTCTAAGCAAGTTCAAGAAGTTTTCAAGAAATACGATCCAGAATTTGTCAGTTTTGGATGTGATGAAGCTACACTCGATATTACACCACTTTTAAACGATAATTTACACTCAGATCAATTAGCTAAGCAAATACAGCAAGAAGTCTTCGATAAGACGAAGCTTACAGTTTCCATAGGTGTTGCACATACTCCGCAACTCTCAAAGATTGCTTCAGACATTAATAAACCTAATGGAATTTTTATTGTCCCAAAAAACGACGATGACCTTAAATCCTTCCTTCATACACTTCCTGTCAGAAAGATTCCAGGTATCGGTGGCGTAAATGAGCAAATTCTCAAAGGAATCGGAATTGAAACTTGCGGCGACATTTTATTGAAGAAAGCAGAGATTTGGCTGACCATGTCTCATAAATTCTGCAGATTTGTCTTCTCCGCAGCCGTAGGAGTCCAACCGAGAGAATATGAGAGCGGACCTCAGCAATCTATCTCGAAAGACCGGACAATCGATGCAACAGATGACAAGTGTACGCTCATAGACTTGGTTGAAAGCCTGGCGAGGAAGATTTCGAAGAAAATGAAGAAAATGAGAATTGCTTGCAGAAATGTTGCCGTGAAGTTCAAAGATATTAACTTCAAGGTGATATCTAAGTCGTATACATTCGATTACGATACTTCTGACGAAAGCGATTTAGTAAATGCGAGTTTGAAGTTATTATTAGAGGAAAGACAAGAGAGATCAATAAAACTGAGGCTAGTCGGTGTCAAAGCAACTAATTTGACATCTCCAGGCGATAAAAAACAGTCATCAATTAAAAAATTCCTCCAGGAAAAAACTGAATCATCTTCTCCGAAAAAAATTGATGTAAAAATTGAAAAGAAGAAAAGTGACATCCTATCGTTCTTTGCAAAGATGAATGAAGAAAACGAGAAAGAAGATAAAACTAAGAAGAAGAAACCATTGCAGATAGCTATTCATATGAACAAGTCAAAACCAAAGAAAAATTTCATCCAAAAAAGTAAACCACAGAAGGTTTTGATTTCTTGGAACTTATAAATTTGTTTGTTTGTGCTTTTAATAAAAGATTGTTTATGAATTAAAAAAGATTCCAAATATTTTTTTAATATATTTTAATCATTACCAGAATTGGATGCATTCAAGCATAAATATAATTGATGATAACGAGTGTGCATGTTATTTAAAGTCAAACAAACAAATCCCAAAAAAAGGAACTTCATCGATAAAATTTATTAATTTTGATTAAGTTCATAGGTATGAAATGACATAACAGTAGTATTAAACTCGAATGCACGTTTAAAATTATTTTTCTTGTGCAGTTTTGGACTTCGGAAAGCTATATTATAAAAAGTTTTATAAAGCTTTATATAATAAAATTATTATACAATCCAAATATATTAAAAACAATTAAGAATTCTTAACTTTCTAAATTTCATAATTCATGATGAATCAATTCAGGGATACAATTGCTGGATTGCAATCTCTAACTAGTAGCAATTGGAGTTATTCAGTTTTCAAATGGAAAAAGCATCAATACGAAGAATTTTAAAAATTATATATTTGATGATTAATAGCCACAAAAATATAATTAGCTGGATGCAAAAATTAGATTTTTAATAGTCAAACAAAAACAAAATGATATGAATTATTTGATATCTCAAAAATGGTTAACTTTACTTAAATCAAGTAATTTGACATAATTTATCTTATGACCAATTATGTTCAAATATTTAAATTGAGAAATACTCATTATTCATGAATTTTTGGAACCAAACTCGTTGGTTTTTATATTTTATGACTTAATTATTAAAGAAGTATAAACTTGAATTGTTTAATTATGTTAAAGTTTGTTTAAATTTAGTAAAAACCTATTTTTCAAAATTCAAAAAATGTGATTAGAAATGCAAACACGAAATAACCGCCAAATTGAGAAGTTTACATGAAATTTGAATAGGGTACTCCTCTCAATACATGATCGTCTCAATTATTGATAGGATGAATATTGCTAAATGTAGTTTTTTGAAAAAGAATGGTTCTTGTAATATGAAAGTCTCCATTTTGATGAATTCTGTGAAGTTGAAAAATCTCTTACACTTCAAATTTAGCAGGATATTTCAAACGACAAAGAAATATTTAATCACAAGGATTAAATATTCAAGCTTTGATATATCATTAACTCATTTAAAGTGAATTTTCATGTCCAAGCTTTTGAAACCCAGTTTTTGCAATTAATATAAGAAAAAATTGCGTTTCAAAAGTTCGAACATAAAAATCAGAGTAGTATTCACACTCAATAACTCTAATAAATCAATATAAAGATACATAGGACAATGTATAGGAAAAATTAAAATCATCAAAACAATTTCAACAGAAAGTATGAGTATATATGAGAAATGTATGAAATATGAGGAGATATAGAATGAAAATACTATAGATAGCAACAAAAAATCGGCCAGAAGTAACCCAGATTTTGAAATAGGTTTTCTACGACAAAAAAATTGGCCAGAAGTGTCCTAGAAAACGAAAAATGTATTCCATTTTGCAAAAACTGGGTGCCTTCAGTTCCATTTGGACAACGGCAACAAAAAAAATTGCAAAAGTGAAATCAGACGCCTTCGCCAAGGAAATCGGAAGCATCTATGAATGCTTCGATTCCTTGGTGGTCCAAATTGCTCAGGTCCACCCTGAGCGAATTTTCACATTCACAATGTGGACTTCAAGGAACCGAAGGCGTGCTCGCTGAAGATGCCTTGCTATGACAATCTCATGGACCAAAAGGAATATGTAAAAGCCCAAGAGCGAGGTCAAAATTCCAAAGACCAAGTAAAAGGACACGGACGATGCGAATCCAGCCTTGTATGGTCTTTGTAAGTTAGTGAGTAAAGACAATGATACCTGAATACTCCCTACGCAAAGTACTCCTTAGCTTCGGAGTACTGGCCCGGTCACTCGGCAAAAGTTTGCGCGCCAATTGAACCACTGGATTAGAGCGGATCATGGACCTATCTATTGTATAAGTCTTCAAAAATAAAAGTGCATCGCAGCAATCTTTTGTATGCTGAGCGATAGGAAGTATTAGATGGCTTGTATCGTCGCCGATAGGGGAGTAATCAGATATCATGCCGAGAACTGATGTAATAAAAGAAAGTTTCACTAACACATAAAAACATCTAAATATTTGGCTTCATGGATAGGATTGACATCGAATGCGAACAAGTCATCTGAATCTAGGGCAACGGACTGGAGGATCTGATCTATGGCAATGTCTATTGGGGATTTTTGGTCAATTATAGGTTCGGAGGTGGGAGATTGAGCTTCTGGGATCTCGGGACTTGTGGAATCGGCATCTTTGGATATCTTCTTTATGGCGGACCTTGTAACCATCTCTGTCTTTCTTTGGTGGAAGGAATCCAACATTTCTATGAAACTGGAAGCAATGGAGGACTCTGGGAAATCTGGGGAAACAAGAGATTTGTCCTTAATACAATTAAGAACTAATCTAGCATTGGAACGTAAAAATGTTAAAAATTCTGGTGTTGAGATGAAATGTGAGTATTCATACCAGTTTCTATACATAAAGATGACAAAATCTCTATTGGATAGTATACCTTCAAATGAATCGAAGTTTGTACAAAACCAGAACAATCCAGGTTTTGTACTGAAGCACTCTCTAAAGAACAACCAGTTCTTAGAGAGATACTCAAGAGAACCTTCTCTGGTACGCCAATCCTTACGGATTGTATGCGTTTTAAGCTCAATTGCAATAATCTTAACAAGAATGACAAGAAAATCGCGTCTGAGGTTCTTAGAGAAGATCTTGAGAGCTTTCTTAACTGATTCAATAGAGTTGTCGACTTGAATGCACTCGCAGTTCATCATATAAAAAATTGAATGACAGGAGACATAAAGGGGTATTTTCAAAGGGTAAAATTTCAATTAATTTATTTCAATCACTCACAAAATTTGAGAACTATTTCGACCATTTTTTCTAAGAAATTTATTGAATCATTATTATCTAATCTTGAATTAAGGTGATAGAGGCGCTAAAATGATCAAAATTTTTGTAAAGGTTCATAAACCTGTCAAAGGAGACACGAATCGATATTTTAATGACAAAAATATCATATTCACTAAATACGAGATATTTTAATGCTGTATTGTTGTAAACAGAAATTCATCAAAAGTGACACCTCAGAAAAGCTAAAATATTGAATTTTTGGAACTTTTGATAGAGCACGTTTTTAAATATTAATTAAAGTAAATGTATATTTTGTAAAGATTCTTTTAAATAAAAAATAAAATTTTGAAGAAGAACACAAAATCTTCTGAAAAATAATATCACATAAACTCATATTATTTTCTAATATATAACTATTTTATATAAAAATCAAATTCAATGATCTTAAAAGCGAAGGATAAACCTCAAAATTTACGAATATAATGAGTGGGAATATAATGCTTATCTATCATAAAACCATATGAAATATTAATTTTTGCTTTACGCCTAATTTTTGACGACAATTAGCAAAAAATGTTAAATGTTAACACTCAGTCCATTTGAATATGAAAAATAAAATTGACTTTGATTAAATGTTTTTATTTATCATGCAATTCTTCTTGCGACCAAAGATTTGAATAAAAGTTCAAAAAATAAGATAGCTTAAAAAATAATATACGGTAGTGTTTACTAATAGATGAATAGTATATAAATTCTATTAAAATGGATTTGATCCAAAAAAATATAAAATTTGATCATAAATAAAATCGTTTTAAATTACTTCTTCATTTAAATTATAACAATTATTTTTGGTTTTATATTTTTTTGGATCAAATCCATTTTAATAGAATTTATATACTATTCATCTATTAGTAAACACTACCGTATATTATTTTTTAAGCTATCTTATTTTTTGAACTTTTATTCAAATCTTTGGTCGCAAGAAGAATTGCATGATAAATAAAAACATTTAATCAAAGTCAATTTTATTTTTCATATTCAAATGGACTGAGTGTTAACATTTAACATTTTTTGCTAATTGTCGTCAAAAATTAGGCGTAAAGCAAAAATTAATATTTCATATGGTTTTATGATAGATAAGCATTATATTCCCACTCATTATATTCGTAAATTTTGAGGTTTATCCTTCGCTTTTAAGATCATTGAATTTGATTTTTATATAAAATAGTTATATATTAGAAAATAATATGAGTTTATGTGATATTATTTTTCAGAAGATTTCATTCTATATGCCTATGAAAAGTACTCTCAAAACTAACTTTTCCTAATTATAATTAAATCTAGAATATTGTATTATGCTTAGTATTATTTCATTTTTCTCATTCAATTTAGAATTTACAAATGTCAAAAAATTGAGAGCTGTCACTTTTGATGAATTTCTGTTTATTACAGTATTCGCATTCTTGAACGCTAATCAATGAAATTTCATTTGAAATGACAATAGATTACGAATTTTAAGTCCCTGCGCAATCATTTATATACAAGATATCAACCATTTGATAACTACTTACCTTGGATTTCTCTTTTCGATTTGTGTTCGTGAATATGAAAACGTATCTAATGTTATTTTGTTATCTATTTATTATATTCATGATAAACTTAATCTGAAATGCACAAATTTAGTATGAAAATTTTACAAAACTATATGTTTACATAAAGATTTTGATCATCACCATGAATTTTTCATTGTTTTCAAGTTTTGCACATTTAGCATAGATCATGAAAGGTCTTTGTTATTTTGGAATCGTAGCCCTTTTCTTAATGTTTTTCCTCTTTTGAATTAATTTCCAAACATAATATAATTGTCAAATGGCTATAATTCGATAATGAATATTATTGTATCTATGTAGAAATTTCATTATTAACTCTGTATTGCTATAGAATAGGAAGTTATTCGGATTTATTTTCGATTCTCATCAATTATGAAATATTGATATACAAAAACAATGCCAAAATCGTATATAGCATTACTCATAACAGCTTAACTACAAATTTGTTATAATAACGAGAAATAAGTTCACTTAATTTGTGATACATTGTGTTTATACGAAAATATAGGGACCGTAGTCGTAAACAGAAAATATCTTCGATCGTTATAATGATTGCATTCAACAATGAAATTTTAGAAAAATATTGAGTAAACTTTTTCGTAATAATAATTTGGATTTTATTAAGATTGAGTATTCTCTATGTTGTATATAACAATAAACAATTGTCTTATTTGGCATCTTCATTTTCGTAAATAGACTCATCGATCATGAATGTTTCATTGAGAAGGGCGCGAACTTTCTTTACAACATCTGGATCGAATAACATGACTATGTGATGGTACTCAACGCCATCAAGATCACCGTCTTCGCCCCCAGTTTGGAATTCGACTTTGACTGGAGCTTCTTTGTGGAAGAACTCGTCTTCAATGTTCTGGAAGACTAAACCATCTTCCGTCATTGGAACTTTCTTAATCATAATGTAGTGTGTAAAGCGGAATGAAGCACGATCTTCTTCTGTATCAAGATCTTCTGTAGCCCACATGATTTCCTTGAAGAGACCACGCATAAGGTGTGGTGCTAAGCCATCTGGAACACCACGAGCGCGCTCGTTGATGATCCAGCCTGTAGTCTTCAAGTTTTGAGTAAGAACTTGTGTTAAAACTGGGTTACCAAGACCAACAAGCCATTTAATTAATGCATCGAAGCTTGGTAAAACGTCTTTGTAAACACCAAGATTGAGGACTGAATTGAAACCAAAGAAGTTATCACCTGGCATACCATTTTCAAGTTGCTCCTTGATTGTGGTACCAACACGGTTTTGGCAAGCAATAGCTCTAGCGACCTCAAGTCTGTTGATTGGAACATATCTTGGCATGAAAGCGCTAATTGTCATAGCATCTGCTGGTACTGGGTCGAAGAAGCCGAATGTGCAGTTAACTTCGCTGAAATCTTCCTCTTCTTCTTCGTTTGCGAGTCTTGGATCAGCAGACATTTTTAATAAAATCCTAAAATCTTCGACTTGTGATATGAAAAGTGTGTCCAAAATTCATAAGTTTAGACATCAACAATTCGGGTTATCCATTGATACTCCTTTGGAACAGCAACAAGCATTTATTATGATATTGCTTATATTATTATATATTTACTTTTTTCTCATATTGGTTCGCATTTTTCTGCTTATATTCTTTAAATATAACATCCACATAGAATTTTATATCTATTTTACTCATTCACAAAGACAAATGCTTATTTAGAATAACAGTGCCGATATTTAGTTTAATAAAATTGATAGTTTTCATATAAATATTGATCTGAGTGAAGAATTTATGAATATACTCATAATAATATCTTAAATTTCAGCTAATAGAACGATGTATAGATTGTTGGCTTAATATTATCTTTCAAAAATTCTTATTCAATAATTATCTGAAGACATCAGAATTCTATTGTAAAATTAGTAAATCTTATGACTCATGAACGAATAAGTTTCTATAATTGATCAAGATGAGTAATTTTGAAAGATATGTCAATAAAAATTCATAAATAAGAATGCATATTATGCGAATATAATGATACATTGTTGCTATATTCCATGTAGAACAAATGGTGCAAAATTTTGTTAGTTCGGCTTTAGAAAATAACTAAACTTCAATTTTATCTCTAGTGTAAGACAAGAAACTTATAAACTAGTGAAGCATTATCATCAAATTGTCTGATAAATCATTAAAGGACATCACTATTCCCTGCAAATATGATGTTCTAATGAAGAGATTCTAGATTTTGTCACTTTTCTACAAAAATTTTGTAAAGTTTTGAAATAAAAAGACACCAATGGCTGAGAATCAAGTTCAGCTTCCACAGTCCATTGCCATCTTTGAATGTGGTGAGAGTCGTAAACCAGTACAATTCACTGCTACTGCCGTTGAAAATGATCACGTTATTGAAGGCAAAGATGATTTATATAATTACGATATAACTCCAATGGAAACTTATGCAACTGGTACAATATTTATTAGAAATAAAAACACAGGAGAAATGAAAGCAATTCCAGTAGAACAATACGTTCAGATTTCTAGATCTCTCTTGATTAAACGTGAAGAAACTACAGTTAGCAAGGGTGTTGTTGGCCTTGTTGAAAACTTTGGTACAAGAGCATCCAAGAGAATTCTCAAACAGCGTCAGAGCGCAGGAAAATAAGTATAGATATATTATATATAGAAATAGAATTAATATTTTGATTAAACTACTTTTGACTTTATCAAAATTTATCACAATTTATCGGTAAAATACATTTATGCAATATTTTATAAGTATATATTGTTTTGTCTTTGGAATAATTATACAAAAACTATCACATAAGCTTATTTACTACATTCTTAACTCTTTTAATATATAGACTTCTCGTCTTTCATTTGATTGAAAATTCTCTTTGGGAATTATCTTGCATAATTGATGTTTTTAGCACTATCTATTCAATGCATATCAATGTCAATGTGTGATATAGTCTAGACTGAATTTATGTTAATTTGATATTATTCATATTGAATTGTGGCAGCAAATAATACATAACCCATAATAGGGATATACCCAGCTATAATCCTTCAAAGTTCTAAAGGGCTTTGATAGGTTCAACATTTTTTCAATTTTCCACTCCACGGATCTGATTTCGAAACGAAAAATTAAATTTATCATACAAAGAACTAATGATTTCCAGAAAATCTATCAATCAGATAGCAATCGTTTTACATGTAAATGAATGAGCATTGCGGTTAGAAGTACGACGACGATATGAAATTGCGGTTTTGACGCTAATCGCAAAATGTTTGGATTCTTTAGCCCAGATCCATCTGTTACTATAACGATTAATGGAAATCCAGGCCTTGAAGCATATAGAGATAAAGTCTTAAAGAATAATCTTCCAACATTTACCGATGGAGATAAAGTTACTGGAAAACTCGAAATCATCCCACCACCAGGCAAAGGCGTTTCACACAAAGGAATTGTTCTTCTCTTGATTGGTGAATTCCGTCGTGCTGATGGTGAACCAATCGGACGCTTCATGACTAAGAAACAAGAATTAGTCCCAGAAGGCGAGCTTAAGATTCCAATCAAGCAAGATTTCACATTTGATAATGTCAAATTCTTATGCTCAACATTCAAAGGAACAGCCGTAAACGTTACATACGCAATTCAAGTCCTTGTTATTCATCGTGTTATAGATTTCAAGGTCGAACAACAATTCCAAGCAATACTTTTCCAAGAACGACCAAAGGATGTTCCAGCTATTCATAATGAAGTCGGTATTAGAAATGTTCTTCACATCGAATTCGTTTTCCCAAGTCCATCAATCGATTGCAAGGAACCTCTTGTTGGCGCCTGCTACTTTATCCTTATTAAATTACGTATTGTTCATATGGCTCTTACATTATATCGCCAAGAAACATTCCAGAGCGATGATGTTTATATAAAGAAGAAGACAGAGCTTAAGACAATTGAAATTATGGATGGAGCTCCTTGCCGTGGTGACCATATTCCAATCAGATTCTTCCTCGGTGAAGCTGACTTATGGCCATTCGAGGACTTCAAGGGTTCTCACCTCAAAGTCGAACACTATGTTAGAGCTGTTCTTACAGATGAAAACGATAAGAAATACTATAAGCGCCTGAAAGTTGAATTTTTACGTTTCAAGCCACAGTAATTTTTCTTTTACTACGTCAGAATAAAATAAGTCTTTTCTTTAGTTCCGATTCTTCCTTTTTTTCTTAATATTTTTCTCCGAACTTTGGATTTATTCAACCAAACTATCCGAAATGGGTTCATGAACTTTATTAAAATCTTTCTATTTAACACAAAAGTTTCAACTTCCACCACATTCTAATTCTATTGCGAAATTTGTTTCGATATAATCCAGATTTCGTAAATTTATATTTATTAATCACATACAATATTTTCAAATTCTTGAATATAATGACTGTAAATGAGATTATAGTAGCAATTTGAATGAGTTTTTACATTCAATCGCTATCCAACGCTAAATAAAATTACAATCGATCATTTCTCATCTTGGATAATACAAATAAGTTCATAATAGCTAGAAATTCTTTGGTTTCTCCGATAATTTTTTTTAATTTTGGAATAAAAGCATTGATTTTTTTTCTGGAAGAAAAAAAAGTCTGTATAAAATAACAATGAATGAATTTCGAGAATAAATGTTTTATAAATTCCGCGGGAGACGTTAACTTTACAAAACTAAACGAGCTTTTCAAATTTTCTTCTGCATGGATTACGACCATAATAATATTCTTATTTCGGTGTCGAAAGTCTATGCAGACGTAAATCAGCAAAAAGGCCCAGAGTGGTATGATCATAAATCATATGAACCACAATGGAATTTACCTGACAATTATTCATTAATCAAAAAAGTCGGCAGAGGAAAATACTCTACAGTTTTCAAAGCAGTTCATAAACGTCGTACAGAATGCGCTATCAAAATTTTAGTTCCATTAGATCCAAAACGTTATTTACGTGAAATTAAAATTTTAACAAACCTCGCAGGACAAAAGAATATCGTTAGACTTCTTGATCTAGTAAAAGATCCAATGACAGGCATTTATTCATTCGTATTTGAGTGGGTTGACTTTTACGATTGGAGATCACTTTATACTTCCTTCACAATCCATGATATCAGACTATACATGTATAAACTTTTGTGCGCGTTAGATACAGCACATTCACTTGGCATTATGCACAGAGATATTAAACCACAAAATATAGCTATTGATAAAGAACACAGAAGGCTCAGGCTTCTCGATTGGGGCCTTGCAGATTTTTATCATCCGAAACAGAAATACAACTCTCACGTTGCTACGAGAGTATTTAAACCACCAGAGCTTCTTATTTGTTATCCTTATTACGATTACTCAATGGACATCTGGTCAGCCGGCTTGACATTCTCAATCATGATGTTCAAGCGAATTGTCATAGAGTGTGGCGAAGATGATCCTGATCAGCTTCTTAAAGTTGCTGATTTGGTCGGCGGAGCTGGCATTCTTAACTATGCAGATAGTCTTGGTGTTGATCTTGACGACTCCACAAGACAACAGCTTGTTAGAAGGCCAGGAACAGGATGGGAAAAGCATCGAGCTAAAGTTGCTCCTGAACTTTGCCCTCCGGATGCTCTGGACCTCCTTAATAGAATGATGACTATCGATCATCGCGAACGCATCACCGCTAGAGATGCAATGAAGCATGCTTTCTTCAAGCCCCTTCTTGATCCTCTTAAAACTCATAAAGTCGAGTAATAAAATCGTGTAATAAACAATATCATTTATATTAATTGATTTGCTTTATATTTATTTCATTTCTAACTATGAAATCTTAATGATATCTTTGCATTAAAGCAATATTAAAGGATTTATGACATGCTTTATGTGTTAAAATTCAATAAAATCCTTATTCTATTATAGAAATCAAACATCTCAGCATACTGTTGGATTTTCAATTTGAAAAATCGCGAATGGTTTGATTTATTCTAATATATTCTGTTACTTCAGTCCATATCCTTCCTATTAAGATAAAATGTTCAAAATTTCATCCCAAATCATACTTTTGTAAACTTCTCAATTAATTACCTGATATTTCAAATTTTATAAATTTATAATTAAGGGTTTCGTTTTGCGAAAAAAACATACAATACGCAATTTCGCTAAAAAAACATTTAGCTAGCAATTTCGACCTTTGACTCCACTCAAGACGTCACTTTTTTAATTTTGCGGTATCATATTTTTGGAAAATCTTTATGAATATTATATAAAAAGTCTCTTTAATATCTATATTTCATATTTTTATCGATTTTAAAAGTTTTTGCGAAAAGTATTCAATTATTTTTGCTATTTGGTCGGGTAAATGTCAGATTTGCGACATTTTCTGATATGATATTCAAAAAAAAAAAAAAAAAAAAAAAAAGGTAGTGGGGCTTCCAGGCACTTCGTGCCTTCTAGCCCTGAAGATGTTTAGGAGAAATGAAGTTTTGAGGACATACATGACTGTGAGTTTTATTTACGACAAGATAGAATATGAGAGAGGTCCTATAAACCGGACAAGTAAGGGTCATATAAACATCTGTCATTTTACTCAGAATTTTACTCAGAATTCAATAAAAATATATTTTAGGGTAGAAGGTTAGATATAACCTCTTTTCTAACCTCTTTTCTAACCTCTTTTCTACCCTCTTGAATTTGTCAAGATTTCTTCGTAAATGTTTTGTCACTTTTCTGTCACTTTTCAGGAAAAAAACATTTTTATTGTATATAAAATGAATTTTACAAAACCACCGTTACCCTTCTTTGGAAATAAGAGTAGATGTAAAGATATTCTATTGAGAGAACTTAAGAAACTACCGAATGGTCTAACATTTGTAGATTTGTTCGGTGGAAGTTTCTATATATCCCATCTGTGCCATACTGTATTTCCTGACTCAAAGATTATATGCAATGACTTCGACAACTATATGAACCGTCTCAAACATATACCAGACACAAACAATATATTGAAAGAGTTAAAAGAAAAGATACCTATAGGTAAGATGGAACGTATACCATTAGATAAGAAAAATATTGTGAGAGAGGTTTTGAAAAAAGCAGAATATATAGACTGGGATAGTATATCTGCTAGACTATTATATAGTGGTGCTATAAGAGTTCATGACATTGAAACACTTATGTCAAAAGTTTTATATCTTAACTATACAAATGTTTTCAAAGAGAACATAGAAAAATATATTGAGGGTATAGAGTTTGTGAGATGTCATTGGACAGAGTTGTATGAAAAATATAAAGACAAGGAAAATGTTTTCTTTATAGTGGACCCGCCGTTCTATAACACATGGGATTTTTCAATACCAAGTAGACTGGACTTTGAGAGACTCTTTAGAAACTTTAGACGTTTTACATAACCATCCATGCTTTTACTTTACATCCGATAAAAGTGGTTTGGAAAGTGTCATGAGATGGTTAGAGGACATACATGACTATGAGTTTAGATACGATAAGATAGAATATGAGAGAGGTCCTATAAACTGGAGAAAGTGTCATAACAAAGAAATTTTACTAGTAAGTAAATGTGGTTTGAAATAGGACTACTTGTTTTAGGTTTTTTCCATTGTGTCATTTACTTATTTGACGTGGCAGAAAGATATAGAGAATATGAAGATGAACCAATGCCAGCAAATGTTCAGCATATGTACTCGTAAGAGATTTTTATCTAATATTAAATGGACGCACAGAACTTAGCGAATGCACAGCAACCTGGACAACCAAACCCAGAGAATATTCAAATGAAGTTAGAATACAAACTGCAATGGCAAACTATGGTCAAGTGCCAACAGATGTACAAATGCAAACTGCCATGTCAAATGACGCTGCGTTAGGTTTGCCACCATGGTATGCAAATATGAGATGAAAGAGTTTTATACAAACCCTGAAGTGGGATATAAACAACTCTATGCAGATGACGCGAACACAGGAGTTGACCCAGAGTATGTTTTCTACAGAGGAGAAACAGAATGTATGAGCTCCAGTTAAAGAATGCTATGGAACTCAACAGGAAACGTAAGAGACTAGGCGGACATTAGATTTTTAATATAGTAAAATGGGTTTCTTTGAAGAATAGGAAACTTCTTTCGAAATGTTGGAAGAGGTATATGGAATGGAATAAAATCTGTCGGAAGAGGAATTTGGAACGGTGTCAAAAATATTGGTAAAAGAGTAGGTCAGTTCGTTGGTATTATACCTAAAGACCCTGAACCAGAAGAACAAGCTCCTGTTATACAACAGCCTGAACCTGCACCACAGTCTAGTTGGCAACCAAATCCAACACCTCAACCGTATTAAAAAATTATATTTTTACCGTTCGATAGTAGTTGTATATGAAACTAAGTTCTAAGTAAAACGCATGGTATAATGGAATTATTCTTTTTCTTCCATCTGTAGTAAACCATACTTGAAAGTCTGAAATACTTCCACTCGGCGGCTCATATAACTTTGTAGGTTTTTCGTAAAAGTCATTTGCCAAGCATAAGAAAGAGTTTTGGGCGCCAGAAAATGAAGCATGAACAATAATAGCAGCTGGGTCGAAAACATCTTTAAATAAATATGGTTCATCTCTTGCATATCGACTGTAAATATTTGCTAAAGGAAGTTCGACTTTCTGATTTAACATTCTTTGCAAATAATACCATGACATTGCAGTGAATTCTGTATATATTTGTTCGTCTTTCTTTGGATTGTCTTCGTAGATTTGAAATGACACTTGTGAATTTTGTTTGTCATATACAATTCTCACATAAAGTGTGCTCTCGGTATTTGCATATTCATCAGCATATTTTGCATAACATGAATTTATTTTATCTTCTATATTTTTTAACGCAGTCTGTAGAGAAGATGAAAGGTCAACTTTATTAGCTCAATTTCTTCCCACATTTTTCGTTTCCCTTCAGATATATAATCTATATGAAACCTTACAATAAATGGAAAACTTTTATCTTCTACAGACACAAACTTCATTCTACGAAAGCCAATAGCTTTTGTGACAGATGGGTCTCTTAGCCATCTTAATGGGTAGTCAAAACGATAGCCTTCATGCTTTACGGTCTCTGTCTCAAACTTTTGACCGACGTTAGTAAAAAGTTCATCTAATGGTTTAGTTGTAGCAACTCTTGAATTTTCTTTTTCTATTGGAAGCATATTTTATCTAGAATAAAAATGTCAAATGAAACAGCGTCTATGAGAGAAATACAACACAACGACAACTCATTATGCAAGCTCTAAATAAGAACACAACAAACTTTTCAAACTATTCTAAGATATCTGAGTCATTGAAAGAAGGAAACTTAAAACTGACATTAAACCCAATGACAGATGAGTTTCTGTTTCAAGACAATAAGAACCATACTGTCTGTATAAATCCAACAAAAAGAACTTTAAACGAGAAACCTATAGATGAACTTTTTTGAAGGCAGATATTGACAACAAAGCTGACAAAGAGTATGTCATTGAAAAAGTTCAAGAAGAACATGACAGAGCAGATGCAACATATGCAACGAAAAGAACATACTCATCCTGAACTAGCAGATAAAACATATGTTGACAATAAAATGTCAAGTGAAGTGACAAGAGCTGACAAAGAATATTCTAAAAAGACTCATACACATACCATTGCAAATATTACAAACTTACAAGAAACCTTAAACAGGAAAAGTGACGTTGGACATACACACGATTTCTTCGCAACTGTTGGTATAGAAAATATTGCAGGAACGGTTGAAGAACCTGATGGAACTGGTGGGATGTATTAAATTGGAAACCTCCTAACTTTCCACAAGGTTTAACATCGGAGGATGACATAACAACGATGAAAGACATTAAATGTAGAAATGTCTATGTCATGGAGGATGAAAACAAAGTTAAATTCACTGCTCAAGATTTATATGATAAAAAAGCTGACAAAACATATGTTAACGATGAGTTAGATAAAAAAGCTGACAAAACATATGTTAACGATGAGTTAGATAAGAAAGCTGACAAACAGAGCTTCAAACGTTAAAGACAGAAATACTTCAAACTTATATCCTATAGGCTCTATTTATACGTCAATGAACTCTACCAAACCAGAAGTAGTACTTGGTTTTGGAACTTGGACTCAAATAGTCGACAGGTTTTTGTATTGTGCAAACTCTTCAAAGGAAACAGGTGGAAGTAAAACGATTTCAGGTGAAAACTTACCTGCGCATAGTCACTACGTAGATTTAAGTACATCTCAAGCAGGTTGGCATAAGCATAAATTTTGGGATTGGCACGCCTTGAAAAAAGGTAAAGGATATGATGTTAAAGACGACGTTCAGTTTGCTATAAATTGTTACTGGAGTGACACTCAGGGAGATGGAAACCATACACATCGCGTTTCAGGATATACGCAAACAACAGGACAAAGTAAAGACTACATGCCACCTTACATGACAGTTTACGCATGGTATAGAATTGCTTAGTCGTCATTTTCAACTTCTTTAGCATATTCGTCAGCAGTTGTCTTATATTTGTTAGGAACTGTCTTTGAAAGTATACCACCTTGAACCTTAACAAGTTTGAAACGAGGTCTGACAATAGTAGTTTTATCTTCTGCTTGCAGTGTGTACATTTTGCCATGTTTGCCTAAAACTTCATAATATTCTCTTGTATACTTTCTTCTATTTTTACGAACACGAATGTGAGTACCTGTCGAGTTCCCATTGTTGTCATAGTCAATAGTATTTTCATATGGGTCGCGTTTAGGTATTTCTATTTTTACTTTGTCACCTTTCTTAAGTTTGAAGCCTGGCATTCTTTCTTGTTTGTCTCTTTTGACTAAACTATTAAATATATAGTCTTTCTCTAAGTCGGGGTTGTTTTTCATTTCTTCGGGGAGTGGTTTCCCAAACCTTTTTGTTTACGGTTATTGTAAATATTTAAAACTTGTCTCATCTTTGCCATGGAAAAGTGTCTATACTTGTCGTCATATGACATTTCATTTGCTTCACACACCTTGTGGTTGGTTTAAGTCTCTTAAGATTTTTATACAACTGTCAATGACACCAAGAGCAGAATGGTTTTGGTCGACAATGAAATATTGGTTTACATTTTTGAAACGCAGATAGTTTTTAATATCATCTGATTTGAAAGAACTTTCACAGTCAGATGTCAGTTTTGTTGGATGGTATTTGTCAACGAATATTGTCAAAGCAGTTTTCACATCTAAAATATTTTTGGACCATAATGGTATGGCTTCACAGTATCTTGTGTTTTGACCGACAAATATTAGCCAGTATGGAGGTCCATCTTCTCTATACCTCGGAATGTTTTCCAAGATATCCATAAACCAAGCATTTGGTGTTGAACTAAAGATTTTTATCATGAGTGCTTTCTTTGTTGCCTTAGAAACATAGGGGTCCTTGTTTGGATTCGTCATTTTTTACCCTATAAGAAATGGTTTATTTGGCGCATTAGCAGGAGTTGCATCTAGATTTTTACCCGCAGTGGGAACAATAGCCAGAGGTGCGTTTGGAATTGGAAGGAAGATTTTGAGTACATTAGGTATACTTAAAGAGAAAGCACAACCTATTATACAAACTGTACAGAAAGGTTGGGAGGTAGCACGAGATGCAACAAATCTTATTCCAAATCTGAAACAAGAGGAAAAGTTCAAGGATGGATGGACAATGTGGAAGAGAAGCAGGAAACTATTATAACAAAGCAAATGACTACTATAACAAGCAGGGCACTATATGGACCAAGGTGAAAGATTCTTTAACAGAGGATATAACCATGCACAACAGTGGGTAAACAACAACCAACCGCAACCGCCTCAAACGTGGGGAATGTAAATTTTTTTACTGAGATGAAATGAATAATACAGCATTGAGACAAATGGGTTCAAGATGGATTTGTCGACTTCCAGCAGTTACACAACCACGTGTTTGTCAAGTTCTTCCTATACCTCAGGAAGTTTTAGACCGACTTAAAAAACCTAAAACCAGTTGAAAACAAACCAAACTAAAATTTTTACTGAGATGAAATGACCGAAGAAGTTGAAACGGTAGATTTGACACCACAAAACAAAAGTTCAGAACCATTGTCAAAACTGTCAAAGAACTTACAGATGAAGAGAAAAATTCAATATAGAAAGTGCCAGGTCTGGAAAAAAACCTAAATAAAGTCACTTTTCATAGAAATGGAACGGCTAGTATCTCAAAAAAGAAACAGACTCTCACAAATAAAATATTGAAGTCTGAAGGAGCTTCGAGACAACAGATGGAAAAGTTTACTTCACTGACCAACAGTTCATTATAGAACATCTCATTGACTTAGAGTCGAAATATTCTAAACTTTACAACAAACACAAAAAGTTGAAAGGAAAACAAAAACAATGGCATATGATATTTATGAAGATGTTGACGACACAACTGTTCCTGCAAGTGAGGTAAAGTCAGAGGAACCGAAAAGTGACGAAAAACCAATAGAAGAAGAAAAACCAAAAACTGAAGATAAACCAAAACCAAAGGTTAGTTTCAATACTAAACCAAGTCAACCTTCATTAGCTGGTATGGGTTGGCGTCAAAGACTTTTGGCAGCGGGTGGTTACGTAAAGTAAAGAAAAAAATTTTTTTATTTTTATAAAAATGCCCCCGTATAGAATGGATAGAAAATCTGCTAGAATAAAAGCAGAGTTAGAAAGATATGGTTGGAAAGTTTCGAAGAATTTTAAATATAGGAAGGGAAGACCCATAAAAGTCTATGACAAATTGTCTGGTCTTCGCTACGAAATGGAATTGGAAACAGCACGCGCAAATTATCCAAACAGACTAGAGAGGTTAGAAGAAGAACGTCTTATGGACATGCCTTTCGATGTTTCTGAACCGCAAGTTGAAGGACACGACGGCTTTGCCAGATTCTATTGGAAACATGACGAACAATTGCATCCTTTGAGAAGGAAAAAAGGAAAAGGTGAAGACAAACATGCTCCCATGGAAAGAACAAGATATGCATATGAAAAGTACCGTGAAGTTAGAAGTCAAATTACATCTGGTCGAACCTTTACAGTAAACTTTGACGAAGGAAAGAACAAAGAAGGCTTCATGGGAGTACTTGCTGCAATTCAAGATGGAAATAAGAAAGGATACAATCTCAGATTGACCATAACAGATTTGGATGGTCACATTTACTATGCACATGGCAATGTCACAACAGCCGCACAACTTCTTGACGCTTTCAAGACTACAAAGAGAGAACAAATGTTTGACTCCGACTCAGACATTTTGAATGCAATTGAAGGAATTGCAAGTGTAAAATTTGAATGGTACCAACCTAACCCTCAAGCAGTCAGACAACATGCTGGATACTTCCCGTTCATAAATAAGTCTGACATTGACTTGACAAGGTATGGAATTTACAATTCAATTGAAACAATTGTCAATGAACCTTGTATTCTTACATGTCTCAGGAACTCTGGTCTTGTTACAGATGAGAAGATGAAGTATCTTGAGTCATGTGTGAAGACAAGGTACATTCTCAGAGGTCAATTGGCAAAAATTGCACCGTTGGCAAATGTCAATATCCGAGTCAGCATACCTACAGCTAAAGGTTCTTCACATGACGACTATGTTGTTGACAAAGACTTACCATGGTTGAAGATTGTAATTGTCCACAACCACTTCATGTTGAACGAAAGTCTTACAAACCCATTGTTCGGAAAAGGCAAGTGCAACATTGTCAGAGCTGTAAACATTCTTTTCGAGAAAGGTTTGTTGGAACCAATTCCAGATGACAAGCTGACAGAAACTTTTGTACCAAAAGACGAAACAAACTTTTCATTGTTAGCAAGACCAAAAGTTGTTCCAGACAAAGTTATAGCACAAAAGAAGTACACTGTTTCAAAAGGAGTTGGATTGTTCGGATACCAACCTGAACCAGAAGAACTTCCAATGAGGTTGCAAGAACTTCAAGATGCTATAAACAAACTTCCATTGAGACATCCAATTGACGTCAAATTGTATTGGAGAGCATCGGAGTTAGGTCAGAAGGTTTTATATGAAACAGGTTGCTTCGACGATGTTTATGAGATAGCAGGCGAAGTTTCTCAGAAGATAAGAGACTCACTTGAATTTCCACGAACTGGACCCATTGGTTGCGACAAGTTCGACTCAGATGAAAAGATATACTATGTCGACCTTAACGCTGCGTACATGAGATTTGTCCAATATATCCCGACTGGAATTCCAAACGAAGACGGTGAGTTCCCAGGAAGGAACTATACAGTTGGAAAAGTCATACAACAACTGTATGATATTAGGAAAGCTTCAAACCCCAAACTTGCAATGACACTCAAATTGCTTATGAATTCGACATGGGGATATTCCATTAAGAAACCTCAAGAGATGAAGAGTAAACACTATGAGAAGGTCGACAACTTTGTTGAAAGGTTCTCCCCTTTTGTTTTGAAATACGAATTTACTCAAGGTCAAGTGGCTTAGTAACCACAGTAAAACCTATTGTCGAACATTGGTCTTACCCTCAGTTCGCAAAGGCAGTCCTTGACAACTACAACAAATTCTTCTCCGAAGTCAAATCGAAAGTGAAGGTTTACTATGAGAACATTGACGCACTCATGACGAACGAAGAAGGATACAACAAACTCATTGAAATGGGTTTAGTCGGTGAAAAGATGGGTCAATTCAAATTGGACAAAATTTTCACCGAAGTTCATGTCCTCTCCAAGCGTAAGTACTGGGGCATACTTGAAGACGGCACAGAAATAAAACATTGCATGAAATAAAAAATTTTTATTCGAATTTGAATCGGACAGGTCGAGTTACACCATTCTTGGTCTCAAACTCATATATAACCTGTTTGTTTGTATTTTCGTCGACTATGGCACGAGACACGAACATTGACCAAACGTACAAAAAGTGTCATTTCAGATGGTCACGCAGCCAATCGCATTCGAGCACTTCGAAGAAGCCTTACGTTCCAAGGGAGAGGGTGTCTGGTGCAAGGGAGAGGTCATGAGACTCTACGAGCAGTACATCCTCAATGCCTGGGAGGACAAATCGTCCTTGGAATGGCAATTCTACCAACTCCTCTGGGACGACCTCCTACGCAACTGGGATGACGAAAGAGTCCAATTCAGAGGTCAGGAACTACTTGTCCAAATTATCCTTAATTTAAGCCGCTTACGCAACTAAAAACTTAAATTTACTCGGGGTTTCCCCCTAAAATAAAATTTTTTTACTCTTAGAACCACTCGAGGTTCTCCTTACGGTTGTTGAGCTTGTCACCGTCAATGTGTCTGACCTTCGTCTTCTTGCCTGGATTTGGAACCCATTGAATTGCGACAAGCTTGCCCATGGAAATTGAACCGCGATTCCGAAGGTTAAGGTTCAAGTGTCCCAAGTTGTTGAGGACTGGGGTAAGAACCTTGCCTGTCTCCTTGTTGCGGATTTGGTATGGGTAGGGTTGGGAAATTTCGTAAGTGTCATCGGCAACAAGGGTTGCCCAAACTTCCTCTTCTTCGTGTTTCTCTTCTTCCTCTTCTTCCTCTTCCTCTTCTTCGTGTTTCTCTTCTTCCTCGACAATTCCTTCGGCAATTTGGTGTTCACGAATTACGGTGTTGGAGGTTCTGTCCTTTCCGAGTACCTTCCAGATGGCGTCTATCTCTTCGAAGAAACGGTAGATGAGTCTGGCAAGGTCTCGGTTCTCTCTCGCGTAAATGCGCAAGGTTTCCGTCAAATCGTTCAGGACTTTCTCATTGGAAGCTTGGTTCATGAGGAACTCACCTTTAAGTCCCTTCATCTCTTCCATAAGACTACTTTGGAGAGTCTTAACGGTGTTTGTCAGATGAGCTTTCAAATTCAAAATTTGAATTTGAACTGGGCGCTTGTCTGGCAACATTGAAAGGACATCTTCCATTGTGTTCGGCTTCGGTGCTTGTTCGGACATCGAAAAAATGAAGTGGTTTGAGAATGACGGTTTTACTTCAAAAAGCTTGTTATGACGGTTAAGTCATACAACAAGTTTAAAATAATATCTTGTTCTTCTTCTGAACGTTTGTTGTCTCTTCCGATAAAAGTTTCGAACATGAGAACCAAAAAACGTTTTTTGAGATTGCGGAAGAGTTCAGGCAAACGTTCATATTCTGGATATGTTGGGAGCAGTTCGAAAATCTGAGCTGACTTTCGGACAAAATTGGGACAATGTCAGAAAATTCATCTTTGGTCGGACTGCTTGAAGGTAAGTCCCTTACATGTAAGTAGCTCTGGTAAAGTCTTCTCATTTCTGCTAACTTTTGGAGTATAGCTTCGTAGTTTAGAAGTTTCAATTTTAATTGTCTTATTCCACTCTTTACTTCTAAACGGTAAGTATCCATGAGGTCAAGAGTAGCTTTGGTAGCTTTAAGTGGAGCTATCTGTTCCTTGACTTGTGCAATTTTGGTTGCAATTGTGGTTTGAGCTCCTTCAAGTTCGCCGTCTATGTCGTTCTCAACGCCTTCAACCATGGCTTGAAACTCTTCATCGGTCCATTGAGATTGGTGTGGGACGAATTTAACTTGCTTCATTCAAAAAATGAAAAAAATGTTTTTACTCAAAGCGTGCCATGTATATGGCTATAAGAAACTTACCAGAAGGCTTCTTCTTCACATGAGTCTTTGGCAACTTGAGTGTTGGTGTTGGAGTTCTTGGGGGAGGTGGCTCTGAAATTTCAAATCTCTCTCGAGCGCAACAACAGATGTCAGAATAACATTCCCCACTGTCCTTCTTGCCACCATAAACTGTGTATTGACCAAACTTGCATTTACAGGAAGACCGGTCAATACAAGGTTCACAGTTGAAATAGTTGTACACAAACCTGTTGAGTACGAGTGTGAGTAAAAACATAAAAAAAGTGAAGTGAAAATGAGATGTTTACTGAATTGGTTGGATGTCGCCTTCTGAGGTTATGAAGAACGGCCGTCCTGAGAAGTGGAACAGTGCTCTGAGAATTTGTATAATTCGTGGAATTGGACTCTCTCTGTTTGGAAGTTGTATCCATGGGCGCTTTGCAAAGAACTTGAGAAGAGCTTCTTTCTTCATCTCCTTTATGTCGTCTACAGGAGTTTTTTCTGGTATTTGAATTGGAATTCCGGTTTCAATTTCGATTTTCAGCGCACCTCTTCCAGACAACCAGAAGCCGAGGGACTTGTTGGCTTTGTCCTTGCCCAAATACTGCTTAACAACTTCATTTATCTCTATAAGGTAAATTGCCTCATCTAATGGCTCGATGTTGTCCATTGCACTGCTTCAGAACAATACTTGTACTTTTTCAGAACAATACTTGCACTGCTTCAGAACAATACTTGTACTTTTTCAGAACAATACTTGCACTGCTTCAGAACAATACTTGTACTTTTTCAGAACAAGACTTGTACTGTTTCAGAACAATACTTGTACTTTTTCAGAACAATACTTGTACTTTTTCAGAACAATACTTGTCCTTTTTCAGAACAAATTTCCCGTAAAAGCTCTCAATTTGTGAGAAAAATTTTCTGTTTCAGAACAAGACTTGTACTTTTTCAGAACAATACTTGTACTTTTTCAGAACAATACTTGCACTGCTTCAGAACAATACTTGTACTTTTTCAGAACAATACTTGCACTGCTTCAGAACAATACTTGTACTTTTTCAGAACAATACTTGCACTGCTTCAGAACAATACTTGTACTTTTTCAGAACAAGACTTGCACTGCTTCAGAACAATATTTGTACTGTTTCAAGACAATGTCCGACGTCCCACCAACCGAGCCCATTCCCAAACCAGAGGAACCTAAAGCACCAGCCCCTGCACCTCAGTTCCAGCAAGTACCTCCACCAAATTACTACCAATTTCCACCTCAAGGTTACTACCAATTTCCACTACAAGGCTTCCCGAACTACCCTCCTCAGCCTATGCCTTACTTCCCCAACCCTTGGATGTTCCAGCAAGCTCCACCCCAGCAATTCCAATCTCAATCTCAATCCAAGAGAGACCAAGAGTTCGAGGAAGGTCTGAACCGTTTACGCAAAGAGTATGCCACAGCCCCTATGGAAGACGACAGGCTTTCAGTCTCTTCCCTCAAATCGACCGATTCGACTCGTACCACAGATTCGGTTCGTGACCGTGAAGACTACCTCAAGCAGTCTGAGAGACTCTTCATCCTACAACCATTTACAGCTGGAGCTCTCAAGAACATGCGCAATTACGAAGGTCAGACACAGCTGGAGACCGCAAAACAGACGTACTCGCAAGAGCAGTCCAACTGGTCAAGACAAAGACTGAGATAGTCGACTTCATTCTTGCAGCTTGCCCATACAAGTAAAAAAATAAACAATTACGAGTTAAACTTTTTATTCTTTCTTTTCTGAGTTGTTTAGAGCTGGTTTCTCTTGTAGGAACCTTTCGTACTCTTCCATGGTCATGTAATTGCGAATTTGGTACGCAATTCCAGGTTCGTTGTTTTTGAACCTTACGTATGTAACGCTTCCATCCTCCTCAGGGAAGTAAGCTGCTAACATCTGACCAAGTTTTCTCGGTGACTCGGAGCTCATAAAAATGTCACTTTTTAAACGTTAAGTTTTTAGTCTTATTTTACCCTTTGTTTACCCTTTGTTTGTCAAGGTAGTATTGGAGTGCAATTTCTCCAAATTCTCTGTGTCGGAGTTCTTCAGCATTTTCCAAGGTGTTCCTGGAGAACTCAAAGAAGTTGTCAAGAACATACTGCCATGCTGCTCTTCTGAGTTCGTCGGTATTTTGGAAGTGTTGCACCTTCGAGTCTTCTGACATGAAAAAAATGACACTTTTACACCCAAAAATATATTTTAGGGTAGAAGGGTATATCTACCCTCTTTTCTACCCTCTTGAATTTTCATGAGTTTTCCCGAAATAAAAAATAAAGTTGGTTTTTTTAAAAAAAATATTTTTTATTTTTATTGTAAGAACATGTTAGCAACAACAGCACCAAACTCTTTAGTCATGAACCCAACTTCAATGTTAGTAGAGATGAAAAGCTTCATTCCTTCTTCATATACTTTCGAAACAACAATCCAGAAGATAAAGCAAGAACTTCTCCAAGGAGATTTAGATTGCACTGCGAAAGATGAAACAAATGAACAGTATCTTTATGAAATGCAGGATATTATTGACCATCTACCTAAACTTCCTGAAATCCAACAACAAAAGCTCACTATTCCAGAATTCGATGAAATAGAAGTCAAAGCAACTGACTCAGTAGAAATTAAGAAGTTCATACGAAAGGTAAACTATGAGTTTCTTGGATTTCATTGCAACCACAAAGTCATGGACAAAGATTGCGATATGGTATATAAAAACATTTCTGACATATACAAATCTGGGGAGTTTAAGACCTACGACAACTTTGTTTCGTTAGTTGCAAAATGTGTATGGCAGATAAGAGATAAAGATAGAAGAGGTAAGATATGGAATGAACAGATAAAACCCGCAACTTTTGAGTTAAAGAGAGCAATTGACGCCTTAGTCATACTAGCAGGTAAGATTTCAATGTACAATGCTAAAATGAACCCACAATGTTCAAAATGTAAAGCAGCAATGAGGAAATATAACTACTCCGTCAAAGAGATAGAACGTATGCGAAACGACTATGCTGACTTAAAGAAAGAAGTAGAGAAACCAGCAGAAGATAAAATGGACATGTTGACATTTCTGAACAAAAACTATCCAACAGCTGACGATTTCCTTCTATCTGATGTCAAGAAGAAATATAAAGAAACATTCGGCATAGTTAAAACATTCGATGTACTGACAGAAGAAATAGAAGCTACGAAATTGTTTAGAATTTCACGAATTCACAATGTTTACCATGTAAAACGCTTATAAAATAACTGGGGTAGAAAAGAGGGTAGAAAACGGGGTAGATATACCCTTCTACCCTAAAATATATTTTTATTGAATTCTGAGTAAAATTCTGAGTAAAATGACATATGGAACACGTACTTTTTCAGTAAGGACATATGGGGTAGAAATGAGGGTAGAAAACGGGGTAGATATACCCTTCTACCCTAAAATATATTTTTATTGACTTTTTACAATTTGAACTTTGTTCGCGTAGATATGAATTCTGAAAGAAGTATGAGGGTCTTGTATGACTTTGTACTTCTCCCATAGTTCATGTCTGTCAAACTTACCTGCCATGGACTCTTTCATAAGTTCCATGAAATCGTCTTCGGACAATCCAGGGAAAAGTATGATATCAGTAAGTATTCTTTTAACATCCTTACTTAAACTCTTTGCTGTCTGTACACAAATGACAACTGAGATGTTAAAGTGTCTGAGCTTCTTAAGAATTCGACACATATCTTGTTCTCTGTTCTTTAACAAAGGATGAGAAGCAAAGTCATCTAAAATAAGAAGACATCTATGAGGGTAAGTCTTCCAATCGTACGATTGCAATTTCTTCGAAATGTATTCTATCTCTTTCTGTTTGTTTCTGAAGTGTTTCTTCTCTAATATTCTCTGCATTTCCTCATTTGGGTCTTTAAACTTCGAATTTATATACTCATTTATAGCATTATACTTCAAAACTCTTCTTTGGTACTTCTTTATCCAATCTAACAACTCAGAGTCTTTTATACATACTAACTTAGACTTTTTATAATATCTTTGAACGAATTGACGGTTTGGTCAAATTGACCAGAAGTACTACAAATACAACTAACTCATAGAATGGGTTCTTCTCATCTAGTTCTTGTTGTTGTGCAGCCATTTTAAGATAAGTGAAAGTCTTACCCGACCCAGGTGGTGCAATTAGACCTGTTATACCATTCTGAGCAAATAAGAACTTGTCATGTATAGGCTTTATCTGAGCATTTTCTAACTTCCTCTTGTTCTTGTTTAAAACATTCTCAAATTTCTTGTCAATGTCAGCAAACTTTTTTTCTAACATATTTTTAGAAAAATTAAAAATTTTATCTTTTAGAAAATGTCTAGCGATTTCGCTATCTATATTCGAGACAAACTTTTTGACAGCAAAACATCTGTCGACCATAAAATCTTACATAGTGTAAACAAGAAAGGTGAATTTGTTCTAAAGTTCTGTTTCTGGGAATATGACAAGAACCATAAAACATTACAAAGAGCAGTCTTAAAATTTGTCAATGACAGACTTGTTGACAGAGATGACGCCGATTGGAAAGATGAAGTCCAACAAAAGTTCTTAGAATGCAAAGAAGGCACATGCGCTGTTCTTGAAGATGAAATAGAAAACAGAATAGAAGAGCTATAAAGGACAAAGAACTTTTACAAAATATGGTTCTGAGAAGTTTGACATAACCCACCAGAAAAGAAGAAGAAGAGAGAAAAGAAAGAAAAGAAAGTAGAAGAAGAGAAGAAAGAACCTGAACCAGTTCCAGAGAAAAAGAAATTTGACATGTAAAAATAAAATTTTATTTTTAGAACATTTCTGGGTCAATGTCAATGTTCTCTTCCTCTTTAGGGCAAACACTGGCTTAGACTCTAAAATCTTTTTACCCAACTTACCTTGAACTTCAACTATCTTAGACTCATAATATTCATAGTCGTCTGCTTTCTTTGGTTCATAAGGTATAACAAGTTTGTATGCTTTGCCTTCTTTAAGGTTTGAGAACCTTCTGTCAAAATTTTCTTTGACTGTAACAAACCTTCTATGTCTAAGTCTTCAAATTTCGCACCATTTTTAGTCACAATAGCAAACTTAACTGGTTCGATGTTCCAAACTTTGTCAAATGTAGACTTTTCAAAATGGTAGAAGTAAACATTCAAATATGCGAATGGGTCTAGTTCTTCTTTGACTTCTGTCATGTACTTGTTTACTGAGATGAATTTTGTCATCTTTTCTATCGGATAAAAAAATATTTTTTTAAAATTTACTCAGAAAAATTTTTCTTTGTATATACGCCATTCTGAACATCTAAAAGATTTTTGACATTTGCCAAGAATGTTCGTTTAGACGCTGTCATATAACCATATTCTTGACAATATTGTTTATATTCATCGTACAATGACCTTTCATCTAATGACACAAAGTCAGTTTCATCTATAAACAGTTCATAAACACTCTTGTTTGCTTCTAACAACGTTTGTCTTTCTTCGGTATGTGGAATTTGTCTTGGATTGAACTTAGAAATATCTAATGTCATGAAATATGAGAACAAGTGGTTGTAAAAGTTAGGTGTCAAAGTTTCTGCTAAGTCGTCAAAATATTCTGTATCTTGCATATGAGCTTCTGACGTTCTGACAACTACATATCTTCTGTCAGAACTTTCTAACTTCATCGGAACAGCATTGTTTGAAACCATAACGAAGTTTGCAACATTTTCACAAACTCTTTGGTCTTTATACTTTCTTTCAACAACTCCAACTTTGTCTGTTATAAGACTCTTCAAAGCATCTGAGTTCAAAACTTTTGTTGTATCTATACTTTGAAGTTCATTGCAAACTATAAGTTTCATATTCTCTATTGAGGAGTTAAATTTACCGCAGATGTTTTCTAAGTTTGTCATATTCGGATTCGAATAACCTTCTAACAGTTTGCATAAGATATCTGTAAAGAAAGTATTCTTACCAGTTCCTTGTTTTCCAATTATGATGAGAGCAGTTTCATTTTTAGCACTTGGATGTTGTAAGATGTTTGCAAACCAACATAAGATATACTCATAAACCTTTTCGTTTCCATTGCATATAATTTCTTTGACATGGTCTAACCAAGCTTCTATAACATTTTCTTTCCATTCTACTTGTTCGTATTTATATCCAGTGAAGATAGAATAGAAGTTTGGAGAAGGTGTATAGAACTTTATACCTCGAACTGAAAAATCTTCTAACTTTGACAATAAGATATCCCAAGCATCTAACATCTTCATGCCAACTTGTACGACTTTTATTTTCTTAAGTTTTTGTCTACATTCTTGTTCTGAAACTATTGTTGCTCTTGGTTTGTTAAAGACAACATCCCATTCTTTCATGACATAACATTCTGGGGCAGAGTCAACATAAATGACTAAACGTTTCAAATTCTCGACTGCTTTGTTATAGTCTCTAAATGGACACATATTTCTGAATGCTTGGAAGTCATAAAAATCTGAAACATCTATTCTGTACATTTTTTATAAAAATAAAAAAAATATTTTTTTTATTCTTGACTTTGTTGTTGCATTTGTTCCATTTGTTGCATTTGTTGTTCTTGAGCTATTTGTTGTTGAAGTTGTTCTTGTAATACAATACTTTCACCAGTTGCATCTTCCAATTCGAAACTTTCTGCCGTCATTGACAAATACATCGGACATAAAAGTTTTACAGGAACAAAGTTTGCGTCGACTAAGGTTAAGTTTATGTTTGCTAAAGTGTTTGAGTTTACTAAAGCTGAAAACTCTGCATTCGAATGAACAATAGGCAAACCAGCAGAGAAAGTGTTGTTTATACGCATGAGTATCTTTTGGTCATAGTAGTTTCTGTCGACATTCGAATAGCACTTTGAACCTAAGTTTGAAACAATATATAAAATAGGTGTACTTAAAGTCAATGGAATAGACAAACCTTGTATGACACCTTTTCCTGTTATAGGAAATGTTGGTAGTAAAAACCAGATATAAGTTTTGTATTATAGCTCATATCGTTTATAGTAAACTCAGTCGGACATCCAAACATAATGAAACCTGCTCTAGTTGCAGCACATGTTACATCCGTCCTTAAAGTATTAAATAAGTCAACAAAACCTGTTGGTGGTATATCTGAGTAAGTATCTTCAAAGAAGTATTTTTTACCATTCACAACAACAAAGTCTTCTGGTGTCAAAAGAGCAAAACAGGCTTTAGTCGTCATCGTGTTTAAGGTCAGTTTACAATATCGTCCTTGAGGACTTTGTAAGTTTGTTGTTATAGAATTATATGACTCAGGGTTTTTAGTCGTAATAGTATAAACCACTATGTCTTCTGCCATTTACTTAGCAACTAAATTTTAATGAAATGTTGTGGTCGTCAAATATTTTTATGACGTCTGGGAAACTATATTTTAAGTTCAACGTTTCACCTCCTTTCATAACGTATATCTTGTCAATGACATTATATGAAACACCACAGCAAGCAATGTCGGGTTCTATTTCTTTGATGTTTATATCGTCTGCCTCTGTCAAAAGTTTCAATAGTTCTTTCAAAACTTCATGAGGTGCGATGACATATGAGTTCACTTTTACAGGGTTGTGTTCGACCAAGTTTAACATTATACCTAAAGCTTGACAAATCTTCTCCTGAGTTTTAAGTTTGTCTTTAAGTTGTTGGTAGTCGTTTCGAATATCTGCAACAGAACTTAAGTCTCTGCTAACTTCAGGATATGTTGGTTGTTCTTTTACAGGAACATTGTTATACCATCTTCGTCTTCGTATGGTTTCCCCACTTCAACATCTCTTTCTTTGACATTGACAAACACTTTGACTGTTTGTTTGAGTTGGTGAATTTAACTTCACATCTGCCACCGCCATTAAACCTTTTGAAACACTTACGCTTTTATTTTTCGGAAATGACATTTTACTTAGAATAATAAGATGGACGTATTCGAGTATCTCTTCGAATTGAAGCAGAACAAAGTTTACACACACAAACAATACAAATACATTGACAGAATAGTTCTTTACACAAACAATGGAAAATGTTATAGAATAGCAGTCTTTGCTGAACCTAAATATTTTCATAAAGCAAAGAAAGTTGGTATAACCGAGATGGTGAAAGTTCTTGACAGACAAAAATATAACAACAAAACTGACCGATATTACTAAAGGTAAGTTTATAATACAATATTATGTCAAAACTGGCGTACTGTCAATATTTGACGGAGAGAAGTCAGTTCAAGAACAACTTACTGACCTGCTGCCAAAATCTGCTCGATGGAAGCTGTCGTTATGCCAATCTGAGGAGCCCCAGCAGGTTTCATCGAACGAATCTTCAAAAGAGCATCTTCCGTGAAAAGTGCTATTGGTTTTGTAAACTTCTTTGCTTTCAATTCATCTGGACCGTCTCTGTCACCAGTATATTGTATTTGAACTGTACCAACAGTTGAAATACCACCCATAAAGTCTTCTGAGTCAGCAAATGGAATGCCAAGCCAAAAGTTTGAACGGTCTCCATTTGTATATTGAGTTTTTTGACTCCTGTATGGTCCATACTTTCACATATGGCATAATAGAACTTTGCATTTCAGGGTTAATGGTTGTTGTGAAGTTGTTGTTAAAGTTCATAGCATCTAATGTCAAGTTGTATGACCTCATATCCTCAACTGTAGAATATTCTTCTCTTGGATAGTATTTGCCATCTATGTTTATATGGTATTTAATACCAGGGTTGTAGAAGCAAGAATAGTCATTTATAGTTCGTCTGAACAGTACAAACATAGTATCTGCATGTTTCATTGCAGTTGTTAAGCAATATCTGTTCTTGCACCTGGGTCAGCACTTTGGTTTCCAACTTCACCTGCAAAGTCTTTGACAGATATTTGGTGTATAGGGAACATAAGTGGAACTGCAATATATTTGGCAGCTAAAGCATTTGAAATATCTGGGTCCAACATATAGACTGCAAGTCTGCTTTCTATTCTCTTGCATTCAAATTTTTCGCATGTGAACTTAACTGGGTCCCAAGCATCTCCAGCAGCATTGAAATAATAGTTTACTTCAGTGTTGAGGTTTGAGAAACCAAAGTCTAAGTCAACTTTGTTTTTGCAAAAGTCGGCGAATGACATTTTATTTGTTCCCACTACTTCTGTAAGAGTGAATGGGTCTTGTGTTGGTGCAATGACTAAGTTATTTTTGCTTGGAGTAAGTTCGATAGAAATTTTTCCTGCCCAGTTTGGCAAGTATCTTAAAAACCTGAAGATGAGGAAAGATGACAAAGGAACTCTAAGTTTCAGTTTTACTTTGGTTACTGCTGCTGCAGTTTGTCCAGAAAGGTTAACATAAACTCCTGGAACGTTAGGGTCAAGTCTTCTTATTTTCTCAATAGTTGCATACTGGTCTGTTTGTTCTCTAGCTTGTGGTTGTACTGAGTTTCTCAAAGCGAACCATTCATAGTTTGCCCATGTTACTGTTTGAACTAAGTCAGAGTTAGAATATATCTTATATCCCATGAAAACTTCTGGAGCATATTGGTATCCGACATAGAAAATTCCATTGCAACCTTTCTTGTCAGACAACTTGGCAGAAGGTTTTATTTCAATGTCTTGTTCCACGTATAAGAAAGAGTTGTCAATAGAAATTATATGAAACCTGTCGCAAGCAATATCTACTGTTGTTGAAGAACCTTCTCCAAACTCACCTACGTTTCCATAAGAAACAGCAGTTGTATATTCGTAAGTTCCAGGAACTATTTCTGACCTTCTAATGGCATTGTCGCATTCGTTATACCATTCGGAAACATTTCCATTCATAGCATCCAAAACTGTTGGCGTTATATTCTGAGCGGCGTACATTTCATATGAGTAAAAATATAGAATAGTTGGATTTATATGTCATAATAGAACCCACGTGGACCAAGCTTTACTTTCTTCCTGACTGAGTTTTTAACTCTTCTTTTTCCTTCATTGCCACTACTTCACTTTGTTCTTCACTACTTTCACTTTGTTCTACTCTTCTCTTCTTCTTTGGTGTCGCTTTTGGTAACTTGCCCTCTGCTTCAAGTTGTTGCATCTTTGCCTCATGTTCATCTAGTATGTTGCAAAATTTCCCATGTCCTTTTTGCCTTTTGGCTCTGGTCGCCCATCTCAGGTAACCTATATCCTAAGAAAGAATTTGTCATAGTCTGTATTTGAGTCTTCGCGTATTGTTTTGCATGACTCTTTCCTGAGTTTCCGGTTCAAGCTCTTCAAACAGTGCCTGTCCATATGGAATATGCTCGTTTCCAAATATATGTTTTTGTAGCCATTCTGGTTTTCTTTCCATGTTACCAACTATATCTTTTGTGAATGGGAAAGCTTTTACCCAATCTTTCAGTCTTGCGTCATTTATTTCTGTAGTTGGTTTTTATTTCAAGGAACATGTTTTTCAATACTAACATTTCATTTGGTACTGTCCATTTGAGTTTTCTTAAATATTCATCCCTTCTCAGTTCATTGTCTGCAAAGTAAGTTTTTTATGACATTTTGTAAAACTTTCGTTTGCAAGGTCATGTACAATAGGTTCTCTTCCTTCGCTCTCCCTAACTTTCTTTCTAAACTCTTCACCAAATATACCATCTCTATGGTTCTGTGTAGTTCTTTGAGATAAATGTTCTAGAACGTCAGGTGTTATATTTCCATCAGCCATGTTCATTTCATACTGGTCCAAAATATCTGCATGTTTCATATCTTTCAATGGCATTAAAGCCGCGCTTAAAATACCAGCTATGTCTCGTTCACCATTCAATTCCATTGCGTCTACAACTTCTTGAATTGTGGTTGTAAGTTTTGAACCACCTATCCGGGTTAGCTTTATGACCCCATCTCATTGTAGTTCCATCGTCTGCAGAAACAAAAGTAGGTTTGTTTCCATCTTGGTTAGGTTCTGAATGAACTTTAAACAATGTTTCATTTCTATATGTTTTCTTGAAATTTAACCTTTTATTTCACCGAGTTCATCCGAAGATTGAACGTTAAATGCTCGTAAGTAAAAAGGGTTGTTGTATTTGTGTACATTTTTTTTCAGTTCTTCCATTCTATGCTGGATATTTTCATCTGGTGCTGGAGTCTTTTGTATGTCGGCAAACATTTTTCGATATTCTTCTACTATGTCAGCCGAATCTTTCTTAGACTCTTGGAAAGATTCCATATTCACCTCATGCTCTTGTTGAGGTCAAGATTTTTCGGCTGTTCCAAATCTTCATCTAGTTCTGTGAAGTTAGTTTCCAAAGGAGTGACTTGTTCGTTTCCTTCAGGCTCTTCTAGCTGTTGTTGCTGAACTATTCTTCCATGTCTGGTTGTATCTGAACTAGTTCTTCCTGTGGAGTTTCTTGTACCTCATCTGCTGGCATTTTCATATATTCCGAGACCGTTTTCAACAATTTCCCTATCTACGTCATCCGCATTCATAAGCTTTTGTTCTTTCGTTCCGTCTCTATTTTTTAACGTTTCATGACGAAAGTTGTATTGTCATTTAGCTCTGACATCAAATATCTCGGAGTAAATTCGTTCATGTCATTTGATGATATGCTATTAAATCATATCCCTTAGCGAGCTTGTATTTCCAGGTTTGAAATTATATCCCATTTGGTGCTGAGTCATAAAGCTAAATAGGTTCGGGTCAGTATTTCCATCCTTGAACTTTCCAATAGCTTCTTTATATCTGTCACTAAAGTCAATAGTATCTGGGAAACCACACTCTTCTTTAAGCATTTTTAAGAATTCTTGGTTTCCTTGTTCTCTACTTCTTTTATGTCCTTGCTCTGTTTGTGGTTGTTGTGCAGGGTTTTGCTCTGTTTGTGGTTGTTGTTGCTGTGCTGGTTGTTGTTGTTGTGCTGGATTTTGAACTGTTGGTTGTTGTGTTGGTTTTGGTGCATGCCTGTGTCTATGTCCATGTGACGATGTAAATGTTCTAGGTAGTCCTGGTGCAGGTGCTTCTCTTGGAGGGTTTGGTGGTATATAAGTTCCACCAGCTGGCACATATGTTCCATCTGCAGCATAATGTCCTACCTGACTTTTCGTTTTTAAGAAAGCATTTACTAGGTCTGTTTTGGTCTGTTGTAACTCTTTTTCTTGACTTTTCACAACAGTTGCTCTAACGGCGTCATAGGCACTTTGAACTGCCTGTCTCGTTGCTGCATCTGTTATTTTCGTCATATTTTGTGCTACTTCTCTTAACTCTTTGTCGAAACCTTCAGACTTCAGTTTCTTTCCAGATGAGAAGTCGTTCACTTGTTTCACCTTACTATGAAGAGCTTCGAAAGCGTTCTTAAAGTCAGCATTTGTTAAAGCTTCATTTGAACTATCTTCATCCGCTTGTATTTTTGTCCTTATTGACCCTATGAGTTGGGCTGCTTTAGCGTTGGCTTGGGCATCTAACCAGTCATTATTAGCTTTTATATATTCTGCGCTTTTCATTGCCTTTTGCATGGCTGCGTCGTTATTTTTACTTTCTTGTGCTAAGTTTTCATACTGTACGGTTTGGTTTTGCAACTGTAAAAGTTTTTCTGCCTTTACATTTGCTTCAACTTCCTTTTTATACTCATCGCTATCCATATATGTCTTCAGGGCTTTTTGTTTTATCTCTTCATCTTTCAGTATTTTATATTGAGTAGTATGGTTTTTCAAATTTATGACATCTTGTTCCATTTTTGCTACTTCTGCTGCTTTTTCTGACACTTTTTTCGCATATTCCTCTGTACTTAGTTCTTTCAGTTGTTCTTCTTTCTTCTTTTTCTCTACGTTTAACTCATTTAGTTTCTTTGTGTGTCTGTCATATTCTAGTTTCTTTTCGTTTTCACTTATTTGCTTCTGTATGTCTATGTTTGACTTTTTGACATCTGTTATTTGATTTTTGAGTGAACTCAAATTCATTTGACTTTGAGGGTTATAGCTGTTCCGTCTGCAGCTCCACCATAGCCTGCCATTTTCGCTAAAAGTGCCGCTCTTAAACCTCCACTCTGTGCACCAAGAACTCGGTTTAAAAGCATAGGATTGTTTGACATTTGTTGCAACATAGTGGGGTCATTCAGCATTTGTTGTTGCAACTGTTGTTGTGGTGTCAGTTTTACTATTGGATGTTTCAATGCTCTCTTCCTCTTACGTATATTCTTACGTAGCTTACGTGGCATTTTAAGTGAAGTTAAAAAGCGGTTTTTGACAGATGTTTATATGACACTTTTTGTTCAGCACAAAAAACTACTCGGTCAAAGTGTTGTCAGTTTTGTAAAATAACCGTCCTATCTCATTCTATAAGGGGGAAAGTCTTCTCAAAGTATACTTCCTTGGAACGCCTGTAACTTTTCCTGTAGCGACGATAGACCCTTACTTGTCCGGACAAAGCTGTACTATTTTGAGTGCTCTACAAAAAAGTCAACGGCTACGACTCTCAAAAACCGTTGTGTAAAAAGTTTTACCGTTGGACAAAAAAGTATGTATAGAAAACAAAAAACGTTTATAGTTCATTCAATATTTGAGATGGAACGGTTTGCCAACGGTAACTATTAAATAAAATAAAAAAATAGAGGGGGTTACCGTTGACGAAAACGGTTTATTTTAAACTTTTCTATGAGTAGTCCGAAAAAAAACAGTTTATTTTTGTCTAATGGAAGCCAACATTAACAATTCTCAACCGCTAACCAAAGCCAAAGCCCCACAACCTCCAAGAACTGGCACAGCTGTTAGAATAACCGCCAAAAAGTCTAACAGCGAATTAAGAGAAATTCTTCAACAAATTTGCTCTAAATATCTCAAAGACGCCGAAGAAAACACACAACCAGACGCTATATACAATACTCAGTTCTGTGAAGTTCTGAACAAAGCAATTGCTAGTTCAATTGAACTTACTAAGACAATTCCAAGTCCAATTGAGCTTAGCGATGTCTTAGTTCAGTATTTTCCAACATTTACTAAGCTTATAATGTTGAGAACTTTATACCAAGTTCGTCAAAATCTTCCTCGTTCCATCCAACGGTCATTCGACAAGAGAATTGCCGAATTCCAAGTCTTTAGTTACGGATATGACCAAGATGAATACATTGACGAGTTCGGAGACAACTGTACAAAATGGTTTGACTGCTATACGACTACACAATTTGAATTCGACTTTCTCGAATTCAACGCAGCAACCATTTATATCATTGCTCTTTACCTTTCCGAACAACAACAAGACCTCGCAGATGGAGATGTTGTTACTGTCGTCATGGAAACTCCTGAACAATTCGGAAAAAAGAAGTCTCTAATTGCCAAATTTGTTCCAGGACATCAGCTTTTCCAACGCACAGAAGTCTTCTGTATTCCTGGAACTAAGTTCTTTGTCAGGAGCGAACTCAAAGAAAGATATAATGTGTCATTCAATTACACATTATATAATGTCTTCGACCCAGAAGAAGACTTCTTCCCAGAAGCAATGGAGGAGGAAGAAGAGGAGGAGGAAATACAAGACTCAATCCAAGAAGAGTCCTCCGAATTCACACCAGAAGACTAACAATTTTCCGAATAAAAACCTCATTTTTTACTAAACATCTTCGGGGCTAGAAGGGGCGCAGCCCCTGGAAGCCCCACTACCTTTTTTTTTTTTTTTTTTTTTTTTATTCAGATTCGACGTTGATAATAATGCTTATAGAACCCTCTTGCTATTGTGTCAAAATTGCGAAACCGATAGCAAAAATATCTCGCAATATCAAAATTGAGATATTGAGTGAATTATGCATTATAGAGATTAAAAATCTGATTTGTGAAAACATCTCATCAGTTTCTAGCTAATTCAAAAATCTTTACTATCTTATTCGATTAAAATGAAAAGGGAATAGTTTCATTATGCTTTAAATGACAGCCTTATAATATAATCATAGTTTTGCTCAATATGCAGCATTTTTTTTTCGAAATCTATGATCAATATCCTAAATACTGATTGCTTTGCATTCATATCTCTTACATTTTCTATACCCACATCACTATTCATTGCTATTCCTATCTTTTTCATTTTTGTTTGTTTCTCATAATTTCTCAAAAAACATGATAACTTGATATTTGTAAATATCATACTTTATAACGTAAATAAGAACTTGACCTATTAAGAAAAGCAGTAATGAAAAGAAAATCTGAAATTCATAAAAATTACAAGTTTCTGATGACAATTAGCTTAATTAAACCAGGTACAAGATTATATAATTGTATTTTCTATTCAATTATCCATATAATATCTTATCCAGAAAAAATAACTTGATCAATACCAAATGATTTTTTAACTAGTAAATAAAGTATTTTCTTTACACACACATTGTATATCATAGTTTGTTTTTTTGGTTTCGCAAAACATCCAAAAACAAATATGCTATAAAAGTGACAATTTTAGCAAAACGAAACCCTTATTATAATCTTTAAAAACAGTTACATAATCTAAATCTTTGATCGATCAAAGAGCATGATAAAAAACTTTATTTCGTTAATTTTATCAAGAGGTAGGGCAACGATAGAAAATTTTTGGAAAAAAAGTTCGGAGATCTTAAACGTATCATATTCCCTGCATGGTTTGGTATCTTCCGCCATGCGTTGTGCCAAACATATTGACACTTTCCAATAATTAATTTATGGTATGAGTCACAGAGTTAGATTATAAAAAGAAAGTAAATAATTGCAATTAGAAATCATATATGTCGGAAATCAAATGTTGATGAGCAGAAACCTTTTACTCATCATAAAAGAGATAAATCACTAAAGATTTGTATACATTAAAATTTGATATTTGGTGCTCGAAAACTGTCTGATGGGACTCCTCCAAAATGAACCAATCTATCGCTGAGGACCAAATTAGATGATGTGGATGGTGTATTCTCTAATTCTAACTTAGGAAGAATGGGAACAAAACGAATGACGACAACAACATGTCAAACATAGATTAAATATCTATGAATCAATAAAGTATACGTGCATTGAAGGTGATAACGATCACTTGAGGCTTATAACTCTTTGACTAAATTATGCAATAATTAAATATAATCATTTTTATATTTTTATACTGATAGTAATTAATATACTATCCTGCTTAATAAATGGTATGATCAAATTTGTTTGAAAATTTAATTATGTATATGAAACTATGTCTTCTATATAAAAATCAAAATTTTCGGACGAACCTAGATTGAACCTTTATGAAAATCTATCATTTTTGTTAATTGAGTTAATATGAATCTTTTACATATGTATATATAGCATTGATAGCTTATATAATCATGGTTTATTCCATATTAACATATTTTTTCAGTTAAATTTGTTAATAATATCATGTAACAAATTAATTCAAGATTAGAATGTCTACAAAATGCTAACAAATAAGAACAAAATACGATTTCTCGACTTAAATTTTAATATGGAGTAGTTTTTCGTTTAAATCTAATTAAAAATGAATAAAAACTTATCTTGTACTATTTTCATTCAAAGATTTTAATAATGTAAATCATGCATTTTCATAATTCAGTACAGTTCTTTTTAGAATTAAAGTTGATGAGGATGATATTTGTGATTTAAAATAATTTGTTAATGTTCACCTTTTATTCATCACCTTGTGGTATGCCCTAAAGCAATAGCATTATCAATTCTGCTGAATTGATCAACTCAAAATTCCAAAAAAAATTCAAAATTTCAAAAATGAAATTAACAATTTGAATTTTCACATGAAAAAATTAATTTCGAAAAAAATTTGGAAAATCAAAGTATTTGATAATTAGTCAAATAATCAATTTACATCGTTTTTACTCATAAAAAACAACTAATTTTTGATTTTGATATCATATTTGATAAATACTCATTCCAGAGTTGACGTAATGTATTAATTATTGTTAGAGATATTGCTTTCGCAGCAAAATTCTTATTTCATGAAAGAAAAAAAAAAGATTTTATTCCAACAAAAACAAGTAAACAGATGAATGGAAACGTACTATATTTTCATAAATGTAGTAATCAGCGTGTCAGCTTTTGTTTATCATGTTCGAGTCAAAATGTATTAACTTGTAATAAGAAATATTCGAAGATTATATGAAGTATTGAGCATTCTTTGTAGAAATATTTGTAATTCATTACTAACATATATAATAAAGTTGTTTTTTTTTCCTTATTGCAATAATTTTGTCTGATTTTAATAACTTTTCATGTATACGAGTTGTGTGAATATGCATCATAATATGCGTAAATATACTTATTTGCGACGAATAATGTGGTTGCATAATGGAGGTGCTAAATTTTGATTTTTAATATGGGGCTTTGGTATGTATAATCATGTTCTTATCTCAACGTAGGAGTATTGGTGCAATATGATTAAAATTTACGAGGTTGATCTTAAATTGAATAATTCTGGAGTATAAATCACAATGCAGCTAATTCTATGTTAAAGATAGATACAGATTGTAGTAATCAATTAGGGAGTACAAATTCATTCTTTCATTTCTGTCGTATTGAGCAGAAAGGAAGAGATCATAACCCTAGGAAAAAAAGCCCAAATTTGTCACTTTTCATAGTACGTTAAACTCAATTCGCTCGGCGAATGCCGAGCACACGTACTCATCATTCAACATAATATTCTCATTCTTTGGTTATTATAGTGCCAGACAACACAAGATTTCAAAGAATTACTTGAGTTTTCAATTAATCTTAATCCGATTTTAGATTTATCGAGAACTCCATCATCACAATCACATACTTCAGTGCGGTAACTACAATTATCCATATACAGAAGGAAGTTCTTTTCGAACAACTCATTTGGAGTCTGTTTTGGAAAGAACTTCTTTCTGTCCGACTTAATTTCATAGTTCCTGATCAACCAAAAGACAGAAACCACACACTATCTACTTAGGAAAGGAGTTCTTTCTAAATCTTCCTTAAATTGAGATTTTACGAGAGATAACCCTTCTATTGCACTTAAAAATGAACATTTTGATATCTTTAGTATCACACATGGTCATATATAGTATTTCATCTACATGAATACATTCATCTTTCGAAGTCTCTCATTAAATGGGAGGCTTCGAAAGATGAATCGTTTTATTCATACAACTTTAAATCTCGAACACATTTAGAGAGTGAGTATATCATTTTATTCTTGTTTTGAGTTTATTCTGATTCAAAATTGCAGTGAAAACAGAAGTTCACACATCATATCTGAATGTGAGCTCATCTATACTTATACGATCTCAATACCTCCACTCTAAGCATAAGAGGTGAAGTTATATAAAAATTATCAGATGCGTTGAAGTCTCAAAAGTATTGCCTGAATGCTTGTTTCATATTTGTCCAAGTAGTTTCAATGAATAAATGTATTGTTTTTTATAATTTCGATTTATTTTTAGAAAATATTCAATATAAACCTTTATTGTGTTATTTACATCTCATAAATTCTCTGTCTAAATCATATAAAAGCGCGTTTTACCCCTATGAATCAAGAAATTCATTCAATATTCATGGTATATTTATTAAATTTATACGATTTACTAATAATCAATATTATATCCTCATAAATAACAATATATTTTGGTAATCTATGATAATCATATACAATATTTGAAATCAAATTTTCATTAGTTTAGGTTCCTTGTTAATAGTAAACCATTATATTTATTACTAATAATAAAATCTATGTGTCGTATTGAAATTCAATAAAATTACTTATTCGGTCCAAAAAAACAAATTAGATAAAATTTTTCTTTTTTTATGTAATTTTTGTTTTTCATTTTTCTCAAGATCCTAAGTTATGTTCTAACTTTTGACATCATATCCTATCATGCTAGGCTATATATTATAGCATATCCAAAAGGCAAGGAAATCTATCAGAGAAGCCTTTTTTACCTATCGTTGCCCTACCTCTTTTTATCATTTTACATCAAAATAAGTCGGCATGATCTCATAACAAAGCAGAATTTTGCATCAATAAATAAAAATCTTCTACCCTCATTTTCATTCATGAACCGCTTTATTTCAAAATTGACTTCACCTTCAGATTTTATTAATGCTTCCTTTATTATTTTCACAATCACAAGCCGTAAATAACAAATGGCCTATCAGACGTAATGTTTGTGGCGCAAACATTAATGGTTCTGTATGGTCCATGCCAGAACTCCAAGACAGAGGAGTTGAAAAATTTGATTTTAAGTTATATGACCTTAATTATACAGCCTATTTTAAGATCTGCGGAGAATTCACAGAAGCTGATGCAGGTTCTCTTCCAAGTTATGCTGCAAACTATAAATTTATTTCAATGCTTTTATGCTGGAAGGAAGGCACTGTTTGCTATCCAGCTGGCAGTAAATTCGATCTTGATTATGCTCCATATGATGAAAAAGATTTTTCAAAGGGTGTTTCCCTTCAATATCTTTCCCACCCAGTTCAATTGTTAAAGAGCACAATTTTTAAGTTCACATTTGATGTTGCCTGCGATGCATCTCAAACCAACTCAAAGAAGGCATTTGATACTCCAGATGTTGATTTCTCATGGGACAGGTACTCCACAATCAAGATTAACTTCCCATACGCCGGCGGCTGCCCAACAAAGGCTGCTCCTCCAGCTCCAACACCAATGTACTCTCCACAGTGCGATTATGACGAGAGAGATCCAAATAAGCAGGATGAAGGTATTTCCATGGATCTTCACGATAACAATGGTGGTCCATATGGTCACATGTATCCAGCAGTCTATGACAATTCCCATCACGTCATTTTCTACCAGCCATGCGAGCGTTCTTACAACCCAGCCAACTCCACAGATCAAACACTTGCCTCTGTTTGGGACTGCAATGAAGACGTCACAAAGTGCATCAACTACGGTATCGCAGATGATCATATGAAAATGGCTCGTAACCGCTGGGACATTAACCAACCAGTTACGAACAACATCTACAATGGAGAAGCCAGCAGACAGACAATTGTCTCATGGTCATGTAATGAAGGCTTGCCTGCCAACTCAATTAAGTTCTATGATGCTGATTACATCTCAGACGACAAGTACAACCTCGAAATCAAGGTCTCCTCACAAGAATCTTGTGTTCATACATTCGATCCTCCGGATATTCCAACAGAAAAGTGCAAACTTAAGTACAAAGAATACGATTTCGATGCTACCAAGCTTAACGCCAAGGAGAACGTCGGCTACGTATCCAATGTCCGCATGGAGACTCCTCTCGGCGGAAATTCCACTGTTAGAATGCACTTCCAGCCATGTGGCTCCATCTACTGTCCAAAGGATGCAAAGTGCGACCAATTTGAAGACGCTTACCTTTGGATCTGCAAGCCCGTAACAATTCACACCGATAAATACGATTGCGATCCATATGGCTTAGCTGAGCACAATGTAACTACACAGTTTGTTGATCCATACAACTTCCACTCCGGTATTCAGATGAAGTACAGGGGTGGCGACAACCTCGAAGCCTACGTCACATATCTCTGCGACGAGTCACTTGCAGACAACGAGATTCGTATTGACAACACTGTCGAAGTCTCACAGTCCACACTCAGACTCGAAGCGAGAACCAAGCAGGCCTGCTCATCTGGCGAGAACCCAGACTGGCACTTCTACCTTCCATGGCCACACAAAGACGTGACACCAACACCAACACCACTTGTTCACCCTCAGACAACACTCTTCATGAGAAATGAGACACATCACGTCGCATTGACACTTTCTGCCGCAGACAGAGAGATTGACGAGCAGGAGTTCGACATCGCCAGCAGAGGAAAGAGATGCCACATCTGGCACTTCTTCGCTCCAGACGGAAACATCACATGCCCAACAGGTTGGGACTGCAAGGAATTCTCCAACATGACAGGAGCCGGCTGGATCTGCTACAAGAACGAGCAGAAAGAGAAAGTCTGCTTCCCAGACGCTGTCAGAACAAACATCATGACAATGAGAGCTCTCGATGGATCAATGGACAAAGGCGCTGAGATCGTCTACAACGGTGTATACAACTACGATCTCGAACTCAATGTCTACTGCGACAAAGACTCTCCATACGATTTACCACTCTCATCAGCACCTTCTTACCACTTGAACACTGCTACTGGTGGCCAGGAAATCTCATTCGAATCAACCTCTTCAATGGTCTGCCCGAAGAAGTTCGCAACACCAAGGTATCCAGTTGTCAAACCAACAGCGACACCAAATCCACAGATCCTCGCTAACATCTCTTGGGATCAGGACTTCGATGAGGATGGACACCAAGTCGAACTCAACTTCAACAGAATTCCAGATACAATGCAGTCCGACATCGCTTTGGGAGCTCCTCCAAGCGCTTACGAACTCGCGACAATCGTCTACAGCCCAGTAGACAGAATCCCTTGCCCAGCTGATTACAAGTGCCCAGATATGGAGAAAGGAAACATCTGGAAGTGTTTCAAGAACGAGACAGACAAGTACTGCTACGTTATCGGTAACGCTGAGTACGGCATGAACACAGAACTCGCTCCAAACAACGGCTACATCCATGCTGATGTCGCTGCTACATATTGGGGAGGTGCAAACGGTGCAAGAACAACATTGTTGTTCGTTTGCAACCACTCTGTTCCAAAGGATACAATCTGGTTCGATCCAGTTGGCGTACAGAGATACAACGGAAAAGCTGCTTACGCAATTATGTACGTCCACACAATGAACGTATGCTGGGATGTAAACAAGGAGTCTGGCCTTTCCGGAGGTGCAATCTTCTTGACAATTGTTTTCGTTGGTGCTACTTTGTACTTCGCTGGTGGAGCTCTCGTCATGTTCTTCATCAAGGGAACTGTCGCTCTTCCAAACGCTGCTTTCTGGGAATCATTCTGGGCTGCAGTACAAACTGGTGCTGTTTACTTGTTCACTTGTGGAAAGAAGACTTCTTTCGGAGTAGCTTCCTACGACGCAATTTAAATTTAAACTAAAATTTTCTTTTTAACAATTTGAACATATATTTTTTTTATTATAATAACTTCTTATATAAATCTTTTCATTCTTATTAAATTCCTTTTCTTTCTTTATTTTCCATAACATTTCAAAATTTTCTGAATGTTCTGAAATTTTCTGAGAAAATCGTTTTGGTATTTTTTTTGTAGAATAACAGTTCTTATGTATGCACAATGCAATCACTCTTTAATTCATCTTTTTAACACTATGTAAGATATTAAGATCAATATGTTTTTAAATCGAAAATTATCTTAGGATCTTAAAAAGAAATCATGATATTAAATTCATCAACTCATCATAAAATCTCAAAGATGCAGACATTGAAAATAAATAAAAAACATAATCATGCAAATATGAAAAATATCAATTTGCAATTTTTGGAAATTAAGCCTAAATGGTATGATACTCGCTCTGATAGACAGATTTATATGAGAATTAATGATTATCAAAACCAGAATAAAATGAAATTTTTAAATTTATTTAATTTTGAATTTTTTTAGAAAAATGAACATTTTTATAAAATTATAAGCAGCGACATGAATAGGATAAAAATACAGTCATAACATTTAATATTCAAAAAATCCATTTGTCAGACAGTTTGTATCAAATAAAATCGCAAATTGATTCCTTAATATCACCATGCAAATATACTATTTTCACTTTTATTTTGGTAAAATTCGAAAGTCTTATTTTTTCATATCACTTTATGGCTAGTGAATTTCCTCGCCTCAGAAATTGAAATTGAAAGTAAAAATTTGGGAAAATATAATAAAAATGCTAAAATAATGAAGTTTCCAATTATTTAACCTCGTTGACGCTTTCAATTTTCTGAGGTATTGAAAATCATCGAAATTTCAAAGGGTTTGAAATTCATAAAAAAATTAACATTTCATTTTTATTCTTGTAAAGTAAATGAACTTTCAAGAAATCTGCAATGTTTTGAAGGAAGCCGGCTACACATTTGAGCTCCATCCTTTAGGCAATTACCTCAAGATCATTAAGGACAAGCATGAAGCAAATTTAAGTGAAGATGCAGCCCTTACTTATAGTTTATACACATACAAAATGGGAGATCAGTTCCTGATTCAGGATGTTTCCAAGATTTTCAATGCCCTTAATTACAAAGGAACAAGCGAAAGCCAAGATAATGCCGACCAAGTCTTCCATCCACAAGGAAAGAAAGTTTCATTGAAGGAAGTCGGAGAGAAGCTTAAAGAAGATTCCTACGAAGTCATTAATGTTGATATCGAAGGTGGATATTACATGAGTTTGACACATAAAAATAATCAGCCAATCTTAAACGGAAAGACAAACATTGATCTCAACAAAGATGGTGTCATCAGCTTGTTCTCAGAAGACAAACAAATGGAAATTGTAAATGACATTGCAGCGATTTTCAAGCGCTACAACTACAGTGATCATGGACCTCATTTTGATGGCGCAACACACTCTTTCTTCAAAGATAATTAATTAGTAACTCAATAAAAACGAGTATTATTGAATTTCAAAAAAAATTTGCAAATTTTATAAATTTTATTACTTTTAGGATTGCAAAGTGAAAAATTGTATTGGAGCTTTATACCAATATAAAACTTCAAACCGATCTTGATATTATCAAATATTTATAGTTTATTTTGGGAGTCTCTATCTCCGCTAAAAACAAATGAACACTCATATGATGCCTTTGTTCCATAAGTTTTACATCTAAGAGAGGCTTCTGAAAAATCAAATCGGATAAAAAATTTAAAATTTATTTGATACTTTAGGTTTCTGGATAAGTATCTTATTGCATTCCACTTTGTTATTATTATCGTGTCATTTCATATGAAAAATTTATATTTGTTATCATGTTTTAAATCATTACTATTTTATTTGATGTTTTCTCCAAAAAATGATCATTCTCATATTTTCGAGCTACTTGAATGCCACTTTCCTTATATCTCGAAATTATTTTTAATTATATTATCTCATAATCTTCACTTCATGAGTTATATCAAAATTACATCCTATCATTTCGATTTTTAGAGCTTTTTGGACCTATATTCATTATTGTTTCATTTGTTTTGTTGTTTCTAAATAAATTATTTAAGTTGGACTAAATGTGGAAAATTCTATTGAATATTAAAAGGCTGATGCTTTTAAGAGGATTTATTGCATTCATTACAACATTGTCCACCTTAGGAGAGGCAGTTTAAATCAATAAAAGAAAGGTGGCAAATTTATTATTAGGGAAAACCGCAACCACTTTTTTTAATCACGATTTAAATATATAAATCGCGATTTTTTAGAAAAATCGCGACTTTTTTAAAATCGCGTTTTTTAATGAATTGCGATTTTATTGTGGTCGCGATTTTTCAAAAAAATTGCGATTTTTATGGAAAATTGTGATCAAAATTAAACGCGATTTTCTTTATCAATCGCGAACATAGAACAAATCGGAACCATGATTTTGGACCTCATTAAGCGAAAAGGTCGCAATTAAATTCAATAACAAAGCAATTCACAAAGATTTTTTGAATCTAGAATGGCTGTTTATCCATTTTAGACTGCTCACAATATGGTTTTTCTGCATACTTGCCGAAATCAGAGATCTAAAATCAAACAATCTCGATAACAGAAAAAACCAGAATTTTCGAAAAAGTGACACCAACTATTTTTACTAGATTTATTACTAGATTTATTTACAAATTAAAAGATAATATCATTAACCGAATATATTTTTAATATAAATAAAAAACTTTTTTATGCAAAAAATTACAATCAATCGATAAATATTATAAAACATTTATTCCAAAAATATTAAGGAATAGGTGGGATCCTGCATATAATATAATTTTATGTCATAAAGCTTACAAATTTTAGATGGACCACAGTGAGAATGTGAGTGGTTAATTTAAAGGTGGTCTGATAAAGATATCGAAGCTTACTCAACACAGCATGAAGCAGTTTCTAATACACAATCTTACTAGTGGTGTTTCGGTCGCCAGCGCTCTCATAGGGGTGCTGATTTCAAAAACCACTACTTCAAATTATTCAACAATACTCAATGCAGCATGAAGCAGCTACTACTGCTGTATCTTACTGGTAGTGTTTTGGTCGTTGGCTCTTGCACAGTCTCTCAGATTTTCAAAATTTTTTTTCAACACTATCTTGTTTCGCTCTCAGAAAGCTATCCTACAAAGACATCGAAGCTTACTCAACACAGCATGAAGCAGTTTCTAATACACAATCTTACTAGTGGTGTTTCGGTCGCCAGCGCTCTCATAGGGGTGCTGATTTCAAAACCACTACTTCAAATTATTCAACAATACTCAATGCAGCATGAAGCAGTTTCCAATTCAACAATACTCAACACAGCATGAAGCAGTTTCTAATAAATATATACATATATAAATATATACATATATAAATATATACATATATAAATATACATATATAAATATATACATATATAAATATATACATATATAAATATATACATATATAAATATATACATATATAAATATATACATATATAAATATATACATATATATATATACATATATAAATATATACATATATAAATATTACATATATAAATATATACATATATAAATATATACATATATAAATATATACATATATAAATATATACATATATAAATATATACATATATAAATATATACATATATAAATATATACATATATAAATATATACATATATAATATATACATATATAAATATATACATATATAAATATATACATATATAAATATATACATATATAAATATATACATATATAAATATATACATATATAAATATATACATATATAAATATATACATATATAAATATATACATATATAAATATATACATATATAAATATATACATATATAAATATATACATATATAAATATATACATATATAAATATATACATATATAAATATATACATATATAAATATATACATATATAAATATATACATATATAAATATATACATATATAAATATATACATATATAAATATATACATATATAAATATATACATATATAAATATATACATATATAAATATATACATATATAAATATATACATATATAAATATACATATATAAATATATACATATATAAATATATACATATATAAATATATACATATATAAATATATACATATATAAATATATACATATATAAATATATACATATATAAATATATACATATATAAATATATACATATATAAATATATACATATATAAATATATACATATATAAATATATACATATATAAATATAACATATATAAATATATACATATATAAATATATACATATATAAATATATACATATATAAATATATACATATATAAATATATACATATATAAATATATACATATATAAATATATACATATATAAATATATACATATATAAATATATACATATATAAATATATACATATATAAATATATACATATATAAATATATACATATATAAATATATACATATATAAATATATACATATATAAATATATACATATATAAATATATACATATATAAATATATACATATATAAATATATACATATATAAATATATACATATATAAATATATACATATATAAATATATACATATATAAATATATACATATATAAATATATACATATATAAATATATACATATATAAATATATACATATATAAATATATACATATATAAATATATACATATATAAATATATACATATATAAATATATACATATATAAATATATACATATATAAATATATACATATATAAATATATACATATATAAATATATACATATATAAATATATACATATATAAATATATACATATATAAATATATACATATATAAATATATACATATATAAATATATACATATATAATATATACATATATAAATATATACATATATAAATATATACATATATAAATATATACATATATAAATATATACATATATAAATATATACATAATAAATATATACATATATAATATATACATATATAAATATATACATATATAAATATATACATATATAAATATATACATATATAAATATATACATATATAAATATATACATATATAAATATATACATATATAAATATATACATATATAAATATATACATATATAAATATATACATATATAAATATATACATATATAAATATATACATATATAAATATATACATATATAAATATATACATATATAAATATATACATATATAAATATACATATATAATATATACATATATAAATATACATATATAAATATACATATATATAAAATATATAAATATACATATATAAATATACATATATAAATATATACATATATAAATATATACATATATAAATATATACATATATAAATATATACATATATAAATATATACATATATAAATATATACATATATAAATATACATATATAAATATACATATATAAATATACATATATAAATATACATATATAAATATACATATATAAATATACATATATAAATATACATATATAAATATACATATATATATAAATATATAAATAACAAAATACAATCAAAAAATAGTGTTTGGAAATTTAAGGTTAGGTGTCACTTTTCCTAGTGTCACTTTTTCGTAAATTCTACCACACTCCCATTTTAGACTGCTCACAATATGGTTTTTCTGCATACTTGCCGAAATCAGAGATCTAAAATCAAACAATCTCGATAACAAATACCTCAATCCCACTTTACTGGTCAAAATTCTTGAAGTCTTACTTTACTGCACTAATTAATCATAATTTACCTTTAAGGATACCCTTACGTGTCAGATTTTTTGCGCATACGAAGAAGTCATGCTAGACATGAGCTATAAACCTGAAATTTTAGCAACATATTTAAAACTTTTTAAACTACAATACACTTTAATACTCAAGAACAAAAATATTCTTTTTAGAAATTACATAATTATTTTATGTGAAATCTATATAAAAACATATTTTGCGAGCGTAACTTTTTTCTTTATAAGCACCTTATATGACTGATAAACTGTGAAGGCACATAATTGTTAATTCATAGAGTTGATATGTTTCCAAAATTGAGAGGAAATTTGAAAATTGAATACCCTTTCAATTCAATTTTCAAAAGATATCAGCTCCTTCAATAATTGAAGGACGATTTTGATCATTTGCTCTTAAAACAAGTATGCCATGGAGAAAAAAGTTACGCTCGCAAATCTGAAATATAACTATCATATAAAAAAATTAAATTTCTAATTTTTTACTCTATAGATATTATTGGCCACTTGTGTAATGCATAAAAGTTTATGTCATATGCATACATTTGGAAGTATGGGAGACGAGGGAAATTACTTCTATGAGGCACTAGGATTTTTAAAAATTTCTCTATCGGACTCACCATTCAATTTCTCGAAAATTAAAAAAAAATCAATAATAGCTAAAATGTATTATGCATAACAAATTTTAATGTTACACGGTATTTTTTGAACTTCATGACATGAATTTTCTTTATATTATTTTTTTTTTTGGATTTTCTATGATTTATGCGATAGGCTGGAACAACATTGTAAGTGCAATGATATCATTTATAGAGAAATCTAAAACTTCAGCATTCAGAACTCGCAACCACAAAAATATTCATTTGCTAAGTAAGTAAAGTTGATTAAGTTCGACACTTAGCTTTTATACGTAAAACCAAGTGTGTATTGTTATTTCTTGTTAAATTATTGAGAAAAAAATAAATTGTAAGAGAAACGATACTGATTATTGAAATAATATTGAGAGTAGCTGCAGATTTCTTCATTAACATGCCGGAAATTTGTTAATCTTGGTTTTCTATCATAAAATCTGTCGAAGAATCTAAAAACGGAGATATGAAATAGAGATCATGTAAATCTAGAGTATCCTGTCAGAAAAATAGACTAAGCATGTAACCCTTTTTTGGTCATAAACACTTTTTACCACTTAGTCATACAGATGATCATTCAATTTAAACGAGCACTTTTTGTCAGAATTTATTCTTTTACAAAGACAGAAGATTTTAGTATTATTTAATATTAGTGCTGTAGCAAAATTCAAAAAACGGTGAAAATTCAGTGAATTTGTGAATTCACATTTTTTTTCGACATTTTTCTTGATATATCCATGCACATTAAGAACACAGCTTTGATACGCTTAAAAAAGCATATTTCATATGAAATTGTTAAAGAAATAAACAATTTATATAAAAATTGCACTTATGGGCAGTTTAGATATATAATTTATATATAACATATATACAAATCCATAGACAAAGTGCAATAACTACAATGTTGTAGAAAATTACAGCAGAAATACTGACTTTTTGAAGGATAATAAGAATTCTTCTAAATGTTGTATTTTTATAATTTGATTGATTTTTTTTACTATTTCATTAATCTTTTATGAATAATAATTATTTTTAATATATGTGCTATTAAAATTTCAAATTTTGACTAATATATCTAAGTTATCTGAACGAAACATTTAGAAAATATCATACTTACATTGAAATAGCAAGTAGAGCATATTAATAGCAAGTTTCTTGGCTTTATATCTATCATCTATTGTTGTTTGATCAAACAAAATTCACTCTATTATATGGTGTCAATTAATTAAAACAATTTTTAATAGTTATTTATTTAGTGCGAATAAGTGCAAACTCATAAATGAATAACTTAATAGTAGAAATGAATTATCTGATATAAATCTCACATTTTGTCCATCAGAAATACTTTAATTGCATACGCATAACTATTAGTAATACGTCTGGAGTGTCAATTAATAACAATCCACAACAAGTAAAATTCAGATTTTTATTAAACTTATTTTTTTCCTAAAAGTTTTCTCAAATTACTATATATACATATGTGGATAAAATAATAGTAATATTGTAAAAAATTAGATAATTTTTTTTATTTGAGAACCTCTCAAAGTTCATTCAATTTATCAATTGTTTCAGTTTGATGTATATTCATTTCTGGAGCCTAAAACTTTAGCAATCATGACAATATCATATTCTCTTTCTAACTACGCAATGTAAGGGTATCCTTAACTAAAAAAATATTACATAAATCTAACAAAAAAACATTTAGCAATAAAAATACATTTGCTCAAGCCTATCAGCAACTCAAATCTAAAAAACTTTTTATAACATTCTTATTACAATTTTTATTTTATTCTTATATTTATATTTTTTAGTTCACTTTTTAAATAATGATCTTTAGATTGAACCAATAACGCGATTTTCCATATAAATCGCGATTTTTCAAAAAAATCGCGACCACAATAAAATCGCAATTCATTAAAAAACGCGATTTTAAAAAAGTCGCGATTTTTCTAAAAAATCGCGATTTATATATTTAAATCGTGATTAAAAAAAGTGGTTGCGGTTTTCCCTATTTTTTATGGTTCAAGTGAGAGCATTGTGCAATGAAATAGAACGTGTAAGCATTCTTAAAGAATGCGGTAAATTAAAGATCAAAATAAATGAACAAATAATCGAAACATTGAAGTCTTCCGCAGTTTGTTTTTCAGATTTCATTAAAGAAAAATGTATTTTGAATAAATTAACATCTTCTATTGAATTAAATATAAATATAAAGTGCAAGGATTCAATCAACATACTCAAAAAGTTTATTGACACCGGAATCCTTGAATTTCAAGAAGATGAGAATCATTATCATGACATATTTTTATTTGGAAAACATTTTATGAATCAGATTTTGATACAAATGTATATTAGACACGTTAAATCAGATAGTTCCATTACAAATGAAAATGTATTTCGTAAATATGAAATTTCTCTTATTGAAAAAGATATAACAGCACAAAATCAATGTCTTGAATACATTTCATCACACCTATATTGCTTGAAAGACAATGATATTATTGAAAATACTGTTGAATTTGGATACGACTTTTTTGAAAAAGTTTTAACATCTAAATCATTAAAAATCCAAAACGAAGATAAACTATGCATGCTACTCCTCGAAATTTGCAAACATGACAATAAGTTCTTTGATTTATTTAGACATGTTTCATTAGAATATTGTACACCTCATATATTTGAAGAAATTTATAATTTTTCGGTTGAAAACTCATTCGAATCAATTCTTCTAAAGATCTATAAAGATACACTGAAACACTATCATTCAAGTATAAGAAATAAAATCGAACTATCGAATGAACCAATTTCATCATTTGAAAAACACATCACTAAACCAAAGTTTGAAATTTCAAATAATCCAATTAATGTATATGAATATAGATATGCAGAAATATCAAAAGAAATTAAGATGGAATTTACTTCATCACCTGTTTGCTGTGGAAAAATAACAGATATAAATACTTATACAAATCATGAAGATTTCCATACAAGATGGAGTTCAAATGAATGGATTCGTGCTGATCTCAAAGGATATAAATTAAAACCAAGTTCTTATATTTTACTTTCAGCATACAAAGATAACAGTCTTTTAAGATATTGGAGGTTAGAAGGTATAAAGGAAGATGGATCCACTGTTGTATTAGATAATAAAGATTATGCTTTTAAAAATATGGAAATCAAAAAATTTCCACTCCAAACAAACGACTATTTTATTGCTTTCAAGATAATTCAAACAGGTAAGAATCAATGCAATGGTGTCAATAGTCATGAATTAACTTTACAAGTTTTTGATTTCGTAGGCGAATTAATTAAATTGTAATAAATTATTATTGTATTTATTAAGTACCAATAGCAAATGTTGATAATTTTACCATGAATGCTTACATTTCTTGATTAATTGAGATTTAAAAAATTTTATAATGAGAGATGATACTAATTTGTTCTAAATAACTTTTCGAAATTGTTAGATTTAATCATATAGACAGCCTTCGTACAAAGTGTGAGTGATGTGATTAATTCAAAATGATCTGATAAATCGAATATTTGTATTGTGAAATAATTTGGCGAATTAACATAAAGCATACTTGAATTTTTGAGTTTGATCATTTGAATTCTACATACAAATATGCTAGATATGAATTCATCAAATTGATTCACAGCACACATGTTCGATTTCATGTCATATTGAAGGGAAAATATAATATATGACCTAAAAAGCATTAAAAATACTAAAATTTTCGAATTCGTGATGAAAACGCGGTAATGCTAAAAAATGACATTTTGTAACTCTACATTTAGAGGCCATTAATTACTTTATCATACAATATTTCATATGGACATCAATTTCATAAACAGAATGGCCTTTCAGAAAATTAATAATTCATATCAATTAAAACTTCGTATTTTGGCTGTTACAGCTCATCGTTTTAATAACACATGGCACGTACATGCCATTATCCAATCTGTATCTATGTCTATCAATTGCTTTTATTTCGGACTTCAAACAATAATAAACCATTTCATAACTTCCAGAATTTCTAAAAAAAATTTGCCAAAAGAAAAATTTTTTTGAGTGGCAAAATGGGTGAAATGGAAAATATCAGCCACATTATGCCTCTCTTATATGATCCACAAACTCAAGTTTCAGCCCAAGCTATTCGAAGTCTGAAAACTCTGGCAAACGACAATCCAGAGAAGATATTTAGATTAATTGAGTCGGAAATTCGTAAACAAATAGAAGATTTACATAAATGCATCGTTCTTGTTAGAGTACTAGTTGAAATTTCAACGAAATCAGAAATATCTCACGAAATTAAAATTTTAGCACTTGAAATTTGTATGTTAGTTACAGATAAACACCGTGATACTGCTTCTGAACTTTCAAAAACCATTCCTAACATATTATATCATATCACGACAAATGACGAAGAAATATTAAATAAATTTTTAGAGAAATTCTTACACAATCAAGAGTTTATTCCTATTGATACTCTTGCATACTTCGAAATGCTTAAACATAACGGACTCGCGATGAAAGATCGCTTAGATTCTGACCTACAATTGCTTTGCCCTATAATGGTTAAAGAAGAGGCGATAAGTTTCAGGCTTGTTTTCGCTTCCATTATTGATAAAGTCCTCGATATCATTACTAAAAATGAAATGACTGTTTCTTTTGATTTGGCAATTTTGATTATTGACAAACTTCTTACGGCATACTTAGAAAATAACATTCCAATTCCAGAAAAGAAGCGATACTTAGACATGATATGGCGTTTGCTTAAGATTGCTTCGCATGAAATTCCGACATCTAAAATACAATTAGCATTTACGAAGATTGGAGTGTTATTACTCAATACAGAATTATACGAAAAGACCGCCAATTTACTTTCTTTGTTTATTAACTATGCAGAAGATACGAAATTTTTAGGTCAATACATTCCAACGATAATTCCACCATTAATACGTAATATGAAGCCTCCTGCACAACAAGCATACGATTTAATCAAGCATTTCGCACAAATCAATCCACATCAGACAGTTGTAAACATTTTATCTTTAATGAAAGAAGGAAAGCACAATAACATATTCAAATCAATTAACTATTTATTAGATCGTAATCTCATTACATCAGAAAGTGGCTTATCAATACTCGTAGCCATGGAATCCGCTTTATCAATTCAAATCCCATCAAATATGAGGAAATTACTGTTCGCAATATGGGAAAAACTCGCTAAACTTGGTGTAGAAACAGCATCTATCATTCCTTCGCTATTTATTCAAGCTTCTTCACCTCAATCTGCTGATACAATCAAAGATTTCGAAAAAAGTGCATTAGTAGTAGCAGAAAAGCTTAATTATCCACAGTTACCGAACTACGCATTCGATACAAAGTATATTGCTGTTGCAAATATCGCGTTTGAGATGATAAATAAAATGAATTGCGGATTAACACAAAATATCATGACTCAACAACAGTTAATGCTCAAGACATTGTTGTATGCATCATCAGCGTACTTCCCAGTCCAAACAAGACGAATAATCTTAAAAACATACGCAAGGCTTACAAATAGTCAAGAATTCGATGCAGCCGCCGAATCCCTACAATCCAAGTATTGTTTGTTCAACGCTACAAAGACGATGATTAACTTTATCCGTAAAATGGCGAACCAAACTTTTGATTCCGAGTCGTGGATCAAAATCTGCCAAGACATTGTCGATGGATTTTCCAAGGAGAAGCACGAGATGGCCAATACCGCGAAACTCCTCCCAGATAACACGATGGCCCACTTGAAAGCATCGATGTTTTTAATTCTGACAGGAGTTTACACGTCAGATATTAATAAAAGCAACGCATTGACGAAAATCCAGTCATTGATGAACAAAGTCGAGTGCAAGTACATCGAAGAAACACTCCCACTAACACTTTCTTTGATAGAACTCCGTAGATACTTCGAAAAAATTGCAGATGACCTCTATCGTTCAAAAAGTGACAGTGTAAAAGGTGACAATGGTGTTAGTCGTAAAACCATGACATTGATATATAACTACAAACATGGAAACTTGGATGATTCTACTGCAGAAATGTGTTTATCATTTGATATCCCGTCAATTGTTGCTTGCCATGCACAGAGGAAGGTAATAATAAAGAAAGGCAAAGTAAACAATGTAGAAAAACACATTTCGTTACTCGACAGATTCCTTGGAAACAAAGACAACGCAATTTGTAAAATTGCTATTGACACTTTTTATTTCATGTTGAAACAGAACCTTGTATCATCAACACACGCTCAGTTCTCCAACATGTTGAAGAGAATTGTTCTGCAGTTGAGATACAACCATGACCAAAAGACTGTTGACAAAATCATGGAGATTATTTCGGTTTCTCCACCTGAAGTAAATTTCGCAAATATTTTATCGTCTTTGTTGGCAGGAGAAAAGATGTACGACCAGAAACTGATGCAGATATGCAAGGACATTGTTGAGAAGTGCACAAACATATATCTCATCAAAACACCAACAGTTGCAGCATCGATTTCTGTCCTAGGAATGGAGGAAGAATTTAAATCTGATGTTGAATTCTTCCAGAAAAGAATTTTCAGTTCTAAAAGTGAATATGATGCTTTCCCAGTCTCCTACTTCACGTCAAGCCAGCCAAAGGATGTAGATGAGTTCGTTCCTTTCTTGTTCTCTTTCATGAATTTACAAAAACCTTGGAATTTGAATGCATCAACGATTATTCAGAATTTGATGAAATGTGACAGATTTTTGTCAATTTTGGATGGCGCGATTGTTGATTACTCGAATTCCATGACAGCCCTCCACTCCCCTGGTTTCATTGATATCGGCGTGGCACTTTTTAACATTGATAAAGTCAAATTTATCATGTCACTTTTGAACAAACCATCAGTTGCATCCAAAGAGATTTTGCAGTTCTTCTCGATGAAATACGATGTGTTCGGACAATGTCTAATTGACTGTGTTACGTTTAATGCATTTTCTGACAAATCTAGTCTTCATGATTCATTTTTGAAGATTGTCACAAAATGTGAAGGAATTACAGAAAATTTGACACATTTAACGTACATTGCTATCGTCCAAGTATTAGCACAGAGTGAGCTTTTATTGAATGACACGATAGAAGCCTTGAATACTATGAAGAAGTACTACAAAGACATAGATTCAAGCGCAGTTCAAATTGCTTTAACTGATGCTCAGAAAAACAAAAAAGTGACATTCCAAACCGTTTCTTCACTTTTATCTGTTGTTTCTGAACTCCTTAATGTATCCAATTTGATATATTTTGCCAAGTTCTGTCCATCCGCTTGCCTTGCTGGATACACAGCGATTTCTAATCACGACAAACCACTTTTGGTTGATATTCTCAATCTTTCGGACAAAAGTCCAAACGCTGCTCTTCTCGCTTTGCAAGCAACGATTACTTATCTTCCTCCAGAGAGATACGGTAATTCAATGATAAACAACGCGTTTGACTTTATTTTGTCTCAATGTCTGAATGACGAAGACAGCTACAAATGTCTGATGAAGATCTACAGATGGCTGCCAAAAGATATTTTATATGAGAAAAGTGTCAAAATGTTTTCAACGATCAAAAACGGTTTGAATGTTACAAATCCATATCCATATTTATTCAACTTTTTGACACAAGTTGCAGATTCAAAGCACTTCATTGGCAGACAGGAATTCCGCAACTACATCCCTTATTTCATCATCGCGTGCTACGGATTCACTGAGCATTATTTCCCTGAAGTCATGGCCGCGGCGAGATCTGCATTGGCCGCTCTCTGCAGACACACTGCGATGCTCGGAACAGAGAAGATGCTGATGAACTCGATAGGACAATTGACTGATTTCGCTGTAGACGGACTGAAAGTGTTCGTCAGAGAAATGGACATGGCGTGCGTAAACGCGTGCTGTCTGTTGGTTGAACACACAAATGATTTGGTGAAATTCAAGGCTGCAGAAGTTCTTATTGCTTCTATTCATTTCGGAAAATGTTTGGATCAAAATGCACATTTGAAACTTGTAACTTTACTCTCGTCTGAAAGTGAAAAAGTAAAGACAAGAGTACTCAAAGCTTTGGCAATGTATCCTCCAAAGGTTTGAAATATTTTTTTATTATTAGTTTTTTTATTTTCTAAATTCTTTTTTTCCCTTCATCATTTTAAATAGTTCTTTTTTATCATATGTTTGATATGGTATAAAGTATATTTTCTGACACAATTTAATTCCATATTCACAATATTTTAGTGCAGTTGTATCAAAAAAGCTATTTGATATAGTTTGCTTGCAAAGCATAATGTTAGAATTTTTATTATAAATTGAGAGAGTGCTATTCTTTCAATTAAGAATCAACACTCGAAAAATTTAAATGTTATTTTTTGCACCATGTTCAATTAAGAATTCGGCAATTTCAGAGAAATTATTTTTATCTGCTATACTGAGTGGAGTTAAATTTATGTAAAAAGAATATAATATAAAAATGATTGATATAGAAAGCAATAAAATTTCATAATATAGTGATTGATAAGAAAAGAAAATAAATACGATAAAACAATGATTGATATGAAAAGAAAGTGAATGAAATAATGCAATAATATAGGGTGTCCAAAGGTGCTTTTAGCACAGCGCTCTATATGAGACTATTAAAGGAGATATATGCTGATTATAAAATATATATAAAATATGAATATATGTATATGATGAGTATGTTGTATTTTGGCGCCATGCGGGATATAAAATAAATTTTGAGACAAGAGGCGGTTTCGCGGGAAATTTTGGCGGGATTTTTTCATTTTTTTAATGAATCATAAAGAAAAACATCCTCGCTCGTTGCAAAAAAAATGCAAAGACTGTAAAAATCTACGAGACATTGGTAAAATGCTTCGGTATGGATGCTCCTAGCTATTCCACTGTAACGTATCATGTTAGGATGTATCACTTCATGAACAAAAAGGCGCCATCATAAAAATTGACAAAAATCGCCGGATCAAAGAAAAATCAAAGCAATTCTTCAAGCGCTAGATGAAGACCCAAGAGCATCACTCAGAAGGATAGAGGAGATGACAAAGATACCACGTACAACAGTCAGTTATTATCTGCACAATTATTTGAACTACAAACTAGCGTATACACGTTGGGTTCCGCACAACCTTAATTCAGTTCAAAAAAAATCTAGAGTCCAATCTTCGAAGAGCTCCTCTCTATATTGGGTGCGTATCAATCCAAGAAGTTTCGCTTTTTTAGTAACAGGGACGAGTCCTTGGTTTCAATATGCAACAGAAGCCAAAATCATGTGGATCGCCGAAGGATGAAAATCCGCAAACATTCCCGGAAGAAAAAAAATTGACACACCAATGATGATGTTGTCGGTTTTTTTGGGGCGTGAATGGCATCATCGCAATTGATATTCTTCATAAACCTAATACGATGAATGCTCAGTATCTAATTGACAATGTTCTTACTCAAATTATCAATTCTGATGAGTTTGAGAAATCCAAACAACAAAAACAAAAGTTTGCAATTCATTTTGATAATTCAAGAGTTCACAAAAGTCATAAGGTAATGAATTACTTGGTGGAAAACAATGTCAAAGTTGTTCCAAACCCAATTTATTCACCTGATATTGCACCCTCTGACTTTTATTTATTCGGCACGCTAAAAAAGAGAACGAAGGACGCGAATTCGCGAGTCCAGATGATCTTGAAAATTTTGTAAGAGAGCAATTTGAGCAATTTTCTCATGATGATTTAAAGCGTGTCTTTCAAGCCTGGATCGATCGCTGCGAACGCGTGATTGAATCCAATGGTGATTATATTTAAATAAACTTTATATATATGTAACTTGTTTATTTCTATTCGCAGTATTCAGGTTTGTGCTAAACACACCTTTGGACACCCTATATAGATATAAAAATAATTAGGATTCCATCAAATAATGAGGGATATGAAAAACAATAGAATATCATAATGAATTGATAGAAATGAAAAGTGAAAGAATATAATAATGCAATGATAGATATGAAAAGAAAGATAAGAAGTTTAATGTTAACATCTGCCCCATGTTCAACTAAGAATCTAACAATCTCAATCAAATTATTCTTAATAGCAATACTGAGAGGGCACTCATTTATGTAAAAGGAATATAATATACAAATGATTAATATGAAAAGAAATAAAATTGCATAAAACAGTGATTGATATGAAAAGAAAGTGAACAAAATAAAGAAATGATTGATATGAAAAGAATTATAATTTTAGAAAACATTGATAAATATGAAAAGTAAAAGAATGTTATAAAACAATGATAGATACGAAAAGAATAAGAATATCATATAACAATGACATATATAAAAAGAATGAGAAGCCAATAAAACAATTATAAATATGTAAAGAAAATGAACTACCTAATATAGGGTGTCCAAAGGTGTGTTTAGCACAAACCTGAATACTGCGAATAGAAATAAACAAGTTACATATATATAAAGTTTATTTAAATATAATCACCATTGGATTCAATCACGCGTTCGCAGCGATCGATCCAGGCTTGAAAGACACGCTTTAAATCATCATGAGAAAATTGCTCAAATTGCTCTCTTACAAAATTTTCAAGATCATCTGGACTCGCGAATTCGCGTCCTTCAGTTCTCTTTTTTAGCGTGCCGAATAAATAAAAGTCAGAGGGTGCAATATCAGGTGAATAAATTGGGTTTGGAACAACTTTGACATTGTTTTCCACCAAGTAATTCATTACCTTATGACTTTTGTGAACTCTTGAATTATCAAAATGAATTGCAAACTTTTGTTTTTGTTGTTTGGATTTCTCAAACTCATCAGAATTGATAATTTGAGTAAGAACATTGTCAATTAGATACTGAGCATTCATCGTATTAGGTTTTTGAAGAATATCAATTGCGATGATGCCATTCACGCCCCAAAAAACCGACAACATCATCATTGGTGTGTCAATTTTTTTCTTCGGGAATGTTTGCGGATTTTCATCCTTCGGGATCCACATGATTTTGGCTTCTGTTGCATATTGAAACCAAGACTCGTCCCCTGTTACTAAAAAGCGAAACTTCTTGGATTGATACGCACCCAATATAGAGAGGAGCTCTTTCGAAGATTGGACTCTAGATTTTTTTTGAACTGAATTAAGGTTGTGCGGAACCCAACGTGTATACGCTAGTTTGTAGTTCAAATAATTGTGCAGATAATAACTGACTGTTGTACGTGGTATCTTTGTCATCTCCTCTATCCTTCTGAGTGATGCTCTTGGGTCTTCATCTAGCGCTTGAAGAATTGCTTTGATTTTTCTTTGATCCGGCGATTTTTTGTCAATTTTTATGATGGGCGCCTTTTTGTTCATGAAGTGATACATCCTAACATGATACGTTACAGTGGAATAGCTAGGAGCATCCATACCGAAGCATTTTACCAATGTCTCGTAGATTTTTTACAGTCTTTGCATTTTTTTGCAAGAGCGAGGATGTTTTCTTTATGATGTTGTAAGACGAGTTACGGAAAGTGAGGTGAACCGAAAAAGTGACACTTATTTGGTCGGATAAATTCCCTATATATTTACTTGTCAAAAAAAATCAGACTTTTTTTGCTTTAAAAAATTTATAAGTTAATTATTGAGAACGAAGGTGAAAGGAAATGGATATCTCTTACCTTTCATTCCCTCGAGAAAGTTCAAAAACTTGGGTGCAATCAGTTCTGATTGCACCCAAGTTTTTGAACTTTGTATAAGGAATTGTTGGCTATGATGCACTGATCATGAATCAGTACATCATAGCCAACAATTCCTTCGCAAACAGCGGGAAACTTTGTCTGAATAGTTTAACATTCAGACAAAGTTTCCCGCTGTCAGAGAGGGAATGGAAGGGTAAGAGGTATATATTCATAATGTATACCTCTTACCCTTTCATTCCTCGAGAAAGTTCAAAAACTTGGGTGCAATCAGTTCTGATTGCACCCAAGTTTTTGAACTTTGTATAAGGAATTGTTGGCTATGATGCACTGATCATGAATCAGTACATCATAGCCAACAATTCCTTCGCAAACAGCGGGAAACTTTGTCTGAATAGTTTAACATTCAGACAAAGTTTCCCGCTGTCAGAGAGGGAATGGAAGGGTAAGAGGTATATATTCATAATGTATACCTCTTACCCTTTCATTCCCTCGAGAAAGTTCAAAAACTTGGGTGCAATCAGTTCTGATTGCACCCAAGTTTTTGAACTTTGTATAAGAAATTGTTGGCTATGATGCACTGATCATGAATCAGTACATCATAGCCAACAATTCCTTCGCAAACAGCGGGAAACTTTGTCCGAATAGTTTAACATTCGGACAAAGTTTCCCAACTTTCAAGCCGAAATTCGCGGATACCATTCATTTGAAAATTATAAGTTTTGAAAAAAACCGTAAATCATTATTGAATCTAAAAAATATTTATGTACAAAAAGTCGGTATATATTCTATAATTATTTAAAATAATGAAAAAGTTGATTTGTGAATCATTGAATATTAATGCTGTTATATATATATATCAGATGATATAAGATGATTTTTTTAAAATAAAAAATTTTAATTTTTTAATTGTTAAAATAAGAATAGTAAGCTTGACAAGTAATTTAAGTTTTTGCTTTGTAAAGTTATTTGGTTGGCAAATGCATTGTGTCACTTTTTGTTTGAGTTCACTTTCCGTAATTTGTCTTATGATAATGATTCATTAAAAAAATGAAAAAAATCCCGCCAAAATTTCCCGCGAAACCGCCTCTTGTCTCAAAATTTATTTTATATCCCGGCATGGCGCCAAAATACAACATACTCATCATATACATATATTCATATTTTTTATTATATATTTATAATCAGCATATATCTCCTTTAATAGTCTCATATAGAGCGCTGTGCTAAACGCACCTTTGGACACCCTATACAATAATAAATATTAAAAGAAAAAGAAGTTCATAAAACAATAGTAAATATGATTATAAGGAGAACTCTATTAAGCAATGATAAATATGAATATAATTAAAATTTCATAAAGCAATGATTGATATGAAAAGAAAGAGAACAAGTTCTTTATTGATATCAGCTCCATGCTCAACTAAGAATCTAACAATATCTATTAAATTTTGTGAGATAGCAATACTGAGAGGACAATCATTTATATCAAAATAATATCATAAAATGATAATCGATATAAAAAATAAGGAGAATATAACAAAACAAAGATGAATATAAAAAGAAATAGAATACAATAAAGAAATGATAGATATGAAAAGAAAGTGAATGTAATAAAGAAATGATAGATATGGAAAGAAAGTGAATGTAATAAAGAAATGATAGATATAAAGAAAGTTAGAATCTCATCAAACAATGATAGATATAAAAAGAAATAGAATCCAATATAACTATAATAAACAAGAAAAGAAAAAAATCATAAACATCGTTGATATTTGCGCCATTCGAAAGTAAATAGTATGCAATATCATAATTTCCAAAATACATGCTCTTTGCTATTGAGTTGGGATGCTGTCCAAAATTAGATTTGAGATACTGAGCAATTTTATAATTTTTATATCTCAATGCCTTATTAATCAATTTATCAAATGATTGACCATCTTCTATCATTTGTGAAAAAATATTGATATTTACACCCATAACAGCATATTTTGATGATTTTTCTGTATACATAGCTCCCATATTTTTTAAGTAATTGAAACATAAATCTGATCCGTATTTAATTGCGCAATCAAGTGGTGTGATTTCATAATCTATTTTCTTATTAATATCAAGATTTGGGAATTTAATCTTTAATTCATCAACTTTATCCCATGCAATGTAGTATAATGGAGATTCTGTATCATATATATTGAGGATTTCTTCTTCTGTTGCTTGATAAAAGCAAGGGTTAAAATCACCAGCAATGAAACCTTTGCAATATAACATCTTGGACAATTCGTCATTTTTTGGACATTTGTTGTATGAAAATTCGGTTGATATCTTTTGATAAAGTTCTGCATAATATTGAATATTTTTTACTCGTAAAATTGAAAAAACGTCTATTAAATGAAGTACCATTTGGATAGATATTTTGTTATTTTTAATAAGACTAATAATTTGAGATGATATTTGCAAAATATTATTGGCATTTACGTCCCAAATAGTTTTTGAAGCCTGAGAAGGAATTACAAATGCTTCAGCTGGCTTAATGTCACTGATATCCTGGTCAAGTCCAGCTGAGAGTTGCTCAGAATCGGACATTTTAATCTTAATAAAAGTGACGCAGAATATAAATTTCAATTTTGAGAGTTTAAAGATTGAACTTTCTGCTAAATTTATAATTTGCTCTACTTTGTCTTGAAATTCAAAGTCAGACAATTGATTTTTGGTAATTTTTTGAGATAAAATAATTTGAATTTTTGACTCTTCAATATTACGATAAAAGGCGTTCCAAGGTCCACTAGTCAACTCTCCTGAAAAATTCACTCTTGTGTTTTGATAGAAAATGATGAAGATTGTAATTTTACTGTGTCAAATAATAACAATTAAAATTGAAATGTTGGGATAGCTTTTAATCAATCTAATCATTGGGTCATAAAATATAATTCAACAAGTTATTTCCACAAGGGCAAGTCAGGAACGATTCATATTTACATCCTAATATTATGATGTTGTTAATGAGCAGGTTAGGTTTTTTGACATAATTATGTCTCATTTCTATACAATTCTCTTAATTCAAAATACACAAATTAATTTAAAAATGAGGTGATAAAAAATCCATTTTTTTCTACTTGTCACTTTTTAAAATGAAACGAAAAAATCGATGCCTAAATTCTCTAAATGAAGTCGAAATGCAACAATACAATGGCAGTGATTCGCAAAACTTGGTAAATTCCGATGGATCTAATAATTTTTGGGACTATTTAGTTAAAAAAACTAACATCATTGAAAGCGATAAAGTAGTTTTTACAATGATAACATTAACAAACGGAAAAATGATTTACGAATGGTTTAGTAAAGAAACTCCAAGTTACGCACTTTACGATTTTATTAAAATCTTTCTAACAAGTCAAGAATTAAAGGAATCTTTTGATGTAGACAATAAACCTAAGTTTACTTTAAAAACGAAAATAAATAAACAAAATCGTACATATTATTATGATAATACTCACAAATTAGGTGAATTATTTAAAACTCCAACCACAAATGGAAGAATCTATGCAATTTTTAAAATGGAAATGTTGAATTTGATGTAAACTAACGAAAAAATTTAATGTCGAGTTCCATTTTAGAATTAACAGACACACAAATAAATAATAGATGTAAATGATACTATCCTAAATATTAAATTGTTCAAAAATTGCATATTTATTTAGATTTTTGAAAAAATCAATTTTCACACTGTGATTATTCATCCAATCACTTATAGATTCACTTGTTGCCACTTGTAACTTTATTTCACTACATTGTTAAGAAATTGTTTTCAAATAAAAAATATTTATAATTTTATTTTGTTTATTACAGTAATTATGATGAATTCAAATTAACTGTCGCAGGCATAGTACACAGATACATTTAATACCGATTCATTGAAAGAATATAAAACATTATTCTTATATCCTTATTAACTAGTTGATCTAGTAATCTTTCAATTCGATTTTTTTGTTTAGGCTGATCTCTTCTTATGTAAATACTGTAAATAAGTTAAAAATTATTATTTTTTTTAATGAATTAGCAGTCCTTATTAGTTTTGATAGCCAACTTCATTCCTTTTGTAGTTATCTATCATGGTTTTGAGCTAAAAGAAAAGATTTATCATGGAGTTTGAAAAAATAAACGTACACTGAAATTTCGAAAATTCTAAAATTTAAACAATAAATTTTCAAGCTGTTACTAGGATTATGAACTCTGAAAATGCAACACAAGAATCAAATAATCATACAAGTCAGTCAGCTCGAGCTTCTAATCAACCTCAACAAGGAGCCGATGATTCAGATTTCTTCCAAAAGCTAACAAAATTCTTGGAAGATGCACCTGCTGAGGCTATTTTACGTGATGCAAATATATTGAAACATATACAAGATGGATTACTCTCGATTGAAACATCCCAAAATTTACAGTCTCTTTCAGTTTTGCGCATTTGGTGTAGAAAACTTGCCGTAAGGCTAAACATGGAAAATGATAATCGCATTGTTAACAAGAATAACGTTAAAAATCCAGATAAATTAAGATCAATTGTCGCACCATACTGCCTTGCGTTAGCTGATTTATGCACACAAATATTTAGTAAGCCAGAGTTACTTCCTTTTGCTTGTCTTACAGTTAGAGAATTATTAAACGTTTCAAAATCTGCTCCAAATCCTCAAATTATTGAAACAGTTGTCTCATATACACATATCAAGAATCTTCGTATTCCATTACTTGAAATTGTAGCACTATCATCTTTCCCAATTTCAGGTTTACCTATATTAGATCCAGAAATTGCAATTCTTCACCCAGATCTCCATAAAAAGCTTATTGAAATATCTCCAGAAGGAAATAAGAATGATGTACAACTTGTATTAAACTATGTATCAAAAATTCAAGCAATGAATAATAATTCAATTCCATTTGATAGAAACCTGCTTCCTTTCTGCGATTTTGATAAAGTGTTTGATAACATTCCAAAAGATGTACTTGCTTCCCATCCAGATGATGAAGTTCGAAGTGCATTTTACAAAAAAGCTCTCGAAAACAATTATGACGTCTCACAATTTGTTGATTCACTAATAACAGCTGGTATATTCGATAAAGTTGTTCAGAAAGAAGCTTCTCAGATCCTTGTTCAGAATTTAGATTCAATTATCCAAGCTGGACTAACTCCAAAACAATTGGCTTGCTTGCAATGCCTTCCAGTTAAGTCAGGAAGTACAATATTCAAAGGAATTTCAGATGCAATCGATAGCAGCGATGAATTCAATCTAATTTGCGGTTGGGTAAGATATTTATTTTCCAAAGATGACTGGGTTCGTGATCAAGCCATATCAGCATTAACAAAACTTGTTGGTTTTGAGATCAACTTTGGAATTGAAGATCTCGGAATGAAAGATTCACAAGCGAAACAGTTAATTGACCAACTCAAATTACCCGGAAATCTTTCTGACTTCCAAGAAGAAGGCCAAACATTCGTTGACATTATTTACAACAAAGATCAGATTGATGCTGCAAGAAATGTAGCTGCAATGAAGATTGCAAAGAAGATTCTCGATCCATATTGCAATGTTAGGAAGCTTCTTCCTCAACTCCATCAATTACCGTTTGCAAAGTTCCCATTACTTTTGCATGCTGTAGCAATTAGAGATGGATCATTAAAGATTGACACTCGCGAGCGTTTAATAGAACTTATGAAAGCAATAAATACTTCCAATGTCAGTGATTTATTGCCAATCCTTGCAAGAGCTGTATTTCAACCACTTCTTTACATTGAAGTCGATGGAAGCAATTTATTAAGAATTCCTCGTTATTCTCAAGTCGAATTCCAAGTTCCAGGATGCAATGGATATTATGATCCAGAGTTCTATAAGCCAATTGACAGATTCCCTCTCGAAGGGGTTGTTAAAGAATGGACACAATTCAAAGTTGTTCACAAGAAACCAATAAAGAAGGAAAATGATCTTAAAATTGTCACCTCATTAAATATGATTGATCCATCTCTTTCAGCTGATTTCATTTTGCAACTTGATGAAGATCCTTACGCTCCAGGTGTTTTGATGAGCAGTGGAACACCAGGAAATGTAATGTATTCTATTTTGACAGCTTCAATTTCCGCCAAAAAGAAAACAACAAATGGCATAGAAATTTGCAACAAATTATTACCACAATCTCCTGATTTAGGTTTGAAACTAGCACAAGTTGAAACAGAATTCGGAGGTGATGTTCAGATGCCAGAGAAGATTAATGAATATATCTTAGATGAAAATCTCAGAAGGCAAGCACTTGGATTTTTAGTTGCAAGAATCAAACAGAAACAGAATTTAGATGGAGTTGACTACGAGAAAATCAAGCCTCTTTTCAACGAAAAGCTTCCTACAAATGTTCTTCGTCAACTTTTAACTGTATTTTCTGAACTCGGAAGATCTGAAATCGGCAATCAATTCATTATCCAAAAAGATGCTTTAGCAAAGTCTTTTGCTTTCCATACAGCAGAAATGAATGAAATCAACCCCAAAGCAGCTTTAGCTTGCGCAACTGATGAAAGAGAAGCAATATGCACAAGAGCAGCAGCAGTTGAATTTTTAGTCGAGTATTACAGTAATCATGAAGTCCCTGAAATGATTCTTACAATGCTTTTCAACAACCAGAGTGGAGAAAACCCTCTGACATTTTATTTGTTGAGATTGTTATCAATCAAAGCTGTAAGAGATTCAATTCCTGTTTATGAAGACTTCGTCATTAACTACTTGAATGAAAAGACATCAGAAATCTTCTGCAAGGCAGCAATTTATTCTCTTGAAGGATTCAATATTCATAAGAAGGAAATTTTTGCAGCTATGGAAGATTTAATTAACTTAGATGAATATACAGAACCAATTCTCTATGTTTTGCCAACGCTAAGTGATGAAACACTTGGAAACTTTGGTCCTCAAATGTTATTCTATGTTACTGATACTTTCTCAGCTGAAAATATTGATATTGACTTAGTTTTAGTTTGTATCAATAGACTTCTTTTATTAAATATCAAATTCCCTGTTGAATCCATGGAGAATATTCTTAGTATGTACAAAAAGTTTATCGATAAGCAATTTGTTTCATATAAACTTCATCATGTCATGAACCAAATCTTCCTTCAATCAGATGAAGCAAAATCATATGCTTTGTCTCACGGATTCCTTGATTTGATTCTTACAGAAATCAAGTATGTAAAGGATCCAACATTCCGTGATATTGCATATACAACATTATCTCAGTTTGTATACAATTATAAAAATGCTCAGGATAGGATCCTTAAAGAATGGTCAGCAGAAACTCTTAGTGAACTTTTCATTTCAGAAAAATCAACTCTTCATTTCTTCTTATGCTTCGTAAAAGGAAATGAAGATGCTCAGAAGAAATTTACAGAGCCAAAAAGCAGTCCACTTCTTGATAAACTTAATGGATTTATTGATACACATACGAAACAAAAAGAACCATTGCTTTTACTCGAACTCCTAGCTAATGTTTTGCATTCTAGATCAGTAAGAAACAAAGTTTATACTAGCAAGAACTTGATCATAAAATACTATACTCAGGTCAAAAAATATGCTAGTAAATCAAATTGCAAAGAACTGCTTGATGGATGGTTAAGAGTATTTATAACGTTAACAATGTACCCTGATGGAATACGTAATTTAAATGGTGATGAAGATGCTAAACTTTCAGAACTCTTATTATACTTCATCACAAACGAAGCTGTTGTTAAAGAATCAAGAAAGTTCCTTATATTATTGAGGAACTTAATAAATGATTCTATTTGGGAATCTCTTAAAGAAGATATCAAAAAACAGTTACTTCCGCATCAAATTGAAATATTCCAAAATCTAATTATAAAGGCCAAAGATTTATAGGTAGACATAAATACAAAAATTATGTTCTAATGTTTTATTTTATCGTAAATTATGGAAAAAATAATTGTCATTTTTTTTAATGTTTTTATTTTTTATTTTTTTAACAAGAATGTGATAACAAAGATGGTGCAAAGACATCTTTCTTGAATTTCCAAGAAACGGATAATAAAGAGGGTGCAAAGACATCATTCTTGGATTTCCAAGAAACGGATAACAAAGAGGGTGCAATTATTGATGGTCATCAAAATATTTCTTTTTTAGATCATCAATTCTGATTCTCATTTTAGGGTCTTCAGCGAGACAATCTAAAAGCATATTGCGTTCATTAGGTTTTAGGGAACTGAAGGATTGTGATTCTGGATTTCTTAAGAAACATTGGAGTTTCTGACATCCTTCATCAGTTTTAAGATTAAAGCCAGTTAACATTTGGAAAAAAGTGATTCCGAGAGCATAAACATCTGTCTTCGACGACACGACCCTTTCATTGATAAGCTCTGGTGCCTTGTATACATCTGTTGCCATAACAGTTTGGCCAATTATGAATCCAAACTCTTTTTGGTAAGAATCTAATACTTCAATGCCAAGACCAAAGTCTGTAATGTAGACATTGAATTTATCATCAAGTAAAAGGTTGTCTGGTTTGAAATCAAGACAAAAGAAATTATTATCAACAAAATATTGAACAATATCTACCAATTGACTCATTATAGAGCGTTTTTTGTCCTCTTTAAGATTTAATACGGTAGTTGCTTGCTCCTCTATAGAACCTTTTTCAGATTCTTTTGGATTACCAGGTAAAGTTTCTTGCAATGTATGTGGCATGAGCCTCATCAGGATCAATACATTGTCGCCATCAAGTCTTGGCTCGGTTGTAGGAACAATGTGATGAAATTCGTCCATTAGAGATTTCATATAAAAAAGATATTGAGTATTCAGAGCTCGAAAACCTTCGCGTTTATCATCGTTTAGCATCTCTTTTGTCATGATGTATGTTCCAGGAGTGAGTCTGCTTTTGTAGGGCTCAAGCTTTTCACTCATTTAAAACTGAATAGAATTGAAAGGAAAATTTTTTCAGGTATTCAATTTTTAATGAAAATTTAGGAATTATTTTCCGACCTGAGTGGAATTTTTTTCAAAAGGTTAAAAGCCCTTCGTTGGTCTGATAATAATTAAATATGTTTTGCTTAATTGAATATATTCATAGCTTGAAATGATTTCTGAAGAATAATAGTTTTATTTTATCAATGAACCAAAAGGATCAACAAATTGCAATACTTAAAAAAAAAATACGTTGCGATATATATCCTCAGAAAATTTTTTTAGAGAACAGGAAGATATCAAAAGTCATTGAGATAGTGACTCTAGACAAAGAAAGAAAGTGTAATAAACAGAAATTCATCAAAAGTGACAACTCTCAATTTTTTGACATTTGTAAATTCTAAATTGAATGAGAAAAATGAAATAATACTAAGCATAATACAATATTCTAGATTTAATTATAATTAGGAAAAAGTTAGTTTTGAGAGTACTTTTCATAGGTATATAGAATGAAATCTTCTGAAAAATAATATCACATAAACTCATATTATTTTCTAATATATAACTATTTTATATAAAAATCAAATTCAATGATCTTAAAAGCGAAGGATAAACCTCAAAATTTACGAATATAATGAGTGGGAATATAATGCTTATCTATCATAAAACCATATGAAATATTAATTTTTGCTTTACGCCTAATTTTTGACGACAATTAGCAAAAAATGTTAAATGTTAACACTCAGTCCATTTGAATATGAAAAATAAAATTGACTTTGATTAAATGTTTTTATTTATCATGCAATTCTTCTTGCGACCAAAGATTTGAATAAAGGTTCAAAAATAAGATAGCTTAAAAAATAATATACGGTAGTGTTTACTAATAGATGAATAGTATATAAATTCTATTAAAATGGATTTGATCCAAAAAAATATATAAAATTTGATCATAAATAAAATCGTTTTAAATTACTTCTTCATTTAAATTATAACAATTATTTTTGGTTTTATATTTTTTTGGATCAAATCCATTTTAATAGAATTTATATACTATTCATCTATTAGTAAACACTACCGTATATTATTTTTTAAGCTATCTTATTTTTTGAACTTTTATTCAAATCTTTGGTCGCAAGAAGAATTGCATGATAAATAAAAACATTTAATCAAAGTCAATTTTATTTTTCATATTCAAATGGACTGAGTGTTAACATTTAACATTTTTTGCTAATTGTCGTCAAAAATTAGGCGTAAAGCAAAAATTAATATTTCATATGGTTTTATGATAGATAAGCATTATATTCCCACTCATTATATTCGTAAATTTTGAGGTTTATCCTTCGCTTTTAAGATCATTGAATTTGATTTTTATATAAATAGTTATATATTAGAAAATAATATGAGTTTATGTGATATTATTTTTCAGAAGATTTTGTGTTCTTCTTCAAAATTTTATTTTTTATTAAAAAGAATCTTTACAAAATATACATTTACTTTAATTAATATTTAAAAACATGCTCTATCAAAAGTTCCAAAAATTCAATATTTTAGCTTTTCTGAGGTGTCACTTTTGATGAATTTCTGTTTACAACAAGAAAGGAAAAAAAGCACTCAATAATGATCAAGAAATTGTGATAATTTATTTTCTGACGCCGGATTCATCATTTTAAAATTCCTCACACCACAAAAATGAATTATAATATCACATATTTGTTTGATTTCTTCGGAAAAATTTTTTTTGAATCGAATTCTACCAATTTAAGGTAAAAATTGAATGAGTGAAGCGGTTCTCAATTTTTAATCTATTTTGAAAAACATATTTGTAATTGTGATGTGTACAAAATATTTCCTAAATATTTTGTAAAGCTCACAATTATTAATATGTTTTACAAAATTCGATTCCAATGGTTTTGAAGATCAAAAGAATCAAATTTTTCGCGCTGATTTTTTAAAAAATTGAGGGAAAAAGTCACGCGAAAAATTGTAATATTTTATCTTTAATTGTAAAATCCAAATGATAAGAGCATATATTCTTATATTTCTGGATTCTTTTACCAGTAATGTTCCCAAAAAAAAGACCAAATTCAAGCAATTTGTTAGGTTTTAAATTTCTTCAAATTGATGAAGAGATGTATACATCTATCCTATGCATCTCACACTCTTCAATTCTCATTAAAAAAAATAAAAAATACAATCAATTTATTTTTAGCGAGATTCCCAATTTCTGCCGCATGTAGGACAAAGTCTACTAGTATTAAGCCATTGGGTAAGACAATGCTTATGAAATGCATGTCCGCATATGCCTTCTTCTACTGGACACTCTGTTGTTCCTTGAATAGCACAATTGTTGCATGGTTCTCCAAGAGGAGTCTTGCAAATACCACAGTTATCGGTAACACGTGAGTTAATTTCTTGATATACGGCTGAAATTTTGGTAATTTTTAATTCAATTTCTTCGTTTTCAGTGGATTTTACTTGCTCGGTAGTAGCTGTTGATTTTGCTGCTGCTCTGCTGACCTTCTTGATTGCTGGTGCACTCATTCTTAAATGAAAATTGTTTTGTCACATTTTTGTTTGTAAATAATATGACAAAATAATGACCAATTTTCCAGAAATAATCCAAAATACATGATTCTGATAGTAGTTAATATTTTTTTCAAAATTTTATTGGAATTTTTGTGAAATTTTATATTGAATGTTTGCCTCAGTAGCTTCGAAAATATTTTCGTATTTTCTGGGCTCTTATATTGAAGAACTTGGCTCTGGGCAACTTGAACTTGCAATTCTGAATGGAAATACGACATTATCAAATCTAAAAATTAAAAAGACGGCACTTCTTGGGCATAATATACCTGTGGAAGTTCTAAAAGGATGTATACATCGAATTGACCTTACAATTCCATGGTCTTCTCTCTTCTCAAAATCTTCATTTTTTGATGTTGATGAAATTTTCATTTTAGGAACAATTAAATCAGACTCGTTACTAGAATTAGATATAGAAACTCAAAATATACATAAAGAATTCGACGAATTATGCGCTCAAGAGCAAATAGCAAAAGAATCAGTATTATCAGGAATTGTTGGAAAATTACTGAACAAACTCGAAGCTACCATATCTAAAATACATATAAGAATCGAATATGATAATCCAAATTCCGGAAATACATTAGCTCTTGGAATTGTGATTCCAATAATCAAAGCAACAACAATTGATTGTCCTGGATTTTATGGTCAACAAGATGTATTTAGGAAACTTATATCAATACACGACTTTTCTATTTACTTTGATACGAATACAACAAAAATAAATTTAGATGACTTCAGACATCAAATGCACATTCAAATGGCAGAGAACCATCAATTCATACTCAAAGATTTTTCGTTCAATTGCATTTTTGAGCATTCAAAAGGTATAGATAATACTTATATCAACAGATTCCAAATTGACACGCCAGGATTTGATATCAGACTCGATCAGACTCAATGGGAAAACATTGTTATACTGAAATCAATCAACTTGAGCTTCCTTCGAATGAGATATTATTCATCAGTTGGAAGACCCATTGATTCTCCTAAATCTCCAAACGAAATCATCTCCTGGTGGAGGTACGCAAGAAGATGTGCATTCAAAAAGCTTCAACCTCTCAATTTTGACCCCAAAAAAGCGATGATTTTTTTGAGAAGTCGCCGTGAAATGTTTCCTTTCATGAAGACATATATACAAAGCAAAAACAAAGAGAAATTTAATAGCAAAGTCAAACTACACCAGGACTTCTTCGGTGCTGATGTTTTCTTATGTTTAATGACTTACTCAAATTTCATTTTGAAAATTGAAAATTCTAAAACAAAAAGTGACGGAATTGACATAACCGCTGATGAATTAAAGACCATATTAAAGGAGTCTGCACGCACTACATACTACCACATTGATTTCACCATAAAAGAATTGAAAGTTTGCTTAAATAAAGACGATAAAAATACTTTATCGTCAATTTTGTTCTCAAATTTCAAAGGCCTTTTTACATCATCAGAAAATGAGAGCAAATCCATTGAGTTCAAATTAGGAGACATCTTTGTACTGAATAATCTTGATAATTCGAAGATTTTCTACTTGGATCACGAACAAAACAAAAATTCTTTGGAAGGAAATATCGATTTCATGCCAAATAAAAGATTGTTGGATCTGAAAATAATTGGACAAAATCCTTACTTGTATTTGAACTTGAAATTACTCAACAAACTCCAAAAATTCTTTAAAGGTTCTTCAATATTTTTCGAAAAAATTACTAATATAAAAAGTGACAAGAAACGTGACACAACCAGATTAGAAATTGATCATATATTAGAGACACAAATAAAGAAGAAGATAAACTACAAGTTTGGCAAAACAAAAATTGTTATTCCAACAGAAAATGAAATTGTCGTCTTTTTGGATAAAATTGACATTTTGGCAGACGATAAAAACTGTCATCCTGTCAGAGATGATTCCATTTCATTCTATGAAAGCTATCAACTCAATTTAGAGAAGTTTGGCATCGATGTTGGCGAATATCAAGTTTGCAAACCATTTTCAACAGAAGCAATTTTTCAGAAATTGTTTATTCCGATGTCTTCTTTGCCATCATCGAAAATTTTGTTGAAAATCGATGATGTTTCAGTCAAACTCAATAGAAAGAGTCTTATGACACTTATGAATTTACAAAAGATATTCCAAATCGATGAAATAGACGTAAATAAAACAAAAACAGAATTCAAAGAAATGAAAAGTGGATCCAACTTTTTCATGTCACTTTTGTTTGAAAAAATCAATTTCTCTCTCGAAGGAAAACAACTTTCCACATATTCTTTAGAAGGAATGAAAAGTGAATTGACAACAGGAGACAACGGAATGAACTTGAATTTGGAGTTTCAAACAATAAAAGCCGTTGATTTGAGCAATTCTCTGAAATTTTTGGCAGGAAGTGTAGAAGAAAAAGCTTTCGAAGGAAATTTGTTGTTATCTGACAAAACGGTTTTGACGGCGGTTTTTAACAAGCCAGATATAGCAATGACATTTAGTTATGTAATGAATTTGGTTGATTTCTTTACGTTTAGTTCTGAAGATGATGAAAAATCAAAACAGAGTGATTCAATTTTTATGATGGATGTCAAAATCATTTCTCCTCTTTACGCGTTAGGTTTTCCAGCAAAAGAAAACAAATTATTGAATCTGTTTTTCGATATGTCAGAAATGTCGATCATTTTCAATTCCAACGAAAAGGAAAGTTTGTTAATTCCTTTCGAAAACTTAACAATGAAAACTCTCCACAAAGAAATATTGAAATCTGAAAAGTGTCAAATGAAAATGTCAGAAATTGAAGGAAGAAGTCACTTTTTCATGGATTTACCAACATGTGTTTTTGTGATGGACCAATACAACTATAGATTGGTCATGGATTTAGCTGAATACATTCCTTTCTTCTTGGATGAACTTAAAAATGATGCTTTCGTGCCAAGAGATGATTCTGATGAAGTTTTGAGTCTAAAAATGCTCAAAAATTTGTCAACTCCAAATTTAGTTCCAAAAAGTGACAATACTCAGAAAACTGACAGTATTTTGGCACCTCCCGAAACTAAGAAAGAGGATTTAGTTGTTCATGTTATTTCTGATTTGATGAACATTGAGTTTTATGAAGGAGATTGTCACTTCTTGGATATTTCTGTTTCAAACTTTAATTATCAATTGATTGATGATAAAAATTTGATAAAAATGGGTGAAATGAACGGAAAATTCCCTGATAACGTAATATTTGCTAATATCAAAGGTTTAAATGTTAAATTTGAAAACAGAATTACAGATGTAAATTTTGTTGATGAAATGTTTATGAATTTAAGACTGAAAGAAACCAATTATTTGTATATAATGTTTATGGACGAATCATTGAAAGAAATATTATATTATGACAGAGCGAAAATCATGGAATTATCAAAAGGATTAAGTCCAATTAAAACGAATATCGAAATGAAAAAAATCACTGCAAACATGTCAAAAGAAAATTTCGTTTATTCTGAAGTTAAAATGGATGAGATGTTTATCAATGTTGAATTAACAAAACCTGATGTCCACACAATAGTTACGATAAATGGAATCAAAGCAACAACTGATAAATTAGGAGAAATCACGGATTTCATTGATATTGATGGAAAATTCTATTTCGAAATGGTTGAAAACAAAATTATTGTCAACTCCAAAGACTTAGTTATAATGAATTACCAACAGCAGTTTTTCATGGATTTCGTGCATTATACAACAGGAATAATGAATGAAAGAGTTTATAACCCTCTTTCTCCTGTCAAACTGAAATTGTTTAATTACATTATTGATTTTTCAAAAATAGAATTGAAAATGTTGCCAAGATCTGAAATTGGAAGAGAATGCGGCTTTGTTGTTTGCATGGATGACTGTGAAGTCAAATCAGATGTTAATGATTTGAATATAATGAATATTTCTTTGAAAAACATTATCGGTTTATCTCCAAAAGGTGACAAAATTTTCTCGACATCAGACTTTTCTTTTCCATTGAAATTCATTACTAGTTTTGATGTTCCTCCTTTAAGTGAAGGCTACGATCCAAAAATGATTGCTGAATTCAAGAATCCACCTGTTAAATATTTGCATGCAATTGATTTTGATATCAAAATTGATAATTGTGAGTATTTTTACCAAAGAAACCAAACAAAGCAAATGTGCGACGTTTTCTGCACATTCTTGGATTTTGAATACATAAAACCAGAACCGTTTAAACTCGTTTACAATGTTGATGTTAATGTAAACAAAATAACGGCAGAATTTGACGTTTTACATTACGTGGCAAATGTCAAAAATTTTTATTTTAAGATGCGAGGCAATGATCAATATATCTCTATGGGAGAAGCAGTTTTAAAGAGACCAAATAATAAAACTATTGCAAAACTCGAAGAAAATTCTAAAAATATCTCAATGGAAATGGAAAACAACAAAAAGAACTTGAAAATCAAATTGTTTTCAATTTTGTTTTTCTATGACCAAAATAAAATGGTCAATTTAATGAGACTTCTTTACAGATCTCCCTTCTTGCTGACAAAATGGGGAATGACACCAGAAAAACCAACTCCAATGATTACAGAAATTGACAGAATTAGAGCGGTTTTGCCGGTTATGAAAAACGGAAATTTGTTACTTTTATTTGATGGCCAACTTTTGAACATTTTAGAAGGCGATGACATTTATTTCGAAGCCAAGAATTCGAAGCTGAAATTGATTGGAAACAAATTGAAATATTTCTCAATTGTTGAAGATTTCAATTTCTCTTATTCCGACAAATATAAAGATAAAACAAACATAACTGAATACAAATTAGGTGACACAAAGATTAATCTAAGTGTAACTGATATAACAGCTTTGTATGTTATCTTCAACAAGATGAAATTATTCATTGATGTTTGTGTGAACGAAAAAGTGAAAAATTCAAAAGTTGAAGTTACAAATCACATCCAAAAGTTTGATTTTGGAAATTTGGTTTTCGAAATTTACAAGAACAAATTGCAAAAATCATTTTTCATTCCTTTATTCAGGTTCATGATTAATCCAATTTGTTTTACTTTCGATCCTCTTTCTGAATCAAAATTAACTTTGTTGACTTCTTCTTTTGATTCTAAAAACACAAACAACCAAATGTGGGATATGTTTGTGGAACCAATAACTTTGTCTTTCTTGTCAAAACCAATCCCTGACCAGAACTATTTGCAAGTTGATGTAAATATCAAAAATTTGAATGTCAACTTTGCTCATTCAATTTTGACACAAATTCAAAAAGTGACAGATGAAATCAAAACGTCAATTGAAACAAAAAGTATCACTTTGGTTTATTCCACCAAAATCAGAGTTCAAAATGATTTGGGAACGAAAGCAAAGTTTGGTTATAACGACAAACAAAAGTTTTTCGTTTTAGACAAGAATGAATCACAAGAATTTCAATGTCAAGACGATAGCGACGATAACGATTATATTTATTTTTGGTTTGGCGAAAAAATCATTTCTTTGAAAGTTTCTGACTTCACTTTTCCACTTTTCATTTCTCCTTTCATTGTTGTTTATGTTGTTAAATCTCCTGGTGAAGTGACCATTGTTTTCAGCTCACTTTTGCGAGTAACTAATTTAACAAACAATGAATTGTCACTTTTGACAAATGAACGAAACAACAAATACAATTTTATTGAACAGATTGAGCCAAGTAAAACAAAATCTGTTGCTTGGATATATAATGAAGAAACAAACTTAACATTTAGCCTTAAAACATCTGACGGATTCATTCCAAATCAACTGATTTCATTCAAGAAATTGAGGGAATCATCGCAATTGTTCAAACTTAAATTTGAAAAATCAAGTTTGGATTTGATTTTGGAAAGTAAAACGTCAAATGTTACAGGAATAACAGAAGTTGTTATTGGATACAGGACAATTATCGAGAACCAGTTAAATGAACCATTGAATCTCAAAGTTCAAGAAAAAGAAACAGTTTATTTCAGAATTGAACCAAATTCTTTTATTTCTTCTTCAATAAATATTTCGAAAATTTGTGGTTCTTTGAATAATTTGACTGTGCTCCCTGATAAAATGGAAAATGTTGTCTTGGATGATGAAAAACTTTCAATAATCCCTGTTCTAACAAAAGCAAATTCCAAACCGATAAATTTAGCACTTTTTGTCAAAAAACAAAACTTCAAAACAAAAATTTCCATTTTTAGTCCATCGATTATTTTGAATCAAACTCCATTCAAGTTGAATTATCTCAATGATAACATGCAACTTAAAAACAACATCAAACAAAAGGCTGTTTATTGGAGTGATGACAATTTCTTCAAATCAAAATCAAAATCATTAAAATTGAATTTGACTTTGGAGAATGAAACAGAAAGTGAAGTGAAAATTGATTGTTTGGCCGCAGGAACAATTGATCAAATCTTTATTCCACTTTCTAAAACTGACAAAATCTATTTACCTCTTTCCTACAAAATCCAATCAGGAAATCAAAATTTGTTTTCATCAATTGTCACTTTTAAGCCGTTATTAACCGTCACAAACCTTCTCAAATACGGTTTTACGTTAGAACCAATCATTTCTTTAGAAGACACAACAAAAACAGGTCATTCAATCTACATTTCCTCAGGATCTTGTGAAACTGTTAAATTATGTACAGAAAATTTGACTTATATGTTATCGTCTGAAAAAAGTGACAGAAGAATTCCAATTTCTTTTGGCGAACCAATTAAATTCGTGACATTCATCACAGAAAACGAGAAGATAATGTTTGAAGTCAATGAAGATGATGACGGAATATTAAAAGGAACAATTTCTGCCGCAACAATTGAAAAGAGTTATTGTATTTCGAATTTAACTGATTATGAACTAAAAATCAAGCAGAAAAATGGTAAAATATTTGATTTCGTTAAATCCCAGACAACTTCTATTGTTGCTTTTGAGTTGCCTTATTCAGAACACGTCTTAATTCTTCAAATTAATAATAACGAACTTTCTGTCAACGCCGATAAAATCACTTCACCTTTCCAAGTTGGCCAATTTTGGTTAGAAGTTAAATCGAGAGAAAATGGAATGATATCTATTGTTATTCAACAAAATGAAATAGAAATCATTCAGAAACAAAAATATTTGTTGATATTTTTAATCAATTCTCTTTCTTTATCTTTGATTGATGAAAAATTCAATGAATTGTCACTTTTAACGTTCAAAAACTTGAAATTTGAACTGAAAACATTGAAATCTACTTCATCAATTAAAGTTTGTTTGGAACAGATGCAAATAGACGACCAAAATTCTTTGGCATTATTCGATTGCGTTTGTTATGGAATGAAAAAAGAAAACAATGATTTTATAGAATTTAGTTGCGAAATATACGATGATTTGAAGAATTTCGAATCAATAGAACTGAATGTCCAACCATTATATCTCAAGCTTGATGTTTCTTTCATTTGTGAAATGTTTAATTTCTACAATTCTTTTGTTAAATCTCAGGAAATTGATTTTTATTCGAATTCAGAGTCAACAAACAAAGAAAACAACTTAATTATTTCGTCGAAATCTTTCTTAATTCACGAAATAAATGTTTTCGTAACAGTAGAAAACAAAAACACAAGAGATGTTGATACAGAAAATGTCCCTGTTTTTATCAAATTCATTCCGAATTTGAATGAAGGTTTGTTGCATCTTCCTGAGCTTCCTTTATCTGATTTCGTGTCGACACAAAACTTCTTGACACAAAGATTGATTAAACCGTATTTATTCGGTGCTTTAAAGCAGCTTTTGAAGCTACTTCTCCATCACGACATCTTCATGAATATTGGAGGAGTGACAGCGAATATCGTGAATGGTTTCGATCGTCTAAAAAGTTCTCCAAGTCGTGCTCTTTGCCAAATAACTCTTGGAACTGCTTTCGCTGCAGGAGAAGGAGTTCTTGGAAGTGTTTCCCATTTGATGCACTCTATTTACGATGCGGAATCTACTTCATCAACATTTTATGGCGCAAGAGATTCTTTGATCAATGGAATTTCAGCAATTCCACAATCATTAAATGACGGAATTGTCGGAATAATTGCAGACCCGATTGATGGAGCACAAAGAGAAGGTTTCTCTGGTTTTGCCAAAGGATTTGGAACAGGAATTGTTGGTTTAGTTGCTCGTCCTGTCATTGGAATTGTGGATGGCGCTGCTTCGATTGTTGGAGGCGTGAGAAAGGCAATTGAAGGAAAAGAAGAAGGTCCAAAAAGAATCAGAAAAGAAAGAGTTATGCCGAATTCTTCCATAATTCCTTATTCACCAGAATTGAGTGAAATGCAGCAGACAATCAATGAATCAATCATTTGCTACTTCCATGATATTTTGAGACCAAGTTCTGTTGTGATTTCAAACAATTTTATTACAGTTTTTGATGTAAAAGGTTCTGAGAAGATTCCAATTATTTCGATAATCGCAGCAACTGTGAAAGGAAACAGACTGGAATTATCAGTCAAAGATCAAAAAAGACAAAAGATTAGTTTCGAAATTGCTCAAAAAGAAACAGTAGTATATGTTGCAAGACTTCTTTCTTCTCGTGCAAATGCAATTGCATCAAATACTGCAAGATTCTTATAATTATATCGTATATTATTTTATATATATATTGTTTGTTTAAATATTCTAATATTTATTTCAATTTATCCTTTTTAATACTGAACATAAGTGGAATATTTTCTTGTAACTAACTTTCCATTCCAATTTAAAAATGAGATTCAAATTTCATGAAATTAATGCTAACAAAAGTATTATATAGAGCCATTTAGAATTTATTATTTTAAATGCTAGAACAGTCTAATATTCTAAAAATGAATAATTCAATATATATACTAAAGAGAGAGAGAAATTATTTTGTGAAATTTTTTAATTTGAAGATCGAATCTTTATGAATTTCATTAGTTTCAAAAACACTATTGATAGGCTTATTCGTTTTCAAGTCGGGATGCTAAACATGATGAATAACACTCAATTTTATTGATGAATAAAAAAATTGTTGATTAGAAAGATAATAAATTTTTTATACTAAATTGTGTCATAAGTTGCCTTTGGATTGAGGAGTTCCTTGATTTCATATCTTGAAGTGAAAACCAAAGACAAAATCGGAAGAATCAAGAAACAAGGAGAAGTCAAAGCAGATCCAAGTCCAAACCAATCCCAAGACAAATAGCAAGTGTATAATGCGTAGCATAAACATGCCAAATAAGCCAAAACCTCAACAATGTGGAAGTAAGACTTGCAGTTTCCAGCAGAAATTGCAGAATTCATCAAAATAAATGGAATTGTCACAAACAAAACGTATTTCAAAGCGAAGAAACAACCTTCAAAGCATAAAATTGCTTTGTTCGACAAGAATCCGAAGATCCAAATCATAGAAAGTCTTGATTCTATCAAGAAGAAGTCGATTGGCAACAAAACAGGCCAAAAAATAAGAACTAAATAAAAATATCTTATAAATAATGGAGATTTCCAAATTCTTGAATTAACAATTAAGAAACCACAGCATAAAGATAACAACCAATGAGAATTGTTTTCATTTCCTGTAATCCATTGTTCTGCACTCTCTGCTTTCGATTGGAAAACAAAGAAAACGAAAAAGAAAACTATAAAAATCAAAATGAAATAAACAGAAAAGAAAATATAAGAAATGGAATGTTCCGACAAATAATTCGATTCCTCCATTGATTGGATGGTCTTTCCAACTGTGAAAGTGATGTTTCCACTCCAATCTCCTGTTTTTTCCACAAAATATTTTCCATCTTTCAAATTGACAGAAAAGTGACACAAATAAACGTTTTTCTCAATTTCTTTGTCACAAGAAAGAGTTCCATTGACATCTCCTGATACAGAAAGGTTCGTTGACTTCTTTCCAAATGATATCGCTCTGATGCTAAACTGATTTTGAGAGAAATCGTCAAGACTCGAAATTTGTGAATCCGGAGTGGGATAAGTCATGATTGCTGCATGGCCTTTGGATATATCGACCTCGTGGTATGAGATTCTTCTGTTGTCGTATGAAATTAAGCCAACTTTCTTAGGATATCTGAACCATGGTGTTCCAACGACTTCTAGAACATCGCCGAAGTGGGAAATGACTGGATCCTTTGGATGCCTGTGGCCACAAAGTATTAATCTGACATTTTTGGTCGTTTTAAGGAAATTTAGATAATTATTCTTTGTAAAGGTATTTGGGAACCACATTCTTGATGGATGGTGCTGGAGAAGAATCTGGATGTCATCTGTGTTCTCGGAAATCGCGTTCTCCACGTTTTTGAGGACTTCATTTTTTGGAGAAGTAAACCACGTCATTCTGAGGACAGGAACAGGGAAATTGTATGGGTTTATGGCAAGAATAGATGATTTGACACCGTCCATGTCAAGAGATTTTCTGTTGAGTTGAAATGTGGATTCATTGTAAATTATGCCATTTCCGTAATGCTGAGAGGACGTATATCTGAGTAGATCGTAGAAGTCATGATTTCCTGCTATTTGTATAAGACGTGGATCATTTGTAAGGTTCAATTTTTCTAAAATTTCAGAATATGTATCCCAATCTTTTTTAACCATTGTTGTAAAAGGTCTTTTGCCTGTTGGATTCCTGTTGTCGACTAAATCGCCGGTTAGAAGGATCTTCTTTGGTTTAAAGAGATTAATTGAATCATTTAACTGTTTTAGTATGCTTAAATAGCTAGAGTTTCCAATTGAATTGACATGTAAATCAGTTCCATGCAAGAACCATGATGGTATGAATGATTCGTTGAATTTATAATTTGTTATGCTTGAAAATTCCTTTGTTTGCACGTTTGACCTAGGAAATGCATAGTATAAGAGTGGGAGACATATAATTACTACCCAGAAATACTGACTAATTATATATGGGAAAAATCTTATCGAAGTCATTGAAAAATTTTTATGCCGGAAGATTTTGATTCAAAATTGGCAAGATCTAATGATGTATTTCTAAGATATTTATCAACAATTTTATGGAAAAAACTTTCAAATCTGAATTGAACTCAAACTAAAAAGATTTTGAGAGTATCTCCTTCGTCTTAGTAACAATAACTTGTTGATGTTGGAATTAATATTTTCATTTAATAAGAACGGCTCTTTATGCAAATAAGAATTGATATCTATATAAGTAGAGGAATTTAGAACTCATATACATAAACTGATGTGAAGTTTTTCGCATTTTTGGTATAAACATAGTATTATTCGTATAAAAAACAAAATTTATAAATAATATATAAAACAAACATACATAAAATGGTTAAATTACATCAATTCTTTGTATCTGGGAACCATTTCTTACATGAAATATATCAATTTCATTTTTTTCAAAATTTTGTAAACTTCACAATTTTTGGTATTTTTTTGTAAACTATTCAATCCGTTGGCTGTTTTCTTCTTCTTGTTCTTCTAGGTCTTGGTTCTTGATCTTGAGCTATTTGTATCTGTGGCGGTGTTGTTAGTTCGAATCTCTTCAAAGATGGTTTCTGCACTGAAGCGTCTGTTGCAGAAAGAGGCGGATTTAGCTTAGAAACAGGAGCAGCATCGAAAACTTTTAGTTTTGGAGGCTTGTATTTGTGTTTGGAGATGTCTTCTCTCTTCAATTCTCTATCAGTAAACAGGTCGTCGTCTGTCATTTTGACTGGTTCTTCGCTATTATTCGATCCTGTAATTGGAGTTAACATTGAAGAACTTGATGACTGTTCTAGGACTGCTTTCTGAGGTATTATGACTTCCCCATCGATACTGATGTTCTTGAATTTCTCCATTGATGGAGGAAGCCAAAGATTCTGGTTGGATGAATGCATTTTTTTAGGAACTGAGGCACTACGATGTTTCGCAGAGTTGGAAAGCTTCACATGTTTATCGGATGTTGTGTCTTTGTTTGTATTTTCGTCATTTTCCGTATTTTTACTGTAAGATTTATTTTCATGTAAATTTTGACTTGGATTTGTATTTTTATTGCTTGTATATGTCATTGACTGTGCATCTCGAGATGATCTCCCAATTCTACGGCCTCTGTAGTCATCAGGAATGTTGTCAAATTTGAATTTATTTTTTTCTTCAACTTGGGGTGTAGGCGTAAGTGGTTTAATAACGAGAGGTTTGAATTGGTTATCTAATTCTGTGCCAATAAGAGGCTTTGGTTGTACTTGTGACGCAAATTTTGGTTTTTCTGCCAAAATTTCTCGAAAACTCTTGAAATGTGGTATTGGCTGCTGTTGTTTTGGAGGTTGTAGTTCTTGATCTGGCTGTTTTTCTTGAGTAGAACGCTTTCTAGTACGAGTTCTGATGCGTTGTATCGGCTTTTGCTCTTCCTTTGGAGAAACGGCGCTATTTTTGAATTCAAACTGATCTAACTCCGGAGTTGCCCTACTTGGCTTGACTCCTCTAGCAGATTGTGATCTATGAGAAGAAGAATAACGAATTTGGTCAGAAGATTCGAGAGGTAATGGTGGTGGTCTTGTATGAGCTGATCTAGCAGACTCTGCTGGTGATGTTGGTGTAAAAAGAAAATTTTCGACCTTTTCTCGGGAAGAATGTCTTGAAGAGTGTTCTCTCGAGCGAGACGATGACGAATGTGATCTGTGGTGTGATGATGTTGATATTGGTGCAGGCCTTTGACTAGAATATTTAGGTTCTACATTATTTTCTTCTCTATTATGGCGATGGCGGCGCTTTCTGCCTTGCATATCAGGATCTTGTGTTTCTGGTGCATGCCGATGAGATCTGTGTTGCCTATCAACTGAGTATTGATAAGGTTTTTCTTCTTCTGCTTGTTTTTTCTCGGTTTTTTGACGATCACGTTCACTATTTCGTTCTATTAGAGCATTTACAGAGGCGGACCTATGATGAAGTTGTCGCCGCTCGCTCATTGCCTGTAAATTTCCGAGAGAAAATAAATTTTTTTCTATTTACTTTACAATTGTAAACGCACCGAAAATTTTTGTCAGATTTTTGTTACATTGACTTCAATTCTCAATCTCTGTAGAGATCTATTTAACATAAATGATAAGTGTGGAAAACCTATTGCATATATAATTTAATTATATAGATATTATGCGAATTATTCGATATGGATATATAAAAAATGGGTCGTTATCGATTTTGTAATTTAATCGTTATCGTTATCGATTTTGTAATTTAATCGTTATCATCTTTTTCTAAACGTGCATTTTGGAACTAAATCGCATATAACTTTAAAATGACTTAATATTTAAAGGTTTATGTGGTAAATATCAACGAAATGTAATATTAATATGTGCACCATATATGAATTACAGACATTTGAGCAATTCGAAATTTCATCGCGTTATATATTCATTTAAATTCGATCAAATCAACATTGCAATTATAAAACCATTACACATCCAGTCAATATTTTTCAATTTCATGCGAATTATATCATTATTACACATTTTAAAATGGCGAAATATAGTCCAAAAAATAAACTTCGTTTTAAACTCAATTCTCACACATATTCGGATTAAATCATATGTGACTCATATGATCATACATCTCATTTGAGGTCTAAAAAATGATTTACCGAGAAAACTTGCATTCGAACTAAAATTTACTAAATTTAATCAAATTGGTTAACAAACGTAAAGTTTATGCCAAATATTTACGTTTGTAAACTAATTGAGTAAATTTATAGCACTTTTTTTCTCGATGCAATAATTTGAACTACGAGTTTACCAAATTAGTTTACAAACGTAAAGTATGCCAAATATTTACGTTTGTAAACTAATTGAGTAAATTTATAGCACTTTTTTCTCGATGCAATAATTTGAACGACAAGTTAATGTAATTAGTGTTCTCATGTTTACAATTCAATATGTCTATGCATATGATATATGCAAATTCTATAAATAAAATATTATTAAATAAAATTCTTTTCAATTCCTTAAAAATAGCGTTTCTTTTGAATAAAAAATGATTTTTAACTAATTTTAGGACTCTTTCTATTTCAAAAAAATACCTGAATTTAATTTTCTGATGCAAAATTTATGCTTTTTATCATGAAATTCTTTTTTTCAAAATTTTTTTGGATTTTTTTCCATTTTGAATATAGTTAATTTTACTTTATTTCACATTCTATTAAGAAATACTTAGGCCAATCCCTGTGGGACCCAGTGGTAACTTTCCATGGAAACCACTCAGTGGGAACATTTTTTATTTTTGACGGAAAAAATTCTAAATATTTTTTTCATTTTTTGATTTTTGAATTTTTTTTGGAATTAGAGAATAAAATTTAAAGCGATAGATATGCTTGATTATTCAAGATATTGATATTAAATCAGAAATCAATGGTAAATAAAGAGTTTTATAAAAACTTACCACGTGGTAAGATGAAGTGACCACAAATTGAGTTGTGGTACATAAAAATTACCACAAAATTGAGAACTTTTCCCACAAATTGAGAATTTTTACCATAAAATGAACGATGGATATCCACGAAAGTTACCACAACTCACTTCTCGCGCAAAATATGTTTAATATTACATATTAAATACATTTATCAACATTAATTATTTTGAATTGTGGTAAAACGATATGTCACATATTTTTTTATAAAAATTTGTAAAAATGTTTATTTTAATTTATATAATTAAATATTAAAATTTTAAATTTTGAAATAAAATAAATTAAATTCGTCCGTTATCTTTAATTCGCTCGGCGAATGCCGAGCTTACGTACTCATGTATTCCTTCTTGTTACAACTCGAACAAGAACATCACCTTTAACATATTATCAAGAAGCCCACTATAAACTTTTCATTTGATGAGTTTTGAATCGCGAGCTTCTTGATAGTCAAACTACGCACCAGCACTACAACTTCTTTCACCCGAACTAATACAAATTTACACATTGGAGCTGCTTTGCTCTGAGAACTCTCATCAATCGATGAGAGTTCTCAGAGCAAAGCAGTTCTAACCGAACTACGCACAAACACTCCAACTTAAAGCAACCAAATCAATACGATTATATACATTGGAACTGCCTTACTCTTATTTCTCTCATCTATTGATGAGAGATCTCAGAATGAGGCAGTTCCAATCGAACTACTCACAGACAGTCCAGCTAACCAAACCGAATCAATACACATATATACATTGGAGCTACTTTGCTCTTATTTCTCTCATCAATTGATGAGAGAACTCAGAGTAAAGCAGTTCCAATCGAACAGACAAGCTAGCACAAGATTACACATTGGAACAGTTTTACTCTGAGAACTCTCATCGATTGATGACAGATCTCAGAGTAAAGCAGTTCCAATCGAACTACACACAAGCACTGCTTCTTACAGCAACCCAATCAATACGCACATATACATTGGAGCTGCCTCACTCTGAGAACTCTCTTCATTTGATGAGAGATCTCAGAGTGAGGCAGCTCCAATCGAACTACATACAGACATTACCGCTAACCATAACCCAATCAATGTACGTATTTACATTGAAGCTACTTTACTATTATTTCTCTCATCAATTGATGAGAGATTTCAAAGTAAAGCAGCTCCAAAAAGAAAGTGAGAAGAAAAGAAGGAAAAAGAGAAGAAAGAAAAGAAGGAGAGAAAAGAGGAAAAGAGAAAAAGAAAAAAGGACATATTAAATATGATATGCTGTTTTTAGTGCCGAGGCGGCGAAGCCGCCGAGGCACGATTTTTTTGGTCTCTTCCTTCCACGTGGTAAGCTTTTTTAAAAGTTTGGACAGGCCTAGAAATACTATATATATGTAGATTGAATTCTTTTATTTTGGCACTTTTTATTTTTTTTAATGTTTTTTTTTCTCCAACACTCAGCCCCCAATTCAAATCAAGCATTTACCAACGTAAAATACCGGTATTCCAATCAATAAGAGGACAGTTCTGTCAAGACCCTTCCTGATTTGAAGGAACTTGAAAGAACTGCTCTTTAACCGACTTCAAATAAGAAAATTTCACTCATATTATCATGTTAACATCGAAACTACTGCCATTTAGAGAGCAGTTCTTTCAAGATCTTCGAAGATTTGGAAGATCTTGAAAGAACTACTCTTAAAATGGCAGTAATTACCGTAACTTTCTACTTGATAGTAACAATACCGAAGCTACAGCCATTTAGAGGGCAGTTCTTCCAAGATCTTCCAAATCTTCGAAGATCTTGAAAGAACTACTCTTAAAAATGGCTGTATTGCGAGAGGGTTTGATTTTTCGTTTATTAAAATTGTATTCTATTATATAATTTAATTCAAGATTTGTATTTCTGTTATTTTTGTGATATCATTCAAGTATATATATCAGAATATGCACATAATGATACCACATATACTTAAACTATACGTATTTAAATCTTAGCGATCAATATAATTTTTTTTGTAATATCGAATAAAAGTTTGTTTTCGCATTTCCGTTTTATTTGACTACATGAAGATAAGAATTCTTGAGAACGATTTTAAATAAATTGCCAAATTGAAGAATTCGATATATGATGATATTCACTGATTTCTGCCAAACTTGTAGGAATGAATCCATTTAGAATAAAAACGATTTGTGCATTGGAAGCTCAGAACAAGTTATGTTCATTATCCCAATATGAAGAAAATGCACGTTTAGAAAAAGACGATAACGATTAAATTACAAAATCGATAACGATAACGATTAAATTACAAAATCGATAACGACCCAAAATTGTTTGTTAAGACATTGGAGATTGTAGTTACCACTGTCGTGCTGCATCTCTTTAATGACGGTATATTTAAGATAGATAATATTACCAAAGGTATTCAGCTCTAGTTCGCTCATTTTTAATTTTAAAATCTTAATTGAATTATAATTGAAATTTTTGAATAAAAAAGTTTCCTGACGTCTTTTTCTCTGAATTTGGAAAAAATAAAAGGCATTCAAAATTGAATTTGGAAAAAATAAAAGGCATTCGTTTTATGTCGGCTCTGTTTTGACATTTACAATTCCAAAAAAAAATTCAAAAAAATAAATATAAAAAAAATCTTCCTAACGTATTTTGATGATTTTTTCGATTTTGGAAATTTCTTAAAAATCTTCCAAATCGGCAACCCTAATTGTAGTCTGATAATAAGGGTTTCGTTTTGCTAAAATTGTCACTTTTATAGCATATTTGTTTTTGGATGTTTTGCGAAACCAAAAAAACTATGATATACAATGTGTGTGTAAAGAAAATACTTTATTTACTAGTTAAAAAATCATTTGGTATTGATCAAGTTATTTTTTCTGGATAAGATATTATATGGATAATTGGATAGAAAATACAATTATATAATCTTGTACCTGGTTTAATTAAGCTAATTGTCATCAGAAACTTGTAATTTTTATGAATTTCAGATTTTCTTTTCATTACTGCTTTTCTTAATAGGTCAAGTTCTTATTTACGTTATAAAGTATGATATTTACAAATATCAAGTTATCATGTTTTTTGAGAAATTATGAGAAACAAACAAAAATGAAAAAGATAGGAATAGCAATGAATAGTGATGTGGGTATAGAAAATGTAAGAGATATGAATGCAAAGCAATCAGTATTTAGGACATTGACCATAGATTTCGAAAAAAAAATGCTGCATATTGAGCGAAAACTATGATTATATTATAAGGCTGTCATTTAAAGCATAATGAAACTATTCCCTTTTCATTTTAATCGAATAAGATAGTAAAGATTTTTGAATTAGCTAGAAACTGATGAGATGTTTTCACAAATCAGATTTTTAATCTCTATAATGCATAATTCACTCAATATCTCAATTTTGATATTGCGAGATTTTTTGCTATCGGTTTCGCAATTTTGACACAATAGCAAGAGGGTTCTATATTCATTATTATCAACGTAGAATCTGAATATCATATCAGAAAATGTCGCAAATCTGACATTTACCCGACCAAATAGCAAAAATAATTGAATACTTTTCGCAAAAACTTTAAAAATCGATAAAAATATGAAATATAGATATTAAAGAGACTTTTTATATAATATTCATAAAGATTTTCCAAAAATATGATACCGCAAAATTAAAAAAGTGACGTCTTGAGTGGAGTCAAAGGTCGAAATTGCTAGCTAAATGTTTTTTTAGCGAAATTGCGTATTGTACGTTTTTTTCGCAAAACGAAACCCTTACTGATAAAAATCCAAAATTCAATATTATGAGAATTTTATATATTCCTTTAAATTTGTTATGCATAATTCCTGATTTACACATATATATGCAGTGTCTTAGTAATAGACCCTGCACTAATATGTGCAAATCAGGAAAAGCTTGCACTTTTTCAATAGAATGTTAAACATTGGATTTTAATTCAAGAAAGGAGTTTGCAAATGCTGAGTATTGTTCCTCTACCCTGCATTTGTAAACTCCTTTCTTGAATATTTTGCACTTATTCAATAGAATGTGAAATAAAACATGTTTTTTCCAAAAGAATTTAAATAGCCTTTTGCTCAATAAATTAGTGATATTATTTGTGGTAGATACGTTTTCTTTTATTAAATTGTCATTAAAGAAATAATTAATTTTCTTTTATTGTAATTTTTAGGCGTGATTCCAGATGCATGATGGATGCAGCTATCCAATAAATATTCTCACTACCCGCATTGTTTCACACTGCTAGTCTCACAAAAACATTACTAAATTATTGGGCTTATCGTCTTAAAAATCTGACACCATAATTTTGAAAAATGATTATAAATTTCTCGAAAAATGCAACCATCTTTAAATTCAAGTGTATTAATGCAGTGAACTAAATTATTTTGGGATGTTTATTCATAAATAATGCCAACGATAATATATTTTGTTTCGATATAGAATCGCGCAATTAGAGAAAGAATGATTTGGTTCTCCTAGCACCATGTGCATATAAGTAATCAGTAATATCTGTTGTTTTTAATCTGATGGCCATACTAAGAGGACAATCAATAATATTGAGAGAATTGTATAAAATAATGATAAATATGAAAAGATATAGAAAAAAAGAAAACAATGATTAATATGAAAAGAAAGAGAATTCCATAAAATAATGTTAAATATGAAGAGAAAGAGAATTCCATAAAATAATGTTAAATATGAAGGGGAAGAGAATTTCATAAAACAATGATAAATATAAAAAGAAAGAGAATTCCATAAAATAATGTTAAATATGAAGAAAAAGATAATTCTATAAAGTAATGATAAATATGAAGATAAAGAGAATTTCATAAAACAGTGATTAATATGAAGATAAAGAGAATTTCATAAAACAACAATAAATATGAAAAGAAAGAGATTGTAATAAAATAATGTTAAATATGAAAAGAAAGAGAATGCTATAAAATAATGATAAATATGAAAAGAAAGAAAACTTCATAAAACAATGATAAATATAAAAATAAAGAGAATAAGAGCCGTGTTAACAATAACACCATGCTCAACTAAGAATTGGACAAATTTTAATGATTTCTTATAAATTGCAATACTAAGAGGACATTCGTTAATATTGAAAGAATGTAATAAAACAATTATAAATATGAAGAGAAACAGAATGTAATAAAACATTAATTAATATGAAGAGAAAGAGTATGTAATAAAGCAATGATAAATATGAAAATAAAGATAATTCCATAAAACTATAATAAATATGAAAATAAAGAGTATACTATAAAACAATGATAAATGTGAAAAGAAAGAGAATAGAATAAAACATTGATTAATATGAAGAGAAATAGAATGTAATAAAGCATTGATTAATATGAAGAGAAAGAGTATGCAATAAAACAATAGTAAATCTGAAAAGAAAGATAATTCCATAAAACTATGATAAATGTGAAAAGAAAGAGAATAGTATAAAACTATGATAAATATGAAAAGAAATAGAATATCATAAAGCAACGAAAAATATCAAGAGAAAGAGAATTTTATAAAATAATGAGAAATATGATAAGAAAGAGAAATTTATAAAACAATTATAAATATGAAAAGAATGAGAATAAGTTTCATGTTAACATCAGCACCGTGATCAACTAAGTATTTGGCAATTTCTATTGAATTAGCTCTGATTGCAATACCAAGAGGGCATTTATTAACATCGAGAGAATTTCATTAAATAATGATAAGTATGAAAGAGAAAGAGAATTTTATAAAACAATGATAAATATGAAGAGAAAGAGAATGTACTAAAACATTGATTGATATGAATATAAAGAGAATATTATAAAACATTGATTAAAATGAAGAGAAAGAGAATATTATAAAACATTGATTAAAATGAAGAGAAAGAGAATGAAATAAAACAGTGACTGATATGAAAAGAAAAAGAATTTTATAAAATAATTATTAATATGAAGAGAAAGAGAATGCAATAAAACAGTGACTAATATAAAAAGAAAGAGAATTTTATATGATAATGATAGATATGAAGAGAAAGATAATTATATAAAACAATGATATATATAAAAAGAAAATGAATAAGTTTCTTGTTAGCATTAGCACCATGTTCAACTAAGAATTTGACAATTTCTATTGAATTCATTTTGATTGCAATACCAAGAGGGCATTTGTTAATATTGAGAGAATATAACAATAAAACAGTGATTAATATAAAGAGAAAGAAAATTTGATAAAACAACAATAAATATGATAAGTAAGAGAATTTCATAAAACAATGATAAATATGAAAAGAAAAAGATTAGAAAATTCGTTGATATCTTCTCCATTAGAAAGTAAATAAGATGCAACATCAAAATTTCCAAAAAGCATACTTTCTGCTATTGAATGAGGAGATTGTCCAAAATTTGATTTAAGGTACTCAGCAATTTCATAGTTTCGATAATCCAATGCTGTATTAATCATTTTATCAAATGATTTACCATCTTCTATCATTTGCATAAAAATGTTCTTATTTCCACCTTGAACTGCATATTTTTCCGATTCAGAAGTGTATTGAGCTCCTAAATTTTTCAAGTAATTGAAGCACAGTTCTGATCCATATTTAATTGCGCAATCAAGTGGTGTGATTTCATAATCTATTTTCTCTTTAATATCAAGATTTGGGAATTTCGATTTAAGATCATCAACTTTATACCACGCAATATAGTATAAAGGAGATTCTGTTGAATATAAATTCAGAATTTGTTCTTCTTCTTCCATTGCAGGTTCGAAGTCATCAAATTTGAAGCCTTTAAAATGTAGAAGTTTCTCTAAATTCACATTTTTCGGTTTGATTATGCATGAAAATTTATTCAATATATTTGAATAAAGTTCTGTAAATATTTTAATATCTTTAACACGAATTCGTGAAAAAAGATCAATCAAGTAAAGCGCCATTTTGATAGGTATTTTGTTAGTTGTAATTAATTCGATAATTTGTGAAGATATTTGTAAAATATTATTGGAATTGACGCCCCAAATTATTTTTGATGCTTGATCTGGGTATACGAATACTTTAATTGGCTTATGGTCACTATAATTGACCCTATTTACATTTTTTGGCTTTGAATTTAACATGCCTTGTTAAAAATTTGATAGTGGCACGTTTTGGGTTAAAAATTCAATAGGACAATATGAAAAAAACCTACATCATTTTTATGGCCAATATGAAAAAAAAACCTATGAATTTGCCTATTTGCTTTTGCTGTTCATAGTATATAAGTGTTTGTAGTGAATATTCTTCATTCCCAGCTGCAAGCATTTCATGTATCTTTTTGTTCCAATACCATGTTGATTTTTTGGCGAGCTACAGTGCGAAGATATAAACTTACAGCAATTCTTTAAGCCTATAAATCAAATATAATTCTTGGCTTTAGGTGGCTACGCTTGTATTGATTATATGATATGAGTCCTTTCAAATATATTCGATTTCAAAGAATATCACGTAAAATATAAGACAAACTTTTAGGATAAGCGAATTTGTTTAGAGAATACTTTTAGATTTTCGAGAATTTACGAAATAAATGTTGAAAATTAAGCCTTTATTAAGAATTTGTTGGGACTTGAATACATTGCAATAAGAAATTAGGTCATTTTGATACTTGGTAAGATTAGAGCTGAAGTCTTTTTCATAATTGAAGAATTATGTAAATTAGTCAAAAATCTTTGGTGAAAGATAAAAAAGTATAAGTAATTTGGTAAATGAAATCTAAGAAGATGTTTAGGCAAGGTTGACTGTACCGCGGCGGCGACCTGTACGGCGGGAAGCGATAAGGCCAAGCTTCTGACCTGGGCGGGCAGAGCGGGCGACTGTGCCTGGAGCACCCATGTGCTGGTGGGAACCACCACCGTGTCTGTGGTCGACTGGGTTCATCTTGATACCGCAAACGACTGGCCATGTGTGGCGTTTAGCTTTATACTTGTAGTGGACGTTACCAGCCTTAAGGAGTGGCTTTTCTGGACGGCCACCACCAGCGACGATACCTAATGTAGCACGGCAGATGTTGGAAACAAGAGCCTTGCGACCAGATGGGAGCTGGATACGTGTGTAGTTTTCTGTGTGACCAATAACACGGCAGGAATCGCCGGAGCAGCGGCCATAGCGGCCACCATCACCTGGACGGTGCTCGACGTTGCAGATTTCTGTACCTTCTGGGATCTGTGCAAGTGGAAGGATGTTGCCGATGTGAAGGTCAGCCTGAGCGCCGCACTTGATGAATTGGCCTGTGTGGATGCCTTCAGGGGCGATGACGAGGGCAGAATCGAAGCCCTGGCCTTCAGCCTTCTTGTAGATAAGCTTGGCAAGTGGAGCACCACGGCCTGGGTCGTGGATGATCTCCTTGACCATGCCGGAGATGACGGATGTGCGCTCGGCAGCATCAAGAGCACGGAATTTAGCTGGACCAACGCGGTGGTGGGTATGGGCCTGGAAAACAGAACCATTACCTCTACGCTGAGCACGAACGATGTGACCCATGTGTAAAAGGAAGAACCATAGCCGCCACGAAGTCACTTTTTTCGAAAGTTATCGGTGTGTAGCACCAATAAAAAATGCTGTTTAACAGCCATGATTATTGTCATATAATTATAGTTTAACGTAAATTGATGGAATATTTCAAGCTTTTGAAATTGATTCAAAAATTTCCTCATTTTTTGAGAACTTAATTGGTATGATTCCTCATATATGAGTTATCCATATAATGAAAAGCAAAGAAATACCCTGGTTGTGATATAATGAAAGAAGAATAACAGAATAATCTTTCAGTGCTTAGATTTTTCCTTTAAAAATAAACACTGTTAGCATAAATGTGATATTGTATTGCTTATATTTTGAGTGTGCATGAAAATTAGACAAAATACAAAATAAAATCTACTTTCATAATCAAAAAAAGAAATATTTTTCAATGGAAAGCACAATTTTATATCAAAGAAATATAAACAATTATATCTCAAACTTCTTAATTACATCCATTGATTTCAATAACTCACTTGTCATTGAAGAAGCTGGATTTTCAGATGGGCTATGAGGAACTTTGCGGCTGATTACAAGAACACCCATTTGGGCATTTGTGCAAAGAGTTTGTTCGCCAAGTTTGAAAAATTCTTTACAAATGGTGCATTGATAAAGAATTGACTTCTTAAAGTACTCATTAATAACAGATGTTATTGTGTTGGCCCTTTCCGTTGTCCAGTTGGTCGAATAAATAAATAAAATTATTGATGAGGAGTTATTGTGATCATCTCGCTTAACTAAGATCCTTACATCATATGTTGAACTCAATGATTTGATGTCATCGATAGAAAACGAACTTTTGGCAATATTATTCAGTTGAATTACCAAAAATTGGTTCTTTGAGATTACATTGAGTACGGACTTCAAGAGACTTCGTGCTGTTTCGGCAGAAACTTGTGGAGTTTCGATAAAACCGATTTTCATTTTATTTCCGTTCGTCATAAACAAGAATGGGATCTTGTAAGGGAGTTGTAGCCACACTACTTCATCATTCCAGTTGGATTTTGGTATTCTGCAGCGTTCTTCTTCAGGAATGTCGCAGCCAAATAATTCTATAATTAATTCACCGAAAAATCGTGGAACGTTAAGGAATAACTCGGCTGTAGGCTTTTCTGGTATCTCGATTGGTGGTTTAAATAATAAATCAAAGTGTAAATCAACGGATTTTTCGTAAATTTGGGAATCTGTTGGATATGTTGGGAAATTTCCTAGCAGATATGATAAGTTGCGTAGTTCGTCGGTTAGTTCGAACGGATGTTTCTCGAAACAATGGATTAAAAGCTCCATTGAAGTAGAAAAGTTTTCTCTGCAGATTCCGCAAAAGGGAACGTTATTATATGCAACAACTCCGAGCTTTTTGTATAATAGTTCGGACTTTTCTATTTGTTTTATAGCATAATCTTGAGATGTCTCATCTTTTGGTTTTTCGCTGATCAAAATGTTATCAATCGATATTGACTCTAGCACAGGCTCTTGGTTGACGACTTCCTTTTCTTCTTGTTCTGGAATTATTTCTTCATTTTCGGTTGTATTTGAAGTTTCGATATTTTCTAGAACCAATTTCACTGGTTCTTGGGTAAATTCAGTTGGATTTTCTTTGCTTCTAATTGATTGGACAATATCGTTGACTTCCCCTTTGATAGTTTCAGTCTGTTTGGATCCTGCCATTTCTAGACCGTTTAAAACGCTATTTAGATGTTTTTCAATGCAATGCGAGCAGAATAAATCATAGTTTGGATATGCAAGAGAGCATAAGCTGCATAAAACTTCTCCTGTCTTCTTAGATTCAGAAAGGATGATGTTTCCTAGAAGATCCTTTTTCAAATTCGTATGAGTTTTTAGAATATGTTGCAATAGATCTGATAAATCAAAAATACTTCGGCAAAATGGGCACTGAGAAGATGAAATTTCTTGATTAATATTTAGATCATTGACAGATTCATCCTCTGCAATTTCTTCAATGTATGAAAGGATTGATGTTGGATTAATAATGTTTGAAATTTAGCGCCTATATGTCACTTTTTAAAAGATTATTTCATTGAGTTATTGGCAATTTCGGCACCTTTATAGGAAATGAAGAAACTACAGTTTATTAAAATATCTTTTACGAAATTCGATGTCGACAAAAAAAATGCAAAAATTTGTTTATAATATTTTACGCATTGGTGATGATATTATTTATGTTTTATCCAGATTCAATATCAAATCCCTGATCCTTTGATTATGTGTATCTGTATTTGCTCCCACAGAAATCAGATATTTAGCTACTTCAGGATGATCGTGAAGCAATGCCAAATGAAGCGGAGTATATCCTTTTTTAGTGGTTACTTCTTTATTAGCTCCAACAGAAACAAGATACTTAACAATTTCAAGATGGCCGTAATGTGATGCGTTCAAAAGTGGAGTAATTCCAGAATTATCCTTTTCATCCCTATTAGCACCAACAGAAACAAGATACTTAACAATTTCAAGATGGCCGTAATGTGATGCGTTCAAAAGTGGAGTAATTCCAGAATTATCCTTTTCATCCTTATTAGCACCAACAGAGATAAGATACTTGACAACTTCAAGATGACCTGTAAAGGATGCATAAATCAGTGCTGTGCCACCTATTTTACTTTTCGCTTCTTTATCAGCACCAACAGAAATAAGATATTTCACTAGTTCAAGATGGCCATTTCTTGAAGCACAAATGAGTGGTGTATATCCTTTTTCATTTCTTGTTTCCAATTTGCAGCCACATTCAATAAGATTTTTAACAAGTCTGGTATTTCCTTTTAATGATGCGATATGTAGTATATTATCAAATTTAATAATTTTCTCAGAGAGTCCTTCTTCGCATGCTTTTGAAATCATTTTTTGATTACCACTTTCTGAAAGCTCATTAAAGAATTCATAGATACTTCCCATATTGTTTGATTTTTTGAGCTCTTCAATCTTAGAAAGTATTTGAATTGTTGTATGTTCTTCTCTACTGCTTTCAAGAAGATTTTGGATTCGATTTTCAAGAATGACAAATTCTTTTTCTTTTTGATCTAAAAAGTATATAAGTCCATCAAATATTCTTAAATCCATGTATTTTCTAACAGATTTAAGTGTCGAAATTGCATCTTGAAAATTGTTGATAGAAACACTTGCGTCATGAGTATATTCGTACAATTTACTTGTTTCAAATGTAGTTGATGATTGTTCAAGAAGTTGAATGAAGTTATTTGATGGTCAAATTTGCAAGTTTTAAGATGGTCTTGATGTCTTCTGGCTCGAAAACATGAAAGAGCTTCCCATCTTCAAGATAGTCTTCAATGTGAGCTGCTATGTATTCGAAATTTTGAGTGATGCCACTACTCATTTCGTGCTATTCAAAAATAAGTCGTAACATTCCTCTTTATACAGATATTATCATAGGTTTATATTAATATTGGATTATCAATTAATTAATTGGGGAAAAATGTTGGGTACTCAAAAGTACGATAAAAAGAAAAAAAATTCATCATCAACAAAGATATCGACCAAAATTGGGTTCATTATGCTCAGCATATGAAGCATTATAATAGTGGGTATCGGTTTATTGAATAACTTCCGTTTAATTTCGAGATATACAATTAAGAACTTTAAAAATATCTATATTTTACTTGCTAATGCAGAAACCTTATTGTATTATGAAAATCAAAAAGATATGATCATTGAAGAAGAGCAAAATTCAATTTTAAGAAAGTCAATCGTTTAATAATTAGGTTAATTTTAGGAATTTGTATTTAAAAAACACTTTTTTTGTTTTTTATTTTACATATGCTTATAGAATAAGCACAAATAATTATTTATAATTCAATGAATTTTTAGAAAATGGTAATTAAATTGTTAGATCTTCGATACTATTAAGACATCTTTCTTGCAATAAGACTATGGTAACAATGTTTGTGTATGATAGTTGGAAAATTGTTAAATTGCTAAAAAATTCGATAAATTTCGAAAACTATTTATAGTATGTCCAAATATATTAGAATTCAATGGTATACAATGCGATTAACAGTAAACAATCGATATTAAGTTATTGATGAAAATCGATATCAAAATTTAAAATTTTTGTGCCTTTTTTGAGTGGAAGCTATTGCTTTTGGTGTCTGGGATGAAGATCTCCTTGATGATTATTTCCAAATTTTTTTTGAGTTTCGAAAATGTCTAAGCAATTTTCTAAAAAATGAAAACGTTTTTTGCATTATTAATTTTTTTGGAAAAATAATGTTAAAAATCTTGTAGATTTAAATTTAAGTGAGAAACAAAACATTTTCATCATATTTTAAATCTATAGATGCGTTATATTTTTATTAATATATAATATTTTCCTAAAATATGTTTATTATAAAGCAAAATTGACACTTTGAAACAATATTTTGGTTTTTTGCAACATTTATATTCTTTAGTCCCTAACATATCATTGTTTCATACTAATAAAGTTATGGCAGTCCCAACGGGAACCGCGGTAATTTACCGAGGTTTCCGCACACCGGTTCCTTTTTTTAGGAATTTTTTAGATTAAAAATATGCTTTGTAAATCATTTTTTGTAAATCGGCAAAAATTTGGAAATATTCTGACGACAATAAATCTGGGAATAGTATTTTAAATACGAGAACAACCTATTTAAAAGTGTTTCGCTCGATTTTGTATAATTTCAAATTTTCGCATATAGCTTTCCGTGAATTACCGTGATTTTACCGCCACATCAATAGTTTACGACACTTTTTCCGTAAATTGAGTAGTTTACTGCACTTTTTCCGTAAAATTGAGTTACGGGAATCCGTAAGATTACCATACCTCACTTCTAGTTGAAAATAGCATTAGTATATAATAAATAGATATATTATTCATATTTTTGATTTTGAATTACGGAAAAAGTGAGTTCAGAACTTCCAATTATTATTTGATTAATTATGTTAAAAATACTATAAGGAATTAAAATACATAATGTTGAAATTTGAATTACGGAAAAAGTGAAGGTGAAAGTGAAGTGAAAAAGTAAGATATTTTTTGTTGAAATAATCATAGTTGTACAATTTTGAAACTATATGTAAAGCTATAAATTGAATAAATTCAAAAACAAAAATTGTTTATTCTTATTAATAAATTTATATTAATCAATATTTGAACAACCCGTAATTAAAATTGAATTCCTCTTAAAATTTAATCCATACGTTAATTTTTAATTTGCTCGGCGAATGCCGAGCTTCCCTACTTCTCTTGTCATTCCTTCAAAAACTCTAATCTCATCGCACTTACAAACATCATGATTTGATGTATTGTCGAGAAATCTTAGACTTGTTTGTCATTTGATTATAGCATTTGAAAGTCATCTCGAAAATCGATTAACAAGACAATTTCCCAAACATCTACATACAAGTAGATGATGGTAAACCCATTAGAGTTGTTTTGCTATGATTCCTCCAATCTTATGATGAGAAAAATCATATCAAAACAGCTCTAATCGAACATTCTACACAGCTTAGCATCCAGCTAGTTCCAAGTAATGCGATTACAACATCAACGGCCAAAGCCTTTCAGAGTCCTTTAATCATTTCTTCTCATCTCAATGTGAAGTGGCCCCAAACGAACTACAAGCTGACGTTACAACGCATTACAACCCGGTTAATACGAGCATATACATTAGAGCTGCTTTGTTATGATCTCCCTCATTAATTGATGAGAGATCTCATTATGAAGCAGCTCCAATCGAACTAAAAACCTACATACAAATGAGTGAAAACAAACTCATTAGAGTTGTGTTGCTTTGATTTCTCTCATCAGAAGATGAGAGATACCAGAACAAAACAACTCTAATCAAACTTTCTACACAACTCAGCACAGTATCAATGCAAAGTAATGCGTCTGTATCGTTAACAAGCAAAGTTGTTTCGAGTCCTTCCATTTTGGAAGAATTCGGAACAACTTTGCGAATTGATAGTGTAAACCCATATACATGAAAGCGTGCATGCATAAAGACAGGTATTGTCAGCAATGACTACCTGCCCAGCTATGAGTGATCAGAGAATTACCATCTCAGGCTTTTTGAGAACGTTTCAGCCAGGACCCTCGTATGTTGACTGTGAGAAAGGCATCCTTTATCTGAAATAGATGCTTTTCCAACAATCAAATTCGAAGATCTTCGACGTTGTTGTAAAAAGAGAAGGAGAAGGAAAGAAGAGGAAGAAGGAATGGAAAAGAAGAAGAAGAAAAAAGAAAAAAGAAGGACATATTAAATATAATGCGCACTTAATAGTGCCGAGGCGGCGGAGCCGCCGAGGCTCGATTTTTTTGACCCTATATTACCGCACGGCAATGTTTTTCTCGATTTTGTACAGCCCTAAATAAAATTGACTAAGGATGTCAATTTGGAAGAAAAGTGAGAAAATTCCTAAAATGCTAAAAATGAATTTTCCAAACGTACTTTTTTATCTCATTTTTTTGATTTTGAAAAAAATTTGGAGAGAAGAACTCTTCGTTTTTGAATTTTGTCACGATGGTTTTAAAGTATATTAGACACATGTATTGATATTACTATTTTTGTATATTTTGAGAGAAAATCCCTAAAAAGTGAGAAAATCTGAGACGGTTTGAGAAAATATATAAACTATTGAAAATTTGAATTAAACTTCTAATTTGGAAAAAAGAAATTTGGAAAGAAGAAAATTCAAAAATCGAGATTTAGACTCAGTATCAAATGGAGAACAAAATGTTTCTTCATATGAAGGAAAAAAATTTTCTTGAGAAGAAATAGAGTTTTTAAAATTTTATTGTATGTAATAAAATAAACAAATATTAAAATTATTTTTTTGATAACAAGAAAATTCCCAACAGAAAATATTTGAGACAAAGAAAAAAAAGAAAATTGAAAAATATTACTCTCCTTTACATTTCATGAGATTTTAAATTTATTTTTATAAAATTGACAATTGTATACGTTTAGATGAAAATAAGTGATTTTGCTTGAAATAAAAATTATTGTTTGTTTACAGCTATCAAATAGATTTTTGCTATTTTGATTAAAATTTGTTAATCAAATTAATAATTTTTTTCTAAATATCTTAAATATCTGGATCACTCACTGATACGATGAATTAAACGATAAAAATAATACAAACTCAACTAAGTTTCCTGTCTTTCAACCAAAAAATATTATGCAATTTAAATTAAATTGTTTATTCAAATATAAAACAAAGATGAAATAATTACAGTTATCATAAACTTTATGAATAACTCTGTAATTGGTTCAGATTTTCGTAAAAATATTTTTATTAAAATCGATAAGAATATGTTTACCTACTATCATCACATATCTATAAACAAGAGTAGAGTGATTTTTATCATCGAAACTTTTTAAAAGCTGCAAGCTGGAAGTAAAAATCTTGTTTTTTTTTTCTGAGTTAGTTGTAGAACTATTGATGCACGAGTTATCATTGTGATTTAGAAGGATGTCAATGTACTGACTGAAGGATATGAAGTGAATTGAATTTCATTGAATTTCAATTTGATCAAATTTGTTGAAATTATATGAATGTGTCAACATCTGTATCACTCTCCTTCACTTCTTCCCTATTTTTTCGAGAACGAAGCTAGCTCAGCTTTCGCTGAGCGAATTGACACTTTTGATGCCCTAAACGTACATGCTCTCAAATTTATCGAAAAAAATAATACTACCTAAACTCGTATATTCTTATTTTAAATATGATATTATCCTTAGATTCCACACTAGAATATATTTAAATCAACTTTTTAAATTTTCCAAATGGAAAATTATATTCTCCTAAAGTGAAAACAATTTTCCGAATTGACATCCTTAAGTTGACCAATTCTGTTTGGATGACCAGATTACGTGAAAATTTACATTCCTAGTTCTTTTGCATTTTAAAACAAATCTTGGTATTGGAACTGTCACTGGAACTGTGGCAGCTGGTTGTTATGGTGCAGAAGCATCTGACTTTGGAACTGAGGCAACTGGTGGTGTAGATGGTTCTGCCGGCTTTGTAGCTGACCAATTTTTGACGTTATGAAAAATAAAGAAATCTGGCTGTCATCAAGCAGGTTAGCTTTTAAGATGAATTAAATATCCTTGGTATCTTCACCAACTTCCTTATTTTGACAATATCCAAGATGCTGATGCTTTTGTTCTTTGTTTCCCAGTATAATACTGCAATTTTTTATAAATCAATTATAAAACCTGTTAGAAATTCATTTTCACACACACAATTTTCGATGAGTAAACGTATGTGATCATTCAGTATTAAAAACTTAATCATTGAGAGGTTTCAATCATATTTTTTGTTAAAAAGAAACATAATAATAAAATTAATCAGTAAGAAAACATTTTATTCTAATGAAATGATCATGGAATTGTTAGTCCTAAATGGCAAATGCTTATTTACATAATCTCTTTGCGCTATAATGGAGACCGGATTCAATTTTCATATCGTTGTTAATAATTAGAAGTTCGTTCTTAAATAGAGAGCTAATTGTTGCTAAATCATTGATATTACTTACTATCTTATCTTTGTTCTTGCAGAAGTATGTTAATTGCTCTTTCATTAACTTTGGATCTGCAACTTGGTTTATATATGAATCAAGTTGAGTTTTTGTAGCGTTGAGAGCTTCCTCAAATGTTTGGCCGTACTTAATTGAACGGAAAATGTACTCAAAAGCCCCTGGATTTGGTCCAATTGTATTAAGAATAGTATTGTACTCGTTCTTCCTAAAGATTCTCATTTGGACAAATTTGTATGATAGTTTCTCAATGTTTGGAGTAGTAATGTAACGAACTGATTTAGAGATTTCAAATCTTCTTAATGAATTCTTAATTTCAACAATGATTGGTATATTGAATATGTACTGATTACTATTCGAGAGATAAGCAAGAGCAGAGTTTGTGATTCTTATGCCATTTTCAAAATCATAAATACGATCGTAGTTATGGATGTATATTGAGAAATGGAAAATGGGTTCGTAGTAAGATAATACCTGGAGCAATCTATCAACTCCATATTCATTGAATCCGCCAGATAAAATTGATTCAGCCGCATGTGTGATTGCGCTGAAAGGTATTCTAAATGCAGGGTTTGTAAGGGTTTCTGATGACTTGTCAGCAAGGTAATCATAAAGATGGAGTTCTGATAATGCTTTTAAGTCAGAATTATCTAATTTATTTGTTCCCTTGGCAAACGTAGTAAGTAACTGTAACTTGAACAAATTAATGCAGTCTTGGAGGTTGTTGGCCAAGCTAAAATCTACGACAATTGGGAAGATGTTTTTCTTTTTGTTTGCTTCCGCAAGTAAATTCATAGCTGTAGACTTTCCGGAGTGATATCCACCCGTTAAAGCTAAGATATAACGTGATGGACGTGATTTAGCATAAGAATGTAAAGTTTGATTGAAAGATGGTTCCCATAAATATGGCATTTCGCCCATATAGCGGACGAAACGGCACAGGTATGCAATGAGAATTATTAACAATAAAGCAGCACCAGCACCAGCCCCGATAAATATGTTCCTATTGTTATTTTTCATTTTTTTTTGATCAATTTTTCTTTTGTCAATTTTTTATATTTTATTTTGGTGTAAGACCCCCAAAAATATTAATTTGAGCTTTGTCTATTTTATTATCGGTATAAGCACTTTAACTTAATCAGCAATGTTGAGAACTCATTACATTTCCATCGTTAATTTTCATTTTTCAAGCAGGCACATTGAACCAATATCAAATGTATAACAATATTACATGAAAGCTTTTTATACATGAATCAGACAGAAAAATTTTAAATGATTGATTTATGAGAAAACTAGATTGGTTCTGATATATATGAAATATGAAAAATATTTTGAATAATTTCAAGCCCCTAATAGATAACAATAGTCTGAACGGCTAATAAAAAGGGAACGTACTACATAAATACTATTATAGATAATTTCAAAATTCTCTTAGGGAATAACATATTATTAATAAAAACAAACTAATATCAAAACAAAAGCAAATGAATGAAAAATAAAATATGTGTTGTAAACTAAAATTTAGTCGGTATTGGCAATAATATTTTTCAAGACTATAGTCTTGCAGTGTACAACTCATTCTGCCCATAGATGCCTCGTTATTGTAATCCTTGACACATCTTCGTCGCCTCCCGTGTTCGAATTACATCCGAAATCTTTTGCTAAGGAGCCTAAAGGACTAGACGTTGTTATTTGATCATACCCATTTGAACAATTTTGAAAAAATAGTTTCTTCTATCAGAATCATGTATTTTGAATTATTACTGGAAATTTTTTTTTCTTTATTTTGTCATAATTTTTCCAAAAAAAATGTGACAAAACAATTTTCATTTTAGAATGAGTGCACCAGCAATCAAGAAGGTCAGCAGAACAACAGCAAAATCTACAGCTACCACCGAGCAAGTAAAATCCACTGAAAACGAAGAAATTGAATTAAAAATTACCAAAATTTCAGCAGTATATCAAGAAATTAGCTCACGTGTTACCGATAACTGTGGTATTTGCAAGACTCCTCTTGGAGAACCATGCAACAATTGTGCTATTCAAGGAGCAACAGAGTGTCCTATTGAAGAAGGTACTTGCGGACATGCATTTCATAAGCATTGTCTTTCCCAATGGCTTAATACTAGTAGACTTTGTCCTACATGCGGCAGAAATTGGGAATCTCGCTAAAAATAAAATTATTGTATTTATAATTTTTATTTTTCGATGTTTTGGCTGGAAAGTAATACAATAAAAGACTTTAAAAAGTATTATTTGTATGAAAAATATTTGAAAATGCATTTTAATAAAGAAAAATGAAAGAAATTTGATGAATTTTTGTGTTTATTTGATATAAAAATATTACATAACAATTATTCGAAGTCCGGAACTAACGTAGTTATCTCTTCAAACGTCATAAGATACAATGGAGCGAGATTGAACTGACTAAGCGTTCCAGGAGAGCAATATCTCATTCCTGCGAAGAATAGAGGAACAATCCTTGGGTCCTGAGCCTTAATTAATCCAGTTCCAAGGATTGCGCGTGCTTGGCGATAAGATTTGGAAATTTTGATAACTTCTTTAGCGGCATCATTAAATTTGGCTATTAATTGGTCAAAGTCGTCGTAAAATAAAACATCTAAAATTGCATTTGTAATTTTTTCGGGTAATTCACCTTCCTGAGCGAAATCTGAAATAGAAATATTATCTCCAAGAATTGAAGAGGCTTCCTCGAACTGTTCTATGAACTTTGGAGCAATGGTTTTCGCATCTTCGATGACTTCATTTTCGTAAATCTTCGCAACGTATGGTAGAATGACGCCGAGTAGCTCTCCTTTATCAAAATTAGGAAATACTTGGGTTGCTGCGGCTGTAATTACCGCTGTGTCTTTCTTTAGGCCTCCATTTAATCCTTTTTCAAGAAATCCATCTTCTCCGAATGCGAAAGTAAGAACCATTGAAATATCGTCAATTGTTTGTATGTTGATGTCAGCTTGTTCAACCGCCTCTGAAATTCCTTCGATAACTTCTTGTGGAGCTTTGCTTGCAATAGGAATGTTAATCCTACTAGATACTTTTAGACTTTCCGCCAAATTTACATATATTTTCCAGAGTTCGGCGTTATATAATTTTTGTTGCTCAATTGTAAGGAGTTGAACAGCTTTTTCAACATTAGATTTGCGTAATCCTGGACGTCTGAACTTACGGAGTAATCTTTCTTGAAGCATTTCTGAATTTTTAACAGAAGCTTGGTATTCTTCGATTTCTTTCTTTTTCAAATTGAGCCAGGCAGGGGGATTTTCAGGGAATTTGAGCAATTTTGGTATAGACATTGGTAAATATGTATGACGAACGCAAATTAATGAATCATCAATCTTTGATAAACAATCTTCACAATTAATTTCGTATTGTGAAGGTTCTATTTGACTGTCTGTATACATTTTGTGTTGTTTCTTCAAATATTGAAGTCCTTTCTCTATAATTTGAATGCTTTCTTCAAATGTTGCCATATTTTATATGAAAGTAAGATAAGTTGACAATTTTTTTTTTCTTCACCGCGACTTTTTCCATGAAATAGTTTTGTTTATTTAGTTTTAGAATTAAATTTATGTACACACTTATTTTATATTAATATTTTCTTGATAGCTCTTATATTGATCAAAATATTATTGAATATTTCTGTTAAACTCTATTTTTTTGGCTTCATTGAGAGTACAAAGAGATAACCTTATAGTTTTGCCTGGACTGCGGGCTGATTAAATGTATAATGAATGATTAACAACATAACAGGATATTCTGTCATCAAGTTTATGTGTACATGTTTAAATAACTTATTTCACATCGTTGCAATTAGACAGTGCCCATATATAAGTATTTTTAATCATTGAAGAATAATTTCATTATAAATATCATCACAACTGTGTAGAACTCTAAGATATCTTAAAATGGAATGATTCATTCCATTTTATTGAATATCATCGATTCGAATGCAAAATTGTCATCAAATACTTGTCGTTCATCGATTTTCTTTAAAAGGTAGCACCTCATAGTTATTTTATGTGATTTTGTCTAATTAGACTGAGTGACTACCTTTGATTAAATTTGAGAGAAATACTATTCAAATGTATCTTGGAGATTTCAGTAGATTTACAAAAGAAAAAACACTAGAACATAGTGAGCAAAGAGAGATCTCAATATACAAAGACAAAGAAACTAATGTGGAATGCTTTGTACAGTCATTTCCCATTAATTCTTATGCATCAAATGAATTTAATAGATATTTCAAGATATTACATCAACTCCGCGATATAGAGTTCAACAATATGCAAAAATTGATGTTTTTCTTGCATGATAACGATAATTTTTATATTGGTTCAAAATTTGATCAATTAAATCCAATAGATATCAAAAAATACGACGATAAAACTATTGCAAATCTTATATTTACTGTTACTAAGCAATTATATTACCTACATCAAGCAAATATTTCCCATCAAAATATCAAATTATCATCAATATATCAAAATTCAAGTAATGACTTCGTTATTATACCTCCACAACCTATATCTTTGTATGATATCCAAAAAGGAGACGAATATTTACCATTTTTCGATAAACCTCCGTTATCGAACGATATTTTCTTATTAGGATTACTTATTATAGAATGTATAGCTGGAGTATCATATTCTGATATTCTTGATCGTATTTGGTCTTTCAAAGAAGTTACAAATGAAAAATCTCCAATTTTAGAATTAGCAATTAAGTGTTTAGATTGGGATCTTGAAGAAAGGCCAACAATAGAAAAGATTTATAATACATTTATTACAGAAGGCATACAAATTCATGAAAAAACATATAAATTTACAGCTGAAGAGAAAGTTACAATTCCAAAGCAAATAACAGATGAAGAATACTTAAACATAGTTAAAAGCGATGCTGATAAAGGAGATATTATTGCATTATTAATTTATGGAACACATTTGATCAAAAAAGCCTCTACACCCGAAGAAAAGCAGCTTGGTATTGATTACATGGAGAAATGTCCGCTTCCAGCAGCAATAAACAACCTTTCCAATGCATATCAAAAAGAAAATCCCCAAAAATCATATGAATGCCTTAAGAAAGCGTCAGACATGAATTTCCCAGTAGCCATTCGTAGTTTATACCTTCATTACATCAAGAAGAGCAAAGATGAATCTTTAATTACGAATACAATTCCCAAATTAACAGAATTAGGCTACAAAGGTTACATTCCAGCCCTATTTACAATTAGTGACCGAGTCAGACTCTGCGATCCACCAGAAGCCTACAAAATGATGCTTTTCTGCGCCCATCACGGCTATGCAAATTCGATTCATTACGTAGGACTTTTCCACGAGTACGGATTTGGTGCCGAAAAGGACAGCGAGATGAGTAACAGATACTGGAAGATTGGCCTGAAGTTGAGGTACGGACCGTGCACTAACAACTTGGGAACACATTGTCCTGATCCTGTTCAAGCATGCAAGTATTGGATTCTCGGATCAGAATTAGGAAGTGGAGAAGCCGCGTATAATCTCGCAATTCATTATTTAACAGGTAATGGAATAGAGAAGGATCCTGTCAAGGCTTTCCACTACATGAAGCTTGCTGCTTCGAGAAACCAGATCTTCTCAATGTTCGATTACGCAATTATGGTCAGAGATGGTGTTGGATGCGAAAAGGATGAGAAACTGTCTGAGGAATTGTGCAGACAGGCTGCTGCTGCAAGACATACAAGAGAGATGAAGAAGAAGCTCCTCCAGGAAGAAGCAATGAAACATAACGTTGTTTTACCAAAGTATTTTGATTATTTCTAAATAAAAAAGTAATTTTTTTTAAATCTTTTTAAAAGGGTTTACTTACCACTTTCTGACATGCTCGCATAATATAGCTTTATTGTAATTGCAAAAAAGTATTACATTAACATAAGGTATTATGCAATGATTTTTAAAAACTTTTTCCCGAACAAAATTATTAACTTTTTACATTAGAAAATATGTAGAAAAAGCCAGAGTGTCAAAAAAATTGAGAGAATGTCAGAAAGTGGTAAGTGCACCATTAAAAGGGTTTACTTACACACATCTAACTTTAATTCAATTTTTTGGCAATTGACTTGAAGCGTCATTTAAAACCAACCTTAAACATCTGAATTGAAAGCTATGTCATAGGGGCGAAAGTGCACCCTTTAAAGGGTTCACTTACCACTTTTTGACATGCTGCCATAATATCAACATATCTTTATTTTAATAACAAAAAGGTATAAAAGTTTTATATATGTACTAGGTAATGATTTATAATAACACTTTCCTGATCAAAAATATTAGTTTTTTTTTTCCATAGAAAATTGGGATTTAAAGCTTGAGTATAAAAAAATCGTATTAGTTCATCCTATATATATGCTTGTTTTATGAAAATATTAATGATAACTTAAATTTTAAGACCGCCTAACGATTTCAATTTCTAAATAATAAACGAGGAAATTGTTTATTTTGTCATGTTTAAATTAAAGATTTCTACTATTTTTTTGTAACTAAGCCTGTATGCTAGATAAAGAGGAGTAGATCCATTTTTATATAATTCAGTTGTTTCAATAATATAATCTTTTGTAACATAATGTATTATATCATCATACATCTTAATTATATCCAAAATTCCATAATTTTACCGGATCAATATATTAAGTATAACAAAATCTCAATATCTAACAAAAATACTATTATAAGCATTTTAAGATACACCATTTCCATCTTATGCTTAAGAGAAAAAGAGTTTTTACCATTATTTAACAAAGAATATCTTATTATATAATACAAATCTTTCACAAACACTTGTTTTTACTATATTAACAGATGCCTTATTTATAGCTCTACATATTCGCCGTTCCAAATTTGAACAATTCGCATACTCCCCAAAAGAATATCCTAAATCCTGGTTTTTGGTTCTACGAATCCTGGTTTTTAAATTGTTTTTCAATACTCTTCTTAAAAAGTGACGCCAAAATTGAGGAGGACTATATATAAGGTCGCCAAAAAAAAGTACGGAAATTAAAAACCGCAGTTTGAGCACTTTCTGAGAGTCTGTTCGTCAGAAAGTATACATTTGTAAACTTTCTGACACTAAAAAATTTTTGGTCCTTTCAAAGTTTTTGACAATGTCAAAAAGTATACATCGAGGTTCTCAATTTTCCTCTCAAACGGCGGTTTTTTAAAAACCCTCAATTTTTTATCGATCTTAGTGTTTAAGTGGGGGAACTTTGATATTTTTTTTCCACACCATAGTAGTTTCACTTTTTGCATATGAACTCTATATTGATTCTGGCTAGAAACTAGAGAAATTAAAAATTTTCAATTTTTGGCCCATTAAAAGTACCTTTTTGAAAATAAAAAATATTTTTATTAATTATGTGTGATCTTCGACATATATTCATAAAATCAAGTGATTGGCAAAAAAATCTTGTCGGTTTTAGCATTGATATCTGCGCCATTTGGAATAAGAATTTCTACAGTTTCTTTGCATTTTCCCTTGGCTGCATAATGAAGAGGAGTAGATCCATTTTCGGTTTTAGCATTGATATCTGCGCCATTTGAAATAAGAATTTCTACAGTTTCTTTGCATTTTCCCTTGGCTGCATAATGAAGAGGAGTAGATCCATTTTCGGTTTTAGCATTGATATCTGCGCCATTTGAAATAAGAATTTCTGCAGTTTCTTTGTTATTATATCTGGCTGGATAATGAAGAGGGGTCCATCCATCTTTGTCTTTAGCATTGATATCTGCGCCATTTGAAATAAGAATTTCTGCAGCTTCTTTGCATTTTTCCTTGGCTGCATAATGAAGAGGAGTAGATCCATTTTCGGTTTTAGCATTGATATCTGCACCTTTAGAAATAAGATATTCTAAAAGTGAGGAAAGATGGAAATTCGGAGAATAAGCAAAACATGTGTTGATATCCTTTGTTTGGTCCAAATAAACTAAAAATGATTGGAGATTATTGTATTCATTGCACAATTCTAAATCAATTGCTATGTTGTGTTCATTCATCAAAAATGTGACAAAATCGATATTATGTGATATTATTGCATATTCCATGCATATATGATCTGGCGTTTGTACTTTCAAGCATTCATTCATAATGTCTGGATTTCCGCTCAAAAACGAATATCTAAGACAATTTGGAGTGATTTCAGATTGAAATTTCGTTCTTAAGATCTTAAAACAATCAACAGATCCATGATAACAACATAATTCGAGTAATGAATTACCATCAAATGAATATGGATATAAATTACTTTTTAATTTTTGATTTTTATCAAATCCTTCTCCTTCTGTAAAATTTATAAATGCTATTTTGTCATCATCCATAATAGATCTGTAAATTGTTTTTTGTTCGTGAATATCAGATGAATAATGAGAATATTCAAAATTGTTAAAACGATTTTGCCTGTTTTCATTCAATACAATATTGTATTCTTTGCAGAAAAGGTAATTAAAAACGTCGTCGATTTCGTTGACCTGATTTAGATGGTGTTCGTCAACAATTTGTTTGGCAATCGCTAAATATGATTTCATGTAGCGGTTGTTATAAATTGAAAGTTTGGATATTTTATCGATAATTTCACCAGGCGGAATTCGATAAGAGTCAATCAGGTTTTGTTCGATTTTTTTGTAAATTGCGTTTAATTTTTCTTCGTCATTTGTTTTCAGCCTGTACAAAGCATTGCAGACATCATTATATCCTGTAAAAATCCCCATCAATTTGTCATAATGAGTTTGGTTTGCTGTTCCCTTGGACATCAACCAAAATATTGACGATATTGTAATCTTACATACAAATTTCGAATTTCGAAAATTTTACGATATCGTAATCTTACATACAAATTTCGAATTTCGAAAATTTTACGATATCGTAATCTTACATACAAATTTCGAATTTCGAAAATTTTACGATATCGTAATCTTACATACAAAATGTCGTATAATTTTACAAGCCCAGGCCAAATTGCGAATAATTTTTTAAATTTCACTTGCATTTATTGATTTTCGACAAGCTGTTCAGCATTTCGAAAATCTTTTCATGTCATATTTTTTATAATTGCTTATAATATCTATTAGGATTAGAAACAAAACCAACCTGATTTGATTTTGAAATTAATTGATCAATCGGCACTATAATTTAACCCAAATAAAGGTAGACCAGCAAAAAATACGTTATTTCGCAATTTTTTTTTAAAAAAATCTTATGGTACTTATTTTCATTTGAATAGCCTATCAGATGAATATAATTCTAAAGATTTAAGGGGGCATATTGAACGAGTCCTAGAATAATTATATTATTTGTTTTATTTGGCAATTAGCTATGATTTAGTTCCTCATATCTTCAATTAAAAATTACTATCGTTGTTTTCAAGGAATTTTGATTCCATTCATCATTTGGCTCGCTTTTATCATTATCTAACCTTCGAAAGTAGTAAGGTAAAAATTAATATTTCACATCTAATACTTTTCACCTATAAAATTGCCAACAGATATAACAGGATTCTTTGCTTACTAATACACTTTAACATATTTTGAAATGAAGCCCAATTTATCGGGCCGTTTTCAAGAAAAAGTCATTTTTGTAATCAGAAATGGCAGGTTTCCTACTTGTGCATTCATAAATTGCAAAATGATAGAGAACACATAGGTGTTATACTATTTTAAGCTTATTCACGATATTTACATAGCTTGTTGACAAGATATTGACAAATTTTCTATGATCTACACTCCTGAACAGGAAACAAACAAAACTTCACAGCAGATTTGCTAAATCTACTATTTTTAAATGTCAACACACAAATACATGATAAGCTCTCGGTTATTTTACAATTTTTTTCTATTTATCTATCATCTTGTACTAATATGTTACATTTTTTGTTTTCCTATGAATAAAAATACCCTTAGCTTAACTTCTTTTAAAGTAATATCATTTCGTTATCTCGATATTTTACATTAACCATTATTCATTAAAATAATTCAATAATTTTAATATATATTATAATCTGATAGTTTAGTGATCATTAATATACTCTATATTCCATTCTAAATTTTTGAAACAATTATAATTGAAAATTTGCTCTTGGTTTTGATACCAGAATGCAAACATTCTCATTTAAATCAATTATAAAACATCTTTATAATTCCAAAATTTTTCCATTTTTCATTTTTTAATGTTAAAATTGTATTTTTGTATTAGATTTTTATTTTTTCGATTTTTTTTGGAAATTTCTTTATGAATTTGAGCGGAAACAAATGTATTGACATAATCCACTAGATGATATTACTCGGTTTTTATAATTTGGAGATCATACATATATATTTTTGGTTCAATTCCAATTCGTATCTTATCAATATAGCTATTTGTAATTCTGTTAAAATATGCTCTTTATGTTGAATACTTCAATTTTGTTCAACAATATTATTAGAATAATCAAAAATCAACTCAATCAAAATGCCAAAGTTATGAATTATGATATTTTTACAGTTGTGAAGAAACACACAACTACACAAACTCTAATTTACGTGTGCTGTACCAAAATATTCATGTTATCTAATGACAATAAAAGAATATATACTAAATTTTCTGAAAAATATGTAATGTTCAAAATTTAAACCGCGAACACATTTCACATCTCAAAAGAATATATTTAGTGAGCAAGATATTGAATATAATTTTTAATAATAATATCTCAAAATCGGCCCGATAACTTTCATGCGATACTTCGCACATCAAATATCCATCCCCTATATAGTAAGTATCCATCCCCTATATAGTAAGTATCCATAGCCAAAATCAAAAATTATTGGTAAAAATTTTGCTGGTCTACCTTTACCCAAATTGATATATGCTATTAGTTTAAAAATGATTAAAAATTGTAACCGAAAATGGTCAAAATTAACTCGTAAAAATAGTATATTCAGAAAGCTAATTTTCCATAGATTAAAATGGCGAAAAAATCAAGTTGTCAGCGAAGCTGCGCGCCGATAAATGCTGATAAGAAAACCGCCAATATATTTCAATTTCTAAATTATAAACAATTAAAAAATTATCGTTGATTTTAAAGTCCTTTCATGAGCCTTGTAGTGGAATTTTGACCTTGTAGCGCCGATTTTATGGCGATGTAAACCTCTTGATGACAATGTAAAGTGGCATTTTACATGACATTTTCTGGTTTATAAAAGAAAAAGTGCCGCTACTACAACACCCTTTTTTGCATAAACTGAGCCCAAGCGCACGTTTAATATCAAAAAAAAAAAAAAAAAAAAAAAAAAAAAAAAAAAAAAAAAAAAAAAAAAAAGGTATTGGGGCTTCCAGGCACTTCGTGCCCTCTAGCCCCGAAGATGTTTAGTATAAAACCGCTTTTTAACTTCACTTAAAATGCCACGTAAGCTACGTAAGAATATACGTAAGAGGAAGAGAGCATTGAAACATCCAATAGTAAGACTAACACCACAACAACAGTTGCAACAACAAATGCTGAATGACCCACTATGTTGCAACAAATGTCAAGCAATCCTATGCTTTTAAACCGAGTTGTTGGTGCACAGAGTGGAGGTTTAAGAGCGGCACTTTTAGCGAAAATGGCAGGCTATGGTGGAGCTGCAGACGGAACAGCCTATAACCCTCAAAGTCAAATGAATTTGAGTTCACTCAAAAATCAAATAACAGATGTCAAAAAGTCAAACATAGACATACAGAAGCAAATAGGTGAAAACGAAAAGAAACTAGAATATGACAGACACACAAAGAAACTCAATGAGTTAAACGTAGAGAAAAAGAAGAAAGAAGAACAACTGAAAGAACTAAGTACAGAGGAATATGCGAAAAAAGTGTCAGAAAAAGCAACAGAAGTAGCAAAAATGGAACAAGATGTCATAAATTTGAAAAACCATACTACTCGATATAAAGTACTGAAAGATGAAGAGATAAAACAAAAAGCCCTGAAGACATATATGGATAGCGATGAGTATAAAAAGGAAGTTGAAGCAAATGTAAAGGCAGAAAAACTTTTACAGTTGCAAAACCAAACCGTACAGTATGAAAACTTAGCACAAGAAAGTAAAAATAACGACGCGGCTATGCAAAAGGCAATGAAAAGCGCAGAATATATAAAAGCTAACAATGACTGGTTAGATGCCCAAGCCAACGCTAAAGCAGCCCAACTCATAGGGTCAATAAGGACAAAAATACAAGCGGATGAAGACAGTTCAAATGAAGCTTTAACAAATGCTGACTTTAAGAACGCCTTCGAAGCTCTTCATAGTAAGGTGAAACAAGTGAACGACTTCTCATCTGGAAAGAAACTGAAGTCTGAAGGTTTCGACAAAGAGTTAAAAGAAGTAGCACAAAATATGACGAAAATAACAGATGCAGCAACGAGACAGGCAGTTCAAAGTGCCTATGACGCCGTTAGAGCAACTGTTGTGAAAAGTCAAGAAAAAGAGTTACAACAGACCAAAACAGACCTAGTAAATGCTTTCTTAAAAACGAAAAGTCAGGTAGGACATTACGCTGCAGATGGAACATATGTGCCAGCTGGTGGAACTTATATACCAGCTGGTGGAACTTATATACTAGCTAGTGGAACTTATATACCACCAAACCCTCCAAGAGAAGCACCTGCACCAGGACTACCTAAAACATTTACATCGTCACATGGACACAGACACAGGCATGCACCAAAACCAGCACAACAACCACCTCCACAACCAGCACAACAACCAACAGTTCAAAACCCTGCACAACCAGCACAGCAACCAACAGTTCAAAACCCTGCACAACCAGCACAGCAACCAACAGTTCAAAACCCTGCACAACAACAACCACAAACAGAGCAAGGACATAAAAGAAGTAGAGAACAAGGAACCAAGAATTCTTAAAAATGCTTAAAGAAGACTATGGTTACCCAGATACTATTGACTTTAGTGACAGATATAAAGAAGCTATTCGAAAGTTCAAGGAAGGAAATACTGACCCGAACCTATTTAGCTTTATGGTTCAGCACCAAATGGGATATAATTTCAAACCTGGAAAATACAAGCTCGCTAAGGGATATGATTTAATAGCATATCATCCAAATGACATGGACGAATTTACTCCGAGATATTTGGTGTCAGAGCTAAATGACAATTCAACTCTCTTCATGAAACGCGTAAAAAATAGAGACGGAACGAAAGAAGAAAGGTTTATGAGTCCGGATGACTTAGATAGGGAACTTGTTGAAAACGGTCTCGGAATATATGAAATGCCAGCAGATGAGGTACAAGAAACTCCACAGGAAGAAGTTCAGATACAACCAGACATGGAAGAAATAGTTCAGCAACAACAGCTAGAAGAGCCTGAAGGAAACGAACAAGTCCTTCCTTTGGAAACTAACTTCACAGAACTAGATGAAGATTTGGAACAGCCGAAAAATCTTGACCCTCAACAAGAGTATGCGGAGAATATGGAATATTTCCAAGAGTCTAAAAAAAATTCGGCTGACATAGTAGAAGAATATCGAAAAATGTTTGCCGACATACAAAAGACTCCAACACCAGATGAAAATATTCAGCATAGAATGGAAGTACTGAAAGAAAATGTACACAAATACAACAACCCTTTTTACTTACGAGCATTTAACGTTCAATCTTCGGATGAACTCGGTGAAAATAAAAGGTTAAATTTCAAGAAAACATATAGAAATGAAACATTGTTTAAAGTTCATTCAGAACCTAACCAAGATGGAAACAAACCTACTTTTGTTTCTGCAGACGAT